CAGCAAGAGGGATTGCTGCATAGTGAAAGCAGCGATCCCTCTTGCTGTTCTGGCTTCTGGGAGAGCTGCGCAGCCTGCATTCGCTCCATAAGACGCACACACATTTCCCCTTACCTTTTAGGAGGGAAAAAGTGAGTCTTATAGAGCAAAAAATACGGTATCTTCCTTTGTCCCAGTGTTGTTCAGCTGCAGACCGGCAGCCTGCCGTACATCATGGATGCCGTCAAATCAGAAACTAACCATGACCTTTTTATAAACATGAACATTTTGATCGAAACCAATTGCATTATTCATCTTTCCCCTCTGCCAAATCTTTTGATACTGCAGCCCTTTTTATTTCCCAGCATGCCTCTTGCTGCAGGCCAGTGCAGCACTTGGCTGCCAGAAAATAAGGGGTGGGAGCAGAAAAAAGGTGGACAGAGATAAAATATTGGGAAGCAGAAAGTGGGGAAGTGCCATCTATCCTTTTGGAAACCAACGAAATCATTGGAAGTGGAGCAACCTTTATTTGAGTGATTTAACCAACCCAAAAAAAACAACAGTCGTTGAATTTCTTGAAGGGCAAACCTGATTGTCAGGTACGGCAGAAACGATATGGTTTGTTTTCAGTAAGGAAATGGAAGGGAACAGCAGCAGTGGGGTTTGCTAGAAGTACCAAGACACTGTTTGCCAGGGCAAATTAGATTTTCCTGAAGTAGCATTTCTGAAACATACTCTACCTTTTGTGCACATACCCAATTTTGCACCCAGGGCTAGCCCAAGACTTTTTGCTGCTTGAGGCAAAAGATAAGCTGACATTTCACTTGCTTCCCATTCCCTTTAGAAGCACGGAGCAGGCAAGCCGTTGAATTTTACTTCAACACTGTAAGCAGGGCAGTCCTCCACTCCAATGATCCTGAGAGCAAGCTGCATGGCACACATAGGTCAACATCTTCCCTGTTTGAACTATGAGTACACAGAGATCCACACATGCTGTCATATGTACGTGCACAGCCTGTTCTTCTGTATGAGTATCTCTGGACTGGGAAATTAATCCAGCAATCAAAATACAAGGGGGGTGGGGAGAGAAAGAAAAAGCAGCCTTGTATTCCTCTCCCAAAGTTTGTTTATAGTGTAGAATCACAAAACCAGATTGCTGATGGAGGTAGTTTTTTTGGTTTTTTGTTTAGCATTCTGTAGTGCATCATGATGAACACATCAAAATGATGGGGGTTTTTTACGATGCAATATCATCGACCTCTTGAGACAGTTCTTCCCTTATGCAAGAGCAACTCATTTGGGATTGTTACAAGGATGCCCTCTAGCGACCAGGCTGAAGTAGCTGTTTAAATAAAGATGGCATCTTTTGCTAGTCTATCAATGCAGAGCAGGAGAAAGAACAAAGAAACTCATTGCTATCTCCCCATATTTTTAATATAATAATAATAAATTTATTTATGACCATCTGGCTGAGTTTTCCCAGCAACTCTGGATGGCTCCCAATCGTGTATTAAAAACAATACAGTATTAAATATTAAAAACTTCCCTAAACAGGGCTGCCTTCAGATGTCTTTTAAAAATAGGATAGTTGTTTATTTCCTTGACATCTGATGGGAGGGTGTTCCACAGGGTGGGTGCCACTACCGAGAAGGCCCTCTGTCTGGTTCCCTGTAACCTCACTTCTTGCAATGAGGGAACCGCCAGAAGGCCTTCGGCTCTAGATCTGTGTCCAGGCTAAATGATGGGGATAGAGACGCTCTTTCAGGTATACTGGGCTGAGGCCATTTAGGACTTCAAAGGTCAGCACCAACACTTTGAATTGTGCTCAGAAATGTACTGGGAGCCAATGCAGATCTCTCAGAACTGGTGTTACCATGGTCTCGGCAGCCGCTCCCAGTCACCAGTCTAACTGCTGCATTCTGGATTAATTGCAGTTTCCGGGTCACCTTCAATAGTAGCCCCACATAGAGCACATTGCAGTAGTCCAAGCGGGAGATAACTAGAGCATGCACCACTCTGGCGAGACAGTCCGCGGGCAGGTAGGGTCTCAGCCTGCGTACCAGATGCAGCTGGTAGACAGCTGCCCTGGACACAGAGTTAACCTGCGCCTCCATGGACAGCTGTGAGTCCAAAATGACTCCCAGGCTGCGCACCTGGTCCTTCAGGGGCACAGTTACCCCATTCAGGACCAGGGAATCCCCCACACCCGCCCGCTCCCTGTGCCCCCAAAACAGTACTTCTGTCTTGTCAGGATTCAACCTCAATCTGTTAGCCGCCATCCATCCTCCATTTATATCTCAACAATCCTGAAAGTTACATTATGCTGAAAAACAGTGACTGGCCCGTGGTCAGCTAGTCAGCTGCACAAGTGTATAGATTAGGTATAAACTGCATTGGTAGCAATCACACACATGCCTAACTGTCCAGCCACACAGTGGTTAATTCTGTTCCCCCAGCATTTCCCTGTTCTATTTTGCATTGTGTGAAAGCTCAGATAGAATGCAAACATCAACCTTGCTTTAAGGCATTCACAATGGCATTCCTAGCCCCTGGACATCTTGCTGAGCCGTGTTCTGACTTCTGAGACTGTGCCAGGTATTCCTTTCACTTGCCCAAAGCTATCCTTGAAGCCCTAAGGCTAAAATCCATGCTTTAAAGAACTTTAAAGAAGAAGCAGAAATCCTTAATTTCTGCAACCAGTACCAAACGCCAGGCTTGTGTAGCTCAGCCACAGGATCCTACGATATCAGAGAATAAACCGTGTCATCTAGGGCAATCTGTCAGGTACTAGGCGCAGCAAAGAAAAAGAAGAGGGCACTAGGACAGGGAAGGATTTGTTGGGGAATATAGGTTGGCGCGATGTCTTTTTTTGGATCAGGTGGGGTTGCAAAAGTGAGATCAGCTCCTGGAACAAGATTATTCTAGATTCAGAACATGGTGGGTTTAAGAGATTATCTCTTCTCATGAGGAATGTGTCCGAGTATAGCCTTTCAGATGTTTCGGCATTCAGCTTTTCGGACCATCTAATACGTGAGTATCTCAACTCCATGTTGGAGGACCTGGGGGCTTCAAGTTTATCATTGCAAAATAAGTCTTTTCTTGCATCCAGGAGGAGGCAGAGCGGTAAATGATCACTATCAACCCTCTCCTCCACTTTGCACTCCAGGGCTCTATTTAGGAGATTAAATGATACCATAACATAGTCGATAGTGGAAGCTCCTGCATTTGATATAAAAGTAAATTCCCCACAGGTCTCCCCATTCTTGCGCCCATTTAGTATGACCAGGTCCAGCTTGTTAGAAAGCCGCAATAGGCACAAACCTGCATAATTACATCCCTTGTCTTTTGAGAGTCTGGTGGGTATAAGGTGCACATATAATGCAGTCCAAGGAATGTTTAATCAGGAGTGAGTCCCACTATGTTCAGTGGCTCTAGATCCTGTAGATGAGCCTACTGGGTAGTATGACAAACTGTTCTCTCCAGAGAAAGAAGGCACAAAATCAGCTACAGGGCCTAGTTAAGGGCATAAGAAAAGCCTGGCTGCATCAGACCAAAGGCCCATCTAGTGAGCCAGTGTGGTGTAGTGGGTAAGAGCGGTAGACTCGTATTCTGGTGAACCGGGTTCGCTTCCCTGCTCCTCCACATGCAGTTGCTGGGTAACCTTGGGCTAGTCACACTTCTCTGAAGTCTCTCAGCCCCACTCATCTCACAGAGTGTTTGTTGTGGGGGGAGGAAGGGAAAGGAGAATGTTAGCTGCTTTGAGACTGTGATAGGAATTTTGAGGTCTTAGATATATGGTAATGTTCATAAGTGTACCAACCAAGCACGTACATAGATCAGCACAGGAAGACCAACCTGGAATCATTTTGATTCCTAAACTGACCAAATGTTTTCTCTGCAAGGTCAAAGGAAAATGGAAAAGACCCCCCATTGTCTTTTCCTTCACAAATCCTGTCTGAAGGGTATGTCTGTGTTTGAATAGGGTGTGAGCCTGTGACATGGCCCAGGAACTAAGTATTTATCATTACAAAAGACTGGCCAGGCTCCCCAGGCAAGCCAATCAAGTAACCTGCCAGACAGGAGAAAAACATCATTCAAATTTCTGTTTTAGAGCGCCTTTTCTGTGATGTAGGTATGATGTATCTGGGGGGTGGTCTTAGGTTACACCCTTTCTGTGATGTAGGTATGATGTTCCTGGAGGTGGTCTTGATCTACAGGATGGCAATTTCAAAAGTCATTATAAGGCCTTGCGTGCCATTGTTCTGGGTTCCTCCTCCTTTCCTGCAGGAAAGATCCTCCTTTCCTGCAACAGATCAATAAAGATCAAGCTCACTAGCTGTTTTGCTTCTCAATATTCTCTGGTTGGCCTCTGTTATTTTCTCCTACCAATAGGGAACCTATGTAAGGACTCTATATGGGCTCTTAGATACCCCATAAGGGAAAAGGGCAATTTTTGTTTACAACAAGACTCCTTTGGGTAGTGATAAAGCAGGATATCAAATGCAAACTCCTTTTCTTCTAGTCTAGCATCCTGGGTCCCACAGCAGACAACCAAATGTCCATGAGAAGCAGGACCTGAAAACATCAGCACTATCCCCAGTTACGTTCTCTTGCAACTGGTATTCAGAGCCATACTGCCTCTTATGGCTTTAGCAGAGGAACAGACAGATTCACGAGAGATGGGCTCTCAATAGCTACTAGCCACAACAGCTGTGTTCTGCCTCCACAGTTGGAGGGGCTGAACAGAAGCTGCTGGAAACCACGAGAAAGGGGGATGATCTTCTGCTCAGGTCCTGCCTGTTGGTTTCTCACAAGCATCTGGCTGGCCACAATGAGAAGAGGATGCTGGACTAGATGGGCCACTGGCCTGATCCTGCAGCCTCTTCTTAAATTCTTATTCTGGAGGGAGTATATAGCCATCATAACTAATAGCTGTGAATAAGTTTCTCCTCCGTGAATTTGTACAATCGCCTTTTAAAGCTACCCAAGTAGGCAGCCTTTTGACACTACGGAAATAGGTCTGAAGCCAACCTTTTTCATTTTATTACCCATTCCTGCCTTTAGCATCAGTTCAGGGCAGGGAAGGGGAAAATATCAGCAGATCAAGACATATACAAAGGCAAATATGCATCATTGATGCACAAGATAAAAGTACCAGCCCTGTCTCTCCATGAGCAAATTTATTTCAGCAGATGTGTTGTACCAACAAAAAGCTTCCTTCAGACTAGGGTCCGTATCACCTTTATTACTCTCCTCCAGGCACATTGCGGTCCTCCTTAAGCGGAGGTAGAATGCACAGGTTCTAGAGTCTGGCAACAGAGCACCAAAAGTGATGTGAGCAATGCCTCTTTTCAAAGCCACTACCACCTCTCTGAAAAGCAGTGCGGTCCACCTTTTCAGGTTTCGAAAGGCATCCTACAGCTCACGATCTTCAGCCATTCAAGGCAAGGCTCCATGCTTACGGCCAACTTCCACAAAGGCCTCCACACACCGATCAATATCCTCATCACTGTGAACAGCTGAGATCTGCACCCGGATGCGAGCTTTTCCCTTGGGCACCACGGGGTAGCTGAATCCAATGACGTAGATGCCTGACAGGTGAGAAAGGGGGGGGGGAGATGAGTGTAGCAGAGGCAGCAGATCAACTGCATAAGCAAGACCTTGTTTTGTTTCTTTAATAAGTGAGTAAAATAAATAATAAACAAAGAGATTAATAAATAAAACTCTTTCACAAGGCAGCACACAAAAATGCATAAACAAATATATCACAAGAATATAAGATTACACAATTTAAGAAAACAATGCATTAAAATATCAGCATCCATCCATGTAACTCATATGGGGGCATGCCACATTTTACTAACTTCCACAATTTCATGAACTTCGCTGCCAGGCTGACCTAGAGAATCTACAACATTTGATGTGAATTGTTAAGCATCACTCGGAATAAAACCCAACACTGTTTGTATCAATGGATTGGTTAAATTCCATCTCCATTGTGCACATATTTCTGTACAACAGCACATGCAAGCTTCTTGCTAGGCAACTTGCAGGAAGCAGGTGACGGATCCCCACTCCCTGAATCTCTTATTTATGTTCTTAGTGTTTTGCTGAGAATAGCAAAGCTCCACATGCTCAGAAACTGCACCAGGGTCCCCAACCCTTATCAGTATTATTATTATTATTATTGGGAAGTTTTTAATATTTGATGTTTTACTGTGTTGGATGCACCCAGAGTCAGAGAAAATAAAGATATCCACATGATGGCAGAGGGGAAGTTAAGAAGTAAGAGGACTTGGTTTGGCTGCCTTCACTACCCTCTCACACTGCAGACTATCACCCAAGCTGTCATACAGCCCAGAAGGACCAAAAAGGCAGTTGGCAAGGTGACAATGCTATACTGCTCTGAACTAGCCAACCGCTTCTTGGGTTACAGACTGTTGTTTAGTACTGCCCAAGATTTCTTCCAGTGTGGCAGATCGCGCACCTCTTGGATCAGGTTGTACAGCAAAGTGTTGTCTTAGGCCAGCTCTGGATTGCGACCAAGAGTACAACAAGGGGTGTGTGTTTACCAGCGTCAAACTTCCAGGATGGTTTTCTGGAGACAATGCTGCCCTCTACAGAGCGACCAGGGGAATGCCTGTTGGAAGATGCAGGAGTGGCTCTGTGACAGGTCAGATGGACTTGTGCTGTTGTTAAGGTGTGATTAAAACCAGAGCAGAAAGGCAGCTCTGGAAGGACTGAGCAAATCTGGGTTGAAGAGGAGGAAAGTAGCACTGAATCAAGGAGCAGGAATCTGCAGGAGTGGTGAGCGCTGGTTGGTCACTGTGAGAACAGGATGCCAGCAGGCTGTCCTTATCCATAATATTTTTGGATGTGTAGCAAACATCGTTTTAGGAACTTAGGTGAGAGAAAAGCAGAAATGCCTCTTAAGACTGGCCAACTGGAGTTTTTTAAAAAATTGCAGTTACTTGTATTAAAAATGATAGTATTTTTATATGCTTATTTTCAAATGGCAGATTAAACTTTTTTTAAAAAAAAATTGGATCAAACAGATTTGATTCACTGCTGCAGCTTTATGCTGTCCCTGATGCCCGTCTTCTACTTAACAGCTGCACATCAAGCAAAAAGTTTGACTAATGATTTGCCGATCATCACAGCTTCTGCCCAGGGTGGAGGCACAAGTGGGTGTACTGAATTTCTGCCAGTTCTGTAGTAACCCCTCAGAACAGGAAGAAAGAGGGAAACTGAGCAAGAAGCGACAGGGGTTGGCAGCATGAGGTCTAGTCTCTACATGTGGCCCATTCTCAAAACAGTCTCTGAAATGAAAGGAGCAGGAGCAGCAACACATAATGGCAGGCAGATTATGGTTCATGACCACTGGTATACAGGATCGGGGATAATTCCACTGCCAAATCATTAAGAGAAATGCAGGAACACTTAAGAGTCAAGACAGGGAGGAGAAAAACAAAGGAGGTTTAAATAAGAGCCCCATGCTGTGTCTATGGTAAAGCAACTGGTACACAGCATGGAGGTTAGGGATCTGAAGACAGAATTGCCATGCCTTAACCAGGAATAGGGTCTGTATTATTAAATACCTATTTTACAAGAAGTGCTGAGAATGCTTGTTAGTATAGCATAATGCACAATATAAAGCAAAACAAAAAACAACTCAGCCAATTTTATTAGCTCTGAAATGCAAAACACAATTCATGCTCAATGTCTTAAAGCAAGAATTAACTCATCAGCTTTTCCTCCTTGTTTCCTCAGAGGCTGCCTGGGAGTTCCCTGCTGTGCAGAGTTAGCTTCACATGAAATGGGGATACAAAGAGAGCCACACCGATTGTGACAGCTTCCAAAGCAAAGAAGAGTCTCTGGGTTTCCCCTCCCAACTCAAAAGTTCTTAAAACCATCCTAGGGCTTTTCAGGCAGTGACACCCGAAGATATCATAAGTTACGCGAAGCTCCCCTGCCCCACATTGGTTACCTCTCTTCAGCATGTCATCAGCCATCAAGGACGCCAGCCGGGCATCGCCCAACATCACAGGGCAAATAGGGTGGTCATTCCCTGAAATGGTGAATCCAGCTGCCGCCATCTTGCTTCGGAAACTGCAAGGAAGAGGAACGCCTTCAGCGTGGGACCTGCTTTGCCTGTCCCCTCTACGGAGCACTCCCTCCCTCTCCCATTTATGTCTGTGGAAGGGACTGTGTACTATTTTACTTCCATTCTGACACAGAAACTGTTCTGACAGCAGAAAACATCACACCCTCTAATAAAGCACTGGTGTGTGGAGTGCCGACAGCTATAAGTCAAAATGTGACCAGTGACAAATGAAAGGGAGTATATTTGGAGGAACCAAAAGATGTACAAAAGTACAAATAGTACTTTCGGGGGGAATGGGACTAGCTGAGCAAACTCCCCCCAAAACAGCCCAATGAGGGTTCAGCATGTTCAGTGGCCAAAGAAGGTGGAAAACCAGGAAAGAAAATGGAGTATCCTAAGGAGGGGCGCACACTATGGGTTGTAAACCATCTTGAGGACAATTTGAACAAAAGGTGGTCTAGATAAATGACAGGCTCCCTTACCGTGTGGTCTTGGCAGCCATGGACTGTGCAATGGCATTGCTCTCCATGAGGATATCCAGAGCCTTGGAGGCACAGCCCACCACGGCAGGAGGCAAACTATTGGAAAAGAGGTAAGGGCGCGAACGTTGGCGCAGAAGGTCAATGAGCGCTTTGGGGCCGGTTGTGTAGCCACCTGCAAAGAGAAGAAAGACAAAGTTAGTTCAAGGCCCCATGGGCCACCATGGATGACATAGATGACTGTGCTCTTCAAGGGGGCGAGGGAGACGCTCATTTGTTGTGCTCATCTGCTCTACCCAATGGAGGTGTGGGAAACTTTTGACCCTCCAGATGTTGCTGGAGTACAACTCCCATCATCCCTGCTGCAGCCATGCTTGCTGGGGGTGATGGGAGCTGTCGTTCAGCAATGACGGGAAGGCCAATAGGTCCTCACACCAGCTCTAGAGCAATCCCTTCTAGATCGTAAAATGGATTTTGTCAATGGCAGGTGCTCAGAACTGAACCACTCTTCCTTTAAGGCAGGGGCAGGGAGAGGGATGAAAGTGGGCAGAGCCAAGGATCCACTTTTACCTTTACACAGCAGGCTGCATTGCAACCACACACACACAGGTTTTCTACACACACAAACACACACCTCTCTTTTCTCCATCCAAGCAAGTGAAATACATTATCACAGTTCAAGGGTACATTCCAGCCAGGCAAAAGTATTTGAGCACAGAGCAGAGACAGTGAGGGCTGTGGTCTACGGAGAAGGGGGTTAGCCAGACGAGGGGCATTGCCTCCAAAGAGTTCCAGGGGCCAGGCAGAGAAGCCTAGAGGGCCCCAATGCCTGAGATTCCCAATCTGCGCTTTAAGATATCAGGTGCTGCCACAGCTAAGGCAGAATTGGGGGCTGGGGACTTTGCTGCTCTCCAATTTCTACTTGAAACGGCTTCCTCCAACTCAGTGGTTTCTCTTGACTCTATTCCCTTTCCCTGCCCCCATATTCAAGGATGTTCCTTGTGTCTAGCCCCTCTAGCTTTGGCCCAAAGATGACATAACCAACCTGCCTCTCAAATCATCTCTGTGAAAGAGAGAGAGGTGAGAGGAAGAATAATGAACAGGGAGACCTCTGGAAAATGGATGGTGATGAAGAGGATGTCAGCTGTTCTGAGTTTAGAACGACAAGCAGGACAGAAGTTATTAATACAAAAAAAAAATGTATTTTTCTCCCCTACACTTCTAATTAGGGTACTGCTAGTTAGCAACTGCACCTGCTGCTCCCCCAAGCGCCTTCCCAAGTGTGGAGTTGATTATAGTGACTTGGTCCATCACTCCCAAGAGTTCGTCAGTGCCCCTGCAAGGAGAAAATAACTGTTATTAGCTTAGGCTTCAGAATTCTCCCATTCGTCTGTTCCAGAGCTGAGCTGGGGAAGCTTTCTCCTCCAGGCGCTGCTGGACTACAACTCCCATCATCCCCAGCAACTGGAAATGCTGTGACGGCCTGCACGTGGTCTGGGAAACAGCTATGAATATAAATGTAGGCCAGTCACCAACTCTCAGCCTAACCTACCTAAACAGTAAGGCAGGTTGGTGAGACAGTGCCCCATTCACTCTAATGGAACAGACTCCACAGCTGGTTTGTTTCCCTTCTAACAAGCCCAAATTGCTAGCCAGGATTAAACCATGGTTTGTTGTTTGCTTACAGACTGTGGTTCGTTACAGAACAAACCATGATCTCGGGTTCAAACTGAAGACAAAGCAATCTCCTTCCTGATTGTTTGCCCTCTTTCCATTAATATTATTATTTATCCAATTTGTATACAGCCCTCGGTGTTGTTTTTTAGTCGTTTAGTCGTGTCCGACTCTTCGTGACCCCATAAACCAGAGCACGCCAGGCACTCCTGTCTTCCACTGCCTCCCGTAGTTTGGTCAAACTCATGCTGGTAGCTTCGAGAACACTATCCAACCATCTCATCCTCTGTCGTCCCCTTCTCCTTGTGCCCTCCATTCTTTGGCGATCAGCCTTCTTTATGGTCCAGCTCTCACTTCCATACATCACTACTGGGAAAACCAGAGCTTGAACTATACGGACCTTTGTTGGCAAGGTGATGTCTCTGCTTTTTAAGATGCTGTCTAGGTTTGTCATTGCTTTTCTCCCAAGAAGCAGACGTCTTTTAATTTTGTGGCTGCTGTCACCATCTGCAGTGATCATGGAGCCCAAGAAAGTAAAATCTCTCACTGCCTCCATTTCTTCCCCTTCTATTTGCCAGGAGGTGATGGGCCCAGTGGCCATGATACATACAGCCCTTACATCCCAAGATTACAAGGAGGTCCACAACATAGGCCAGTTAATGGGGGTTCAATAAAAGCCATAAAAAAGCAGTGTGTGGTTTATTAAGCTTCCTATTTTACTGCTATGAGCTAACTTAGCCAGGGCATAAAAAATATCACTCTTCTTCAACCACCCCATTGGTCTTTTTATGATGACTGAACTGCTGTTCTCACCCCAGAGTCTGCTTTATATTCTGCTATTTTAAGTCATTATTATCATTGTCACTATCATCTTATAATGCAACGCTGGGTTTTATATAGTGTGTTTGATACTGTATTTTCACTTGTGTGCCACTTTGGGGGCTAAAAAGCAGCACAAAATTAATCCTGACTCATTATTCTCAGGGCTGCTACCCCTGCTCACTTCGTTTGCCAACCTCCCTCCCCATTCCCTATGCCTGACCAACCCCCCCCCCCCTTTACACTTGGCCAGCCTTGCCAAACCCACCCTTGCAGGTCACTCAAACTCCAGCACAGGTAAGCTACAGACCAAGAGGCAGGACAGGCTGGGGCAACTCACCAGCAACCATCTGGCTCTGTGATCATTTCCTTGCTCCTCGGTCTCTGACCCTGGTGAGGCCAAAATAGCAGCATCAGTATGGTGTCCTGATGTTCCTCTGTGGTTTGCCATGACCACCTGTTCATTCACCTGCCTGTCTGGGCTGCCCACATGCTATTCGCTGCTTTGCTGCAGCTCACATGGCTGCAGCAAACTGCACCTTGACAACATCCTTACAATTTTATTATATAGTTAGAAATCACTGGCGATAATTTTTCTTTGCTAAAAACGACAGCAACAAAGAATGCGACGAAAGAAAATACTTTGATTTTTTTTTACCGTCCGTTGGGCCCAAGAAATCCAGTGGCGTGACATTCATCAACAAAAACAATAGCTTTGTATTTCTGGGACAGCCTACAGATTTCCTGCAAGGGAGCAATGTCACCATCCATGGAGAAAGCACCATCCGTAGCCACCATCCTCAAACGATATTTCTGCGTAGGAGAGCAAGCAGGGATGTGGTCAATGGAGACCAAGTAAGCAAGAACCTAAGAAAAATTGCTCATGGGGAGGTGGACACTTGGAAAAGCAGCAATCTGACTTTGCTTTGGAGCCACAGCACCAACTTACTTGGGCATCCTGCAACTTGGCTTCCAGGTCCTGCATGTCCATGTGCTTGTAGCGATATTTGTTGGCTTTACACAGCCGGATCCCATCAATGATAGAGGCATGATTCAGTTCATCTGAAAGTATTGCATCTTCAGGGGTCAGTAGAGCCTGTAGGTACCGGAAGGCAGAGAGAATAGTTACAGCAAGCACCTGCTTACTATACATCACTTAACAACTGAAGTTTCATACTTCCCTAAAATAATAGGCTACTCCACAGACTATTAAAAAATGCCCACAAGAGTCCTGTGACATTTTCTTTCCCAATACAAGGGATATCTAACTTAAGCCAGTGTTGTATAATGGTTAGACCTGAGAGACCAGGGTTTGAATCCCCACTCATGCATGAAGCTCACTGGGTGATCTTGGGCCAGTCACCATCTCTTAGCCTAGCCTACCTCACAGGGGTGATTTGAGGATGAAATGGGGTGAACAAGAACCATGTACACTACCTTGAGCCCCTTCGAAGAAAAAGGTGGTATATAAACTAATAAATAAAATAACTATGTTGTGATGCTTGTGCTATCCATTATGGCCATTGTGAATGCTCTGTGTGATTTTTGGATACATAGAAGTTTAACACAGGGGTTGCTAACCTGTGGTCCAGATGTTACTGCATCCAGTGTGGCTAATGGTCAGGGAAATTGGGATCTGTAGCCCAGTAACATCTGAAGAGCCATAACTTCCCCAAGTCCACTTTAACAAAACTGTCATGGACTATGTGTATTGCACGCTCTTTCCTTTTGTCCTCACTGACACACACACACCTCCCAGTATGTGGCTGTGCATGTCTGCCAACTGAAGATAACCATGCATATTATGAAGTAAACCTTAGTCCACAAAAACGTATGCCATAATAAAGTTGCTTAGTTTCTAAGTGCTGTGAGATTCTTAGTTCCCTGTTGGTGCAACATATTAACATGGCTACCCCTCCGGAAATCTGTCACAAAGAGAGTTGCTTTGGGATTTTGATGCTTTCCACTGACCACCCCCCAAACACCAACACCCAACTTCCTAAACAGAAAGTGCTATGAACCTCAAAGATCCCAGCATTGGCATCAAAGCAGCTGGCGTAGAGAATGGTGTCTTCTCTCTGATGGAAACGGGCAATCTTCTCCTCCAGATCCTTGTGTATATTCTAATGAGAAAGCACAGAAGATTCCAATGGTTATCCTGTTATGTTGCTTTGAGACATTTTCTTTTCCTCATAAAGCAGCTAACAAATTTAATACATTATATATTATTGTCACCATTAGTGCTATAGCCAGACATTCTAGATCACTTATTTATAAACACTGAAAGTTAAATTGGGATCCTCTTTTGTTCCAGGGTTCTAGCCTTGCTAAGATTTGTACAGAGGTACCTTGGTTGTTGAACTGCTTGGCTCCTGAACAAATCAGCTCCCGAACGCCACAAACCTGGAATTGTGTGTTCAGGTTTGCGAATGTTTTTTGGAAGCCGAACGTCCGACTTCCATGGCTTCCAATTGAGTGTAGAAAGCTCCTGCAGGCAATTGGAAGCCGTGCCTTGGTTTTCAAATGGTTCTGGGAGTCGAATGGACTCCCGGAATGGATTAAGTTCGAGAACCAAGGTACCACTGTACTCCAGTCCTCCTTAGCCAGTCTGCTTGCCCCCAGGGCCCAGCACTGAAACATCTACATGACCATACCTTTTATTTTGTAGGATCTACCTTGACTGAAACAGGCGTATGGGAAAGGCTATTACTTCCCACATCTAAAACAGGCCCAGCTTTCTTGCCAGAAACATCTTGATGACTGTGGAAATACCACCATAAGGAGAGTCGTGCTGGATCAGGCCAAAAGCACATTTATTCCAGCATCCTGTTCTCACAATGGTCAAACAGATGCCTATGGGGAGACAGCAAGAAGGACCTGAACGCAACAGCACTCTCTCTACTTGTGCTTCCCAGCAAATGGGACGCAGAGACATACCGCTTCCAGCTATGAAATTTAACATATAAATTCATTTCCCTGAGTTTGTATATTGGCAAATTCATATACAGTGGTATCTTGGGTTACGTACGCTTCAGGTTACATACGCTTCAGGTTACAGACTCCGCTAACCCAGAAATAATACCTCGGGTTAAGAACTTTGCTTCAGGATGAGAACAGAAATCGTGCTCCGGCGGCACAGCGGCAGCAGGAGGCCCCATTAGCTAAAGTGGTGCTTCAGATCAAGAACAGTTTCAGGTTACGAACAGACTTCCAGAATGAATTAAGTACGTAACCAGAGGTAACACTGTACCGATAAATTTGGGAGCTCTGTGTGTGTGTGGTGGTGGATAGGCCTGTACAGTGATCCTTCCCATTATTATTCTTTCTTGGGTTGGGGGTGATGGAAGGTGTATGTGTTTGCACTCAATTCAAAGGCTAATTCCTATGTATGATGACAGGTTCTTCATCAATGAAGGTGCACTGAAGCCTTAGAAAGATGTCTTTTGTTGTTCAGGGCCACTTCTGAGACACATGAGAAAATTCCCCCGAGAGGAGCTGCATCATCATTCTATCGGGATAGCTCAAGTGAGTTTTAGGTGGGGCTGTGCAGCTGCCTAGGGGCAGAAATTGTTAACTTGTGCATAACGCAGCATCGTGGGAATCCTTTTCCTTCAAGTGATGTTTCCAGCCTGTACATGTTGAGAGTGTGTGGGTAACATCTGATAATATCAAATAGTCAGCTATGGGGTGGAGACAGGATGCCCTGTGTGGTTTCTTCTTACTGCTTCTTCCCACAACCATAAGAAGTGTAAAATTATGCATAGCATGCAAATACATGTAAATATGCTTATTCTGTATCATTACTGCTACACACTTTCATTGTTTCCTTCATGCAGAACTTTGAATTTCCTTCTCCCCTCCCCCCCCACAAAAAGGCAAAGTCCTTGGATTATAGCTGCTTGTGAATTAATAAAAAAGCATCAATGCAGCCAGAGCTTTTCCTTAATTGCTAAAACAATAGCAGTTTTAATCAAGAAGCTTGCCCTCAAAGCAATTACTTGAAGCAGGCCAGTGGCATTTTCAGACGCTTGCACTGCGAATATGGTTAGGTCTTTGCAACACTCCTGCTCATTCCTACTTGTGTTCCACAGATGAAGCGGACGGAACTGAGGCCAGCTCCATACTTCTCCAGGGCCTCCAGTCCAGAATGGATCACCTTGGGATGGCTGGACAATCCTAGGTAATTGTTGGCACAAAAATTCAGGATATCTGCAACAACGAGAAGAAGACTGAAACAAACAAGCGATGTGCACACACTCCTACCTTATTCATCTTCTTAAGTATATTTCTCACTTTGATTCTAGGAACATAGGAAGCCGCCTTGGACCAAGTCAGGCTATTTAGCTCTCTACTGTCTTCAGTGATGCTCTTTAGGATCTCCAGCAGATGTTTTCTCTACCACCCACCATCTGGTCCCTTTAACTGGAGATGGTGGGGGCTGAAACTGGAGCCTTCTACATGCAAACCATGAGTTCCCTCAACAAGCCTGCCTCCCCCCGCCCACCTGGCGATACCCAGATATTTTGCACTGCAACTTCCACCATCTCTCACCATTCACTATTCCTTCTTGGGCAGATGGGAGTTGTAGTCCAAAATATACAGAAGGCACCTGGTTGGAGAAGACTGCACCCAGTTATAGTCTCTTCCCTATAGTTGGAGCTAGAGGTCAGGTGGTGTTCATAGCATAATGCTTCTGTAGAGGGAAATGAGAAAAGAAGTCACTGCTGTTGCAATACTCATATGCTATGTCCACCCTACCTTACCCAGCTTAAGGGAATTTGGGGTGGGGAGGGCTGGCTGGCTGGCTGGCTGGCTAGGGAGAGAGGTTTTATTACAAATCAAGCAGCAAATTTTATTAAACGAAACAAACAATTTACTGGTAGCCTTGGACATGTTTGTAAAACAGAGGATATTAAATGCCTACTTTGTGACGAAGCACTATGCACACTTGAAATGCTAGGAATTTAAAGTTAAAATCCCAAATCAAACTTTCTAGCCCATTTTTGATGCTGAGAATTTGTGCTTATGGAATGCACTGTATTTTTAGCCACTTGAAATGTACAGAAAACTTGAAAGAACTGGCTGCTTGAAATCTTTGGAGGAGGAGAATTTGATTCATGAGAAATTACGGTTCAAAGCAGAGCTCCACAAAGTCCCCCCCCCACCCCAATTTGTGTGTGCAGCAGCTACATAGTTCAAGCGCAGGTCAAGTATCTATGGCCTCCAGATGTTGTTGGACAGTCATTAGCTCCAGCCACCATGACTAATCTTCCTTATTAAGGGTAGTGCAAACTGTGTCAAACCACATTGGGAGGGCCACAGATTCCTCATCCCTGATGAATTAAATGGAAAGGATACAGCTTTTTCTCAAAAATGACAGCTCAACTCAAAAGACATTAGGCAATAAGTTGAAATTCTGGAGTTTACACAAAAAGATCTGGCAGTTGGTAAGAAAAGCAGAACTAAAACACACACACACTCTCTCCATTTGTTTAACAACGCTACTTGGAACCAGGTCAACTAATCAAGCCTCCATGAGCTAAAGAGCTAAAACAAACACACCAAGAGTACTGAGCACAGGATCAGAACTACGGAAACAGTCCAGTTAAGGAAGGTTCTACCAAACATATGTTAAGTTTCTACTGGCTATATCAATTACAACGATACATATTCTCACAATTGTGGCTCATTTTGTAAGAATAAATAATACTTAGTAATCTATATAATAGGCTATTACAGACATGATTAGTTTACATATCAAGTCAGTTTTAAGGAACAGGTGTTGGCTAATAGCCTGCTCACAAACAAAAAGGAGGAAGGAAAAAGGGACACAGGGCCTGAATGCTGTGGATTAAGCTTGTTTCTGTTGTGCTATTCATCTGCCTTGTGAAACTGATGGATCAGCTGGATCCAACCTTTTAAACAATACACTCATCCCCTACAACTACCTCTTTTGTTTCTGCACTACACCTTCCTGTGCCCCAATCAACGTTTTCACACTCTTCGGGCACTGTAAAAGCCCTCCCTTCTATCAATATGAGTTACCATTCTCTAACTTCAGCCACGGTTAGACTAATAACACTGAACTGAAGTTTTTTTTTTCAAACGTAAAGCGATTTTGCAAATATACTTTCAGTTCTGCATAGCTCCGTGGAACTGCAGCACTCACTAGATAAATTACATTGCTGAGGGTAATAGGAGCCACGATGCTTTCTCCTTATAGCCAGCACCTAAGTTCAACAAGTTTAACAGGCCATGGAACCCTGATGGAAGAGGGAAGAAAGGCGGCCATGTTCTCTTGGAGCTGTCAAAAGGAATCCTATTTGCCTAAGGCAAAAACTTTCCTCCTTAACCAGGCCTTTAACTACCTGTAGCCTTTTAGAAGTGAGTGCAATGTTTTAATCTCTTTCCTCTTGGTTTTAATGTATCTATGTAGGCAGTGCTTTTTTCTGGGGGACGCATACCCCTAAACATTTTGCGAAATTAAGTTTGGCCTCACTGAGGGGCAGTATTTCAATATGAATAGGAAAATGAGAGTACCCCTAAACATTTTTAAAGGAAAAAAAGCACTGTATGTAGGATTTATTGTCTGTCTGTCTGTTTTGGTTGTTAAGTCGCTTTAGGTTGCCCTGGGCACGATAAAGCAACTGGCAAAATTCAATTAATTAATTTAATATAATAGTAAGGCAACTCCAGCCGAAGCTCTCTTTCTGCTATCCAAGTCCCCGCCCCGGGATTTTGCCTCTTAGTTAAGCAGCAGCAGGGTGCCTTACCGCCTGCCCCCCCCCCACCTACCTCCGCGGCTGCCTTCCACCTGGATGCGCGGTCCTTGCCTCGAGGTGATCACCCTCTCGCCCTTCCAGGTGCCCGCGCCGCGGATGCCCTCGAGCTCCCCCTCCAGCACCTGCTGCAGCTGCGCCAGGGCAGACTGGGCCCGGGAGGGGCTGCCCAGGCCCGGAGAAAGCGGGGTCCTCAAGAGGCGCCTGCACCACCACATAGCCGAGCTCCGCGTGCAAAGCGAAAGAGAGGAGGAGGAAGAAGAAGAGGCGAGAGGCAGGTCGCTGGAGGCGTAGGCCGAGCCAGCCAATCAGGCCTCGGCGGAAGCACGACCAATGGGCGGCGGAGCTCATTTAAAGGGGCAGAGAAGAAGACGCGGGATGCGGGAAGAGGTGCTAATTGCAGGATGCTCTCAGCTTTCACTGCTTTTTTGGGTAAGTTTCCATTGTTTTTAACGCAAGCTTCCAGTGCACGATATGGAGCGGGACCTTACGGTGGTGTATTCGGGCTAACCCTTTTCTCCAGCCGTATTTATCAGCCTCACACCTTGCTTCAATTTATACTTGGGGGAGGGTTGTCATTCGATGCCATGGGACATTTCCCCCGTATGCTAACTGCAGGCATGGATCCGGGTCGGGACCGTTTGTGTGCAGACGACAACTGCTTATTACCACCTCCCGCCTCACACACTCTGCTCTTTTTTTTTAAGCCGGATCTAAAATTTTAAAATAAATTAATAGTTGTTTTAATGTATTTTTAATCTTTGTTGGAAGCCGCCCAGAGCGGCTGGGGAAACCCAGCCAGATGGGCGGGGTACAAATAATAAATTATTACTATTATTATTATTCGGTCTTAAGTTCCATACCAGCGGCAAAGCAGGTGCTTTGGAAGGAAAAAGGTTCCAGGTTCACTCCGTTCTCTCGTATGAAGCCCAGGAGAGCCGCTGCTGCCGGTCAGTGTCCGCAGTACTGAGCTTAGATGGGCCGCTGAACTGGCCTGACTTGGAATAAGGCAGCTTCCTACGCCCCGGTCAGCAGGACCTGCGGCACAAAAGGTGCTGCGCCGATGCCTACAAGCGGCCTAGGGCTGTATGAGGAACAATAAGAGCGTAGCTAAGATTGGAGGTTTCGATCGAAGAGGTTTCATGGAGCTAAGAAGGCTGCTTACATGCTGGCCAGGTGTGGCAAGATCCTCCTTTCGGTAGGGAGATATCTGTCTGAATTGTGAATGGCTTGGCTAGGAAACACCGGGAAGGTCCTGAAAGGGGCATATGTCTTTATGACCACCTGCACCCTAGCTAAGGATGATGTGCTTTAGGTCTGTGAAAAAGAAAATAAGCCAGAGAGGGAGAGATCTGAGGCTCTGTTCTGGGGCAGTAAAGGTAAAGGGACCCCTGACTTTTAGGTCCAGTCGTGGTCGACTCTGGGGTTGCGGCGCTCATCTCGCTTTGTTGGCCGAGGGAGCCGGCGTACAGCTTCCAGGTCATGTGACCAGCATGACTAAGCCGCGTCTGGCGAACCAGAGCAGCGCACGGAAACGCCGTTTACCTTCCCGCCGGAACGGTACCTATTGATCTACTTGCACTTTGTCGTGCTTTCGAACTGCTAGGTGGGCAGGAGCTGGGACCGAACAATGGGAGCTCACCCCGTTGCAAGGATTCGAACCGCCAAACTTCTGATCGGCAAGTCCTAGGCGCTGTGGTTTTAGCTAATAATAATAATAATAATAAATAACTATTAATAAATTTATTACTTATACCCCGCCCATCTGGCTGGGCTTTCCCAGCCACTCTGGGCAGCCTTCAACAAAATATTAAAATACTGTAATACAATAGCTGTTTGTTGGAATGTTTAAGCTGTTCCTCCACCTATTATCAACCTATATATTTGTATATAATATGTACACTTGTAGGTCAGAGTGCATTTGATTTATACTGTGTCCATTCATTAGGAATTAATTTTAATGAAACAATGCACTTCCAAAAGTGGAATTTCCTCCCATGGAAAGAGAGATTACTGGAAGCAGAGTTGCACTGCTGGCCCCACCTTCAGATATCCACAGTTAGGCTAGACTGTGTGCATACGGAAAGGTTCACATTCCTGTTCAGTGACAAAAATTTGCTTGGGAATATTGGTTACCATTATCTCTCAGCCTAACCTACCACAAGTGGTTGAGAAGGTGAAATGGGAAGGAAGAAGCCATGAGCTTGGAGGGTTGGATAGAAATAAATGAGAACTATAAGGAGGACAGGGAGGTGTGATGGACAAGTTTGACACTTTCAGATGTGGGCTCCATAGAAATGTGCCTAGTACAGCACATAAAATAATAGTTTTGTGTGTGTGTGTGTGTGTGTGTGTGTGTGCATGGAACACACACACACATGCATTAGTGCTTAAGAAAGTGCAGAACATAAGCATATAAGAAGAGCTCTGCAGGATGAGACCAAAGGCCCATTTATTTCAGCATCCTGTCCTTAGAGAGAGCAACTTGATACCCCAAGAGTGTTCCCAAGAAGGACCTGAGTGCAAGAGCACTTTCTTCACTTGTGATTCCTCGCAATTGGCAGGCAGAGTCATACTGCCTTTGACAGTAGAGGGAGAACATAGCCAACATGGGTAGTAGTCATTGATAGCCTTATCCTCCATGAATTTGTCTAATCCTCTTTTAAAGACATCCAAATTGGTGGTCATCACATCATCTTGTGGGAGCTTTCTCCATAATTTGACTATGTGCCTTTCCTCTGTCTGTTTTGTCCTGAATCTTTCAGCATTCAGCTTCAGTGGATGGACAGGTCCCTGCCACAAGGAGCTTACATTTTTAAAAAATCTATACAGAGGAGGCACTTGGGTCAGTAAGGGACAAAAAGCAGTCTTTGAAGTGTGCAGGAAAGCTGTGGATGGTGGTCAATGTGGAGGAGGAGGGCTGGAGAAGTGAAGACCACAGGGCAGGGATTTATTGGAACATAAAAGCAGAGAGAGAAGCAAGGAGGACATAGGTGGCTTTGACGATAAGGACAAGGAACTTGTGTTGGATGCAGAAACAGACAGAAAGCCAGTGCAGGAGTTTAAGAAAGTGTGTCACATGATCAGAACAATGCGAGAGGTGAATGTTGTTGGTGACAGAGTACTGAATCATTGATATGATTGGTATCAGTGGCAGGGCAATGAAAATTATCCCTAATTTTATAAAATTTGTATGTCTGGAAGAAATTTATGGAGTCAACTGACTTGAAGCTTAGCCTGGGATCTTCAGCACCTTCTTCCCATTTTTTAAATTTGATAATGAATGATCTAGCTGTTTGTTCTCCCACCTTTCACAGAAGCATTGGCAGAGAGATGTTTTCCCTTCCTCTGTAGTTACACAGTCTCATATTTGCTTGCCTCTTTCCTCCTTCATTCTTTTAAAAGTGCTCAGAGAGTCTTAGTCCTTGTCTGCGACTATTCCCAGAAGATTCCGGCATCACACCTACCAGTAAGTGGATGTTGTTTGTATAAATGTGTGCAGTGTGCTGGCAAATTATTGCAGTGGTTTAATTTGCAATGCAATCCTAACCACATCTGCTCAGAAGTAAGTCCTATTGGATTTAATGGGGTTCAGTCCCAAGTGAGTAGGGTTAAGACTGCAGCCTAAATCCAATTTATCTCCGTTCATTAAAAAAAATAAAATTGCAGTTCCTTATAAACCTTTGCTACTTTTAATATACTGTTTATAGGTTTAAATTGTTTAAATTCTTTTTTAAGTGTGCATCTGTAAGTCAACCTGGGAGCTTGCATGAAGGCAAAAAACATTTTAATAGTAACACCACCACCACAGTCGCTCTGGATTTTGCTCACAAAATTATGTTACTAGACAATGAAATAATGGATTAATAACTCATTATAAAAGGTAGCAGCACAAACTGAAGCCAATCCAATCTCTATATATTTAGAGTAAGCAGTGGCCTCTACTAGTTAAGCCATAGATTTGTGTTGAAAATGCAAGCATTGGAAATTTCAAAAATCTCAAACTGGATTAGGATTTGGGCAGAGAGCTGGGGGAGAGGCAACAGAATTCTTCATCAGAGATACATATACTGAATTTTCTTTTTGGGTCATCTGTTTTCCACAGCTACCAGCTCTGCATTAGAACAAAGCTTTCTTTTATATTCCACGCTGGCTTGCTCTGAGCTTTACTCACTACCCAACCCAACCTGTGCTACAAGCTATCTATCTACTCAGCCAGAATCTGCTCAGACTTTGTTTATGGCTAGGGCAGCCAGAGACAGACACTTGCTACAGGAGAGACAGCTGCCTGCAGTTTCTTCCTTGTCATAGAGTAGGGTTTCTCGTGCCTTTTCCAGGCACAGGCTGGGCACCCAACTTTCAAAACTCGACTTATAAAGTGATACCAAGAATGTTATTGCAATAGAGCCACAAATTGAAACTATATTTTGTGTTCCGTCTGCAGGCTTTCATTCTGCTTGGTGACACTGGGACCTTCAACATGGCAGTATAGTGTGGAGCTGTTCATGCATGCAAATTTTGTTCAGTGTCTACAAGTCAGCCTCATCAAAACAGTGCTCCATACACCTACTCCCAATTCAATACAGATTTATTATTCCCTTGGTTGTTTTCACTTATCAAATTTTCTGGAGAAAATGTGGAATGAACAGAAAACAGCATGGGATGGCATTTTTATGAGGGTGCTGTCATGTGAGTGTTGCACAAAACCTGCACCATGAGCAGCACCCATTGGCCCTGATGTTGCACATAACAGTTCACTACAAAGACTAGCAAAATGCAGTTAACAAGCGCACTGGCCTGAGGCAGTGGTTTTACATGGACATACCTGATCTGTATCACAAGCAGGTGAGGAAATGTGAATTGCCACTATGTAGCATGGTGCGAGATTGTGGTGGATGCACTATACAATATGCAGACACACATGAACTTCCAACATATTCCACAGGGTGGGTCCTGCATGTGACCCCACATTAGAAACCACATGAAGCTCCTAACCCTGGATGTAGGGAATCAGTGTGGAGAACTCTGCATGTTGACGGTCTCAAGGTTTAGTTCTCAGCCTCTCCAACTAGGGATGGGAAAGACCCCTTTATGAAACCTTGACAAGTCTGGATTGGTCAGGGTAGACAATACTAAGGCTATGTACACCAGTTTACTCAGCATCCAGAGTGCTCCCATCACCGATTGGAGAAATGGTGTATGCACAGCATTAACCACAATCCACCTGTAATTTGTTAAAATCAAGTACCTTTTGATGCCTTTCCACGCAAACCAGCTTCAACTGCAATTGAAGTAACAGTTTAGCTGCAGTTTAAGCCAGTAATGCGTACACAGCCAAAGTTAAATGGACCAAAATTCTGAATTTGGATAGAACCTAGTTTTACATGGGGGAAGTCGTAATATGGTGATCAGCAGAGAAGTCCCTTTCCTACCTGAAATTTCCATCTATAAGCATGCCACACATATTTAATTGATTTTAATTTCATAGAACTTCACGGGCATTTCAGGGGATCCGATGCATTCATTCTGTGAATCTATTTCCTGCCTTCCATGTATGCTGCCCTTTATTCCTACTCAAAACAGTAATTGTAGACAGGCCTTGGGGCATCTCACTGTGTTACTATGCAACAGAAAAGTAACTGCTCCCCTCCCCCACAATTATCTTCAGTGAGGTGGGAAAGTATAAGAACAACACGCAGTGGCAAACCAGTGTTTGGATGGGAAGTGTATTTGCCATGTGGACTTTAGAATGAAGCACTGTTTTAAACACATAATGGACACACCTCAAGGAGCAAAGTTGGGTAGGGAGGGGAGAGAAATTCAATTCCATTAACATTAAATGTGTGATCTACTGAACCGACACTTTACAAAATGATACAAGAACTGAAATACAGCCATCCTTAAAAATTCATACTTATCTGAATTTTGTAATGTAGTTCTCCGAGTAAACTGTTTGCAAAAATGCATATATTAGGGGAAAATGTGGATAAAAATGAATGTATCCATGGAAGTAACATACAAAATTGCATATGACCAATTCATTGCCCCCCCAAAAAAGTGTACATTGGTTAAAACTGTATGCAAAAAATGTGATTAGGAGAAATTAAAAATGCTGGTGGCTTTTCATGAGGATTTTTTTTAAAAAAAACACTAAACTGCTACAGAAATGTGGAGAATTTAAGATTGGAAAAATTTAAAAGGAGAACTGAAATTGACAGTTGGGTTTTCATGCACGTGTCTATTGTGCTCACAAATACATTTACATTCCATAGCACATAATCACTGCATTTGCTGAAACATGCTTGCCGCATACTGTGGATCAGTTTGCATAGGACTAAGGAACCTACTTGCAAATTGGTTGGCCTTTTCCCTGTGAAATACACAACTATTTCTTAACTGCCTTTTTTCCATTGTAAAGTGAGATCATGCCTTGCAAGGCTGCCATCTAGTGGCTAATTATGTGGAGATTTTCATGGTGAAACTTTCCATTCATCCAGATTCTTCACAATAACCCAAGAAAGTGTTCCCATAGTTTAGACACCAACAGAAGTTTGTTTCCTTCCATTGCACTTTCACTGATGCAGAACTCTCTCCCCCCTTCAAGCTTTACAGAATCAACCGCGCATGGTCCCATTTTGAGAATGTACAGCTGAGCCTGAATTTTCAATGTTGTTTTATATAGCTGTATTGCAAAAGACAGTACACCGTGGGAAACCTAAGCCATTATGCTGTTTACATTTTATTTTTAACTCTAAAATTACAAAGACAGCTAAATCCTTCTTGCACAAAATTACACATACAAAATAAAATGGACAATCAGCTATCAGTCCTATGAGAATCTTCCGTTGTTTAAACAAGCATATCTTTTTAAAATAAAAATAAAAATAAAAATGGGAGTACTGAAAATTATCCTTTCCATTTCCCCTCCTCATGGGAAAAAACCCCAATCCCAAACCTAAGCAATGGTAACACAGTTTTATAAAGTTACCTCAATAACAAGTCTGCCCCCTCTACATTCATTCTTCCCTCCCTCCCCCATTCAAGATCCACAATTGAAAAAATAAAGATCGCTGGAGGTGTAGGATGCACTGCAGACACAAGACTTTAAACACAAAAAGCTGTGGATAGGCACTGAAGGGTTGGGAAGAATGGAGCTTCTGTTAACACCTTCTCCTGGAAGTTGGCAGGGACCAAGACAGTGGTCAGACTTGTTTAGAAAGAGACAGGAAATTAAATTTTCACTGTATCCCCACTTTGTTGTGGTCAAACTATCATGATTTTAAATAGAGGATCTCCCCCCCCCCCCCCGCATGATTCATTTTAATTCCTTGTCTCCAACTCTACCACCCACTCCAGACAACAGCACAGTCCTCCCCTTGAAAGAGCAGTGAAAAGCTTATCTCAGTCCATCCCAGGGCTAGAAAGACATCATCCTACATGTATGCAGTTACATTAGAATCTTATCCACCATGAAATTTTGAAGTTTTGTAAAAAATGAAGTTACCCTATTCCATCTTGGGTGGCTTCCACTATTAGTTACCTTTCTTAATCCCACCATTTCAGGGCCTTGGCTAAGAAAGTCATCCAATGCAAGTCCCTTTCTTAATTCAAATATTTTTAAAAATCATCTCCAAGCAATAGGAACACTAAAATATTCCCTTATCTGACCTGGTCTTCCCTCATGCTCAAAAACACAAACAAGTATTGCATACCTTTAAGAGAGAGGGGAAGAAAGATGAACACAGAAATCTATTTTTAAAATTCTAATTGGGGGGAAAAATTCAAACCAAAAAAAGGGGAACTTTCATATTGATGAGTGTCATTTAAAAAAGCTATCGATTGAAAGCATTATAGGCGGAATAGTTCAGTCTTTTATAAAGCTGCAATAGAAAGGAGTAGAGAACAAAGAAGGAATCTATTTACAGAGTAGAGGTCAAGAAGAAAGTCCAAGAAAGAAGGTCCCAAGCATGCACTTCACTTTTTCTTGGCCGACTTCTTTGCACTGGACTTTGCTTTGGGTTTCGACGCTTTTGCCTTTTTAGGCTTTGACGCCTTCACTGGCTTAGCCTTGACAGTCTTTGGCTTCTTGGCTTTCTTTGGAGCAGGCGCTGGCTTCTTTTTGGCTTTTTTGGGCGCAGGTTTGGGCTTCTTGGCCGGCGACTTGGCAGCAGCCTTCTTGGGCTTGGCTGCTTTCTTGGGTGTTGCGGCCTTCTTGACTTCCTTCTTAGCCTTCTTGACGGGCGCTTTCTTGGGCTCATCCCCCTTGGCCAGGCGGAAGGACCCCGAAGCGCCGACGCCTTTTGTCTGCTTGAGAACACCTGTCGTCACCAACCTCTTGATGGACAACTTGATCTGGGAGTCGGCGTTCTCCCCCACTTTGTAGTGGCTCTTGATGTATTTCTGGATGGACTGGCGCGAGGAGCCAGCTCGGCTCTTTTCGGCTTGGATGGCGGCCACTATCATGTCCGAGTACTTGGGGTGGTCTGTCGACTTCTTGGCTGCCTTGGCCCGCTTGGGCTTGGCAGCAGGTGCCGTGGACGAGTTCTCGGTCATCCTTGCTTTGGAAGTTTCCCTTCAGGAAAACCGGCTCTTCGCCTCTGCCACGGGTGGCTCCTGAACAGCACGTGGGACTCCCTTGTTTGATGAGGGGAGCAACACTTTTCACCCCCCTCAAAGAGTCTCCTCGTGGCTTCAAACAACACCAGGCGCGAGTGTGGCTGTCGCCCCCCTTCAGGCTCCTGCTGGCGGGGTGTGGTCTGGGCAGCCGTCCCAGCGAATGCCCCCCACGGAAACTTAAGGAGCTCCCGGCTCAGGCCTCGGCTGTGCACCTGACCAGCTTCTTCCGCGGGCAAGCGGCCACGGTCAGCCCTCGCTGGCGTAGCTCTGTCCAGCGGCCTGGGCCCTGCTCGCCCCCCTCTTTCCCCGCTTCTCTCTCCGGGGCGCCACTGGACACCTCCTTCCTCTGCCGTCGCCGCCGCCGCGCTGCTGCCTGTGCCTCCCGCTCTGCGTCTGGCTCTCTAGGCAGCAGCCGGCGCATCCGGGTATTTAGCGCTCAGGCGCGGACCGCGGTGAGGACAGGGCTGCTGGCTGCCTGTTCAGGCCCCGAATGGCGCCGCGCCGCTGACATCTGTGTTTCTTCCGCCGCCTAAAGCGGCTTTTTCCCGCGTCCCCCGGCGCCTCCTGGGCCCCGCACCGCGGCCGCCGGCTGCTCCGGTCCTTGAGCTCTTGGGCCCCGCCGCCGGCTCGCTCTCCCGCCGTCCCGCGCCTCCTCAGGGCGCCCCAAACGGCGCTGGGTGCGAGTGGGGCGCGGCGACATTTCCCCTTTGCGCCCCCATAGCCGAGCAGCCGAGGGGAGCCCCGGCAGGGGGAAAGGCGAGGACCAAGGGGCACCCCTGAGCCACCGGGGGACCCCCGTCCCGGCCCTCTGAGCGCCCCGAGAGCCGCGCAGGGGCCCCGGGAGCAGACCCCAACTAACACAGGGAGCCCCGAGCCAGGCGAGGCTCAGCTCAGACCTGGCCGGGGAGGGGGGAGGAGTGACTCCCCCAAGGGTGGGGGGTCTTTAGGGGGACCCTTGCCCCCCATCCCGTGGACCCCCTCCTCCAGACGCCCCCTCCCCGAAGCCCTAGCGCTGCAAAAACTTTCCTTTTTGTCGGATGGGAAGTTTGCAGCCATCCCCTCCCCCAAGGAGCACCTGGCAGCCCCCTGCTTGGACTTGGGGGTCTGTGGCCAGGGTGGGGGGCACAGGCCTGCCTTGATTGACCTAAGGGGTAGAAAGGGACAGAGGGGGAGTTTGCCTCGCTAACTCTTGTTCCCCCAAAAAGTATTTCGCTGGCCGCAGTGGTTTTCTAAATAATAACAAGTATGCCTATATAGGAAAGGATTGGGGAGGGGGGACGCGAAGCCCCCATATCTTAGTCAACCTAGGGTCGGCGGCTTTTCAGAAACTCCCCCCTATTCCTGCACTACACCTGTCCCCCCGCCCCCGGATCACTTTGAACCCCCACAAAAATGTTATCGAGATTTACATAGGCTGTTTTGTTCCTCCTTGGATTTTCAAGGTGGAGTCGATCCTATTACTTAAAAATACTTTCTCGACAAAAGTTATCGGGGAGGGGGGAAAGGTAGGTGACGAATTGGGGTGCAGGGCAGTTTCTTTAAATGTGTTAACCCTAATTTGCCAGTCCTGTGGGAGTGCTTAACTGTTGTTAGGAGATTAAATGTACGTGCCATCGCCATCTTGCTGGAAGAAATGAGGTTGTTTTTTCCCCATCTCCCCTCTTCAGATTTTTTTCTTCCTTAATAAGGATATTAATTAAAAGCGTTGTGGATGCAAAATTGAAGATGCGGAGCTGCAATCTGACGGCTTGTGGTACTGAGTAACTCCAGGGTGGGAAAGTAAAAAGCACCTCTAGAATACTTTTTAAGAATTATAAAAACAACCTGGGATCCTAGCAACACGGAGAGCACACTAGCAACAAATATATGTATATATAATCGGGCACTTTGGTACCTCTGTCTCCACCTCCCCCCATCCTCATAGGATCACCCCCCCCAACCCCATCGCAGCTCGATTTAAGGCTTTTAAATGTGCGCTTTGCCTTTAGCTTTATTTAAAAATGATCATGGGGATTGCAGTTCTATGGCTGTAGCAGGCGAATAAACGTCAATATCTTTGAAATGCTCGTATCTTTTCTAGTGTTTTTATCTAGTAGAGTTCTTCCTCCAAAAGCAATCGGACTGATGTTTGTGTACTTGGAATAAGTGCAAACACTAATTTAAATATTTTAAAAGGAGTCTCGTGTCCGGATATGATTCTGCTCAGTGAGAGCTACAGACTTGCGTGGTAGTGTTAACCCACCACTAAACACGGTTAAGTTGTTTAGGGAGTTCCAAAGTGAAATGATAGCAGGGGACGATCGGGGAAACCCGTCCGCACACACCTAGCCCCATTCCATTGTTTGGATTCCCGGTCTGGATAAGGGTGTGGGGCTTTTTTGCCAAGATACAGAGTTCCGGGATCGTCTTCCTTCAATTAGCCTCCACCCTTTACCACTATCCTGATGAGTGCATGTATATAAACTGTATATATAAGTTTTTGCATCTAAGTTAAGAGAGTTAACTTAACACTTGGGTGCGAGGATGGAGCGGCGGGTAGATAACGTGCTGTTTTGAAACTCGTTTTTTTAGGTGTCTTTCCTCTTGACTTGCTCTACGGAGATAATGTATCAGAAACGTTGTTAACGGGAGAGGATTGCATTAGTGTAAATTCTGAATGCCCCGCTAACCAGTATTTTAAGGGGGGGGGCGTGGATTTTTCTGTAGGAACAAAGTTATCGATGCAGCAGGTAGAGTAAAAAGGCAAAACTGCAATGGGTGTTTTCCGAAAAAGGCAAAGATGGAGTGTTTTTAGTGAAATAATGACAACGACAAAAGGTGACATCGCGCTTTAAAAAAAAATTGTTCTCATGAAAGTGGCTTTATGAGGGCTGGGCGAGTGTTTAGTGAAGAGTTGAGAATGATCCTGAAAAAGGACCATGGAGGAAGCAGCCCCGTGCACAATAGCCCATTGACAGCCCTCTGTTGACAGTAGTCATAGCTGCTTTGAAGAGCCTCTCATCAGTCAGCTGATTAATTCTTAAAGAGGCTACAGACGAGGCGAAAGCTCGCTCGCGTCGCTCTGGGCCACCGTAGGATGCCCGAGCCGTGGCTTGTGGGAAATGTAGTCGGCACGCTGCTGGGTGCCCTCTGATGGGCAGCAGCAAATGCAGAGCTCTCAAAAATGCGACGGGATAGGATTGCCGTAAGCAGCCGCTGGCTGGCCAATGCACGGCGCCTGTCGAGAACTCGCCTCCTTGCACTGTGCAAGGAGTGCCCCTTCCTGCTCTCCACATTACGCGCACAGACAATATAACAATTTTTTTTGCAGATTTCGTTCTCCTCAACCGTAAGCAAGATCTCGCTGCCTTTGTTGTAACCGCTGATCGAAGCCACTACAGTGGTTTTCTTTTTGATTTCTCGCGGTAGGTATTTTACTTCCCTTTTTGTGGTTTGCCACAGAACTAGTGGCTTCCTCTCGTATCTCCACCGATGCATCAGACGTTTTTTGGAGCGCACCTCGGTGACAGAAATAAGATCAGAAACGGCTTTTTAATGGGCTGTTGTTGTACTACATGCGTTTTGCCGAGTTAGAAAGGCTGTTGAGCTCAGTTTCTTACTTCCGAGTAGGCATGCCTAAGACAGCACTGACAGCCATTTTGAAGAACAAATTTGCATTCTTAAAAAGAAACTTCGATTGAAAAGGGAATTCTAAGCAGTAGGTTTACATACAAACCTGTGACAATTACTAATAGTGATTCATATTTAAGATAATTCTATTTTAAAACTCAGGATTTTAATGCCTAGCCCCATCACAAATCTTATTACTAAGACAAGAGGTGGAGATAAGCAATGGTGTAAATGACTTATTTTAAAAACATATAAATGCAGAGCACTAGCTTTCTGCCACACTAGACAAGAATGGCATTTCCTTTGTGAGTTACCTCATTGCCAGGTACTGAAGATATCCATCCCCAGTTTTGTCTATCTTTATTTCACCCCCTGCAGATGCTCCACCTGTCAATCATCTGACTTGTGACTGGCAGGTAGATGGCCCCATTCACCTGTCAATGATGGCAAATGACGACCAAGCAGGATTGAACCCTGCCACCCATCAGCTGATGCACAGTGAGGGGTTCAATCCCGCTTTCTGCAAGGATCTACTCTGTTAATGTCACCAGCCCATTGGGGTGATTGACTGGTGAGCATGGTTTCAGAAAAACTGATGTGGGCCAGACTGCAACCTCTGACAGGCCAAAGGTCCCCCCCCCACCCCCTCCTTCAGAACTTTTGTCACAATGCAACGAAGGCCATGGGTGAGGCATGAGGTTACCATATTATTGAAGCTAAGATGATCTGGGTAAATTCTGAAGTACTGGTGCTCTTTGTGACCACACCCATAGCCATGCTACTTCCAAGGGTTAACTTTGGGCCAATGGATGCATTATACGTAACTTTAAATGTCAAGCCAGCTTTTTCTCACAAACCAACTCACTGTGCTCAACATCCAGATTGATGAATAATTTTTGTGAACTCAGAACCACATTTACGTCACCTTGGGTTCCACAATGGAAGAAAACCAGGAAACTAAGAAATAAAATTAAATGAGCACCATAAGGACTGCTGTGGTCCTTTCTGGGTCTATGATGATAGCCTTGGGTGGGGGGAATCTCAAGACTGGTGCTTGTGAGGTTTATAAATGCGTAGATGAATCTGCAAGAACTGTTGTTTCTTGCTTTACAATATGTACATAACAGTCAAGCAAGCTGCAGATAAGTGCCAATTATGACAATACCAGAGCAGTAGACATCGCTCTTCTGTGAATGCAGAAGTTGAATATTTACCAGGGCTTAAGTTACTGTAAAGAATTCATGTTAACTTCTTTTGCCCACGCCAAAAAGCAACACCATTTTTGGTATTTGAGGATTTTTATTAAGTTAGTTTATAATTGTGCAGAAAGAAAGAAAATTCAGCCACCTTCATCATTTGGCTCTGGCGACATTAGCAGTGACACCCCTCCCCACAGGAACACACAGGTGGAAGACTAGCTTCTGGAATGTGGCCGGTGCTGACTTTGCAGTAGGATGCATAGACGTTTCATCGGCATAAGGGGGGAAACAACTGCCTTTGCTTTTAGTACGTGAAAACAAACGGCTGGTCCCAAACAAAAAACAAACTAACCCATATTCTCGGAACAAAACCAGTTTCATCTGAAGAACATCCTCCTCCTCCTGGCACAGTGCATCTCAAAACATGGATCACTGTGGATCAACACTGTCCGTCCAAGGAGACTTGCCATAAACTTGGAACATGTGTAAATTGTGTCTCTTTGCTTGGAAGAGAATTGGAAGCAAGAGGTCATGTGTGGTTTCAGATATATTCAAGGACGTGGAACAAGGATTCTGTTATGACTAAAAGGAGGCTGGGGAGAATCTCTGGCTCACTTCTCTTGTCAACTGCTGGTTAAAAACGTAATACAGGATTTTAAAATATAACACCCCACCCCCATATAAAATATATTTTCATGTATAAAATCCCAAAGAAGGTGCAAGTAGTAGGATCCAGCCCCAAACACGCCAAGTTATGTAGGTGCACGTGATGGATAGTCTGATGGAGGCTTGGTCCATTTCCTGGAGAGGGATGCTGGTTGCTAGGATACAGCTTTGTCCTCCAAAGCAAAGTACACAAAGCTGACTAACCTATGGAGCAAACAGACAAAGTTAGCGAAACTGACTTACACCTGAAACATACCAAAATGTGCATAGGAGATGGCAGTCATCATACCACAGGTTTAACAGTTCTTGTTTATAAACTTGTTTTAGACCCAGAATCATTTTAAGGAAGCACAGGATATTTACCGTATTGGCCTGAATACAAGACGCACCTGCAAATAAGCCACACCTTTAAAATTCAAGGCTTATTTGCAGGTGCGGCCTGCCTTCTGGCTCTACCGCCATGAATTGGGGGGTGGGGTGGCCAGCGCTCACTTCTGAGTGCGCTGCACGCCTTTGTCCCCCACCCCCCATGACCCACGTGGGCAGTTGTTTTAGCAGCGATACCGTAAGGTCATGATTATAAGCCTCACTTTAACTTTTCACAATCGGATTTAGGTGGAAAGTGCGGCTTATATTCGGGCCAATATGGTAGATCCTGTAGAGCACAGATAGCACTGTGGAATACAGCTCCCATCATCCATGCATGTTGGCTGAGGCTGATAGCAGTTGGAGTCCAAAGGAAAGCTAGAGAGGGGAAAACATTGTGCTACTCTTCCTGCTGAGAACAAAGGAAGTGTTCACATCTTAATGTTGGTATTTTTGGATACCTGGGTCACCCGAAGAATTCTGCAGGCCCATTCTGCGCTTATGCAGGGAGGGCAGCCTGCTGCTCTAGGCCTAGCTTAAAAAATACAATGAAAGTTGGCAATTCAGACCTGTGGCTAGTGCAATTTGTCCCTTCCCCTGGAGCCTGTTGGGCAACATGGAAAAGGGGGAGAGCAAAAAGGAATGGCCCCATCCATTTTTGGATATGAACCACCCTACTCACCTCTAGCATGTGTGCTGCCACATGATACAGCTACACTTACTTACACACACGAGAATGAAGGCAAGAAAATAGCACCCTCCTAGAACACTCTTCTTGAAGGAACAGCTTCACATTGTTTTATGGTAAGACTAGTTTTGATCATTGGCAAGCAGAAGGCAGAGACACCATGTCCAATATAAGTGGCATCCCCCGGGCTGGAAGCAAATGTGGCCTCTCAAATCCTGTCCCTGCCTCTGCATCCTTGCTCGCTCATAGCTCCACCCGATGTTCCCTTGTCAGGCCTGATAGCTGCTCTCGTCTACTTGCCGATACTGTTGTGAAGCATCTCCTTCTCTTGCAGGGCTGCCATGGCCAGGCGCAGATGCTCCTTCAGCTGCTCAATCTCTCGCTCTGACCGCTGTTTGATGTGGTTCAGCTCCATGTAGACATCCTGGTATTTCCCTGAGGCAAACCTCTTATCCTGTAGGGCAAATCCACATGCTGATAATTGGTATCCAACCCAGAGTGAGACTCGGTTCAAATCCTATTCTCCAGGATCTCCTGCAGTCTACACACCAGGGATGTGGAACCAGATGTTGTTCAGACTCCAGCCCCCAGCTAGCAAGGCTAACCAACAGGGATGATGGGAGATGGAGTTCAACAACATCTGTCTGTGCTGTCCTCTCCAACAGTTTCATTAGCTGATAAACGGAAGTAGAAGATTTGGAACGGGAAGGGGATCTCAGACCTGAGGACCAAATGTGGCCCTCAATACTTTCCCCAGAAAACACCATCCACTCAAATGCTCTTGGCCCAGCTCTGCATTCAAATGCTTTTGGCCTGGCTGGAACGTGTCCTTGAAATGTGATCATGCTTTTTGCTTGCCAGGATGTAAGCATGTGTTTCTTTCTGTATAAACCTCTGACACATACATGGCAGGAACACAGCCTACTGTTCAAAGTTGAGAATCTCCTCCATTGCTCTACCTACTTTGTGCCTCTAGCCCTGCCTACCATCTGGTTAACCACTGTGAGAAGATGGGCCGTTGTCTGGTCCAGCAGGGCCATTCTTCTGAAGAGCTGCTGTTCTTTCCCATTTTCCCAAAGTCTATGCCTTCAGCTTCCTCTGGCCCTCGATGGTCCAGAAAGGATGGAAGCAAGGAAATGAGTCCAGGGGAGACTTATTCTGACCTAACTTAAGAAGCTGCCTTAAGAGCCAGACCATCTAGCTTAGTACTGTCTGTACTGAGTGGCAGTGGATCTCCAAGATTTCAGATGGGACTCTTCCAGCCCTCCTTGGAGATGCCAAGAATTGAACCTGGAACTTTCTGCATGAAAGCAGATGCTCTACAAAGCAGATTGATGTTGCAGGTGGGAATCGCACAGTGACAGCAGCATCAGGGTACCAAACAACACCACAGAGAAGTCAGCATACAGAGTACAACTAACTCTGTCCCTTCCTGCAGGACTTGAGCAAAGGAGGGGCTCTGCCTTTTCCCGGCTGACAAGTGAACCTGACTTGCTCCCAGGAATCTACCTTTTGCATCATTTGGAGTTCGTCCCTAAGACACCGGATTTCTTGCTTCAGGTACAGAAGTTCGTTCTCCTTCACTCGCAGCAGCACCTGCAGAGAAGAGCAGAAGGGGAGAGGTAAGGAAATGGGTTGAAAACTTGCTGAGGGCACAGGTAAAATAGGTTTCCTAATCCCCTTGGGAGAATAAGCAACAATAGCTAGGTTGCTCAAGTGTCCCATATAGCATATTTGCAAAATGGCTTCTGGTACGAAGCAGAAGATCAGAACACACACACACATTTTCACGAATGGGCCAAGTGGTCGTCTAAGAGTGCAGCTACATTCAGCAAGTCATCCACCTTGAGCAACAACAACTGGGCCTCATCACAAGCTTCTTCAAATAACTACTTCACAGCCTATGGCAGCTTTCCTATTGCAAACTGCTTTGATTTTTTTAATGATGTAGTATATAAATGTTTTTATAAATAAAATATATAACTCTTTGCTACTTCATCATGACATTGCTTGAGTATGAAAAGCTTCACCGTCTTTACAGTGCTCACAACCGCCATCTTTTTACGGACTGGGCTGTCCTAAGATTACTCAGGAAGCCCAAAGCCAAGGGTCACTCACACAAAGTCAGACAATATCCACTGTCCTCCATATCAAAATCACTCTCCTTAGTTGCTGTACTCTGTGTTTTATCTGCTTTACAACCATTCCAAGCACAGTTCTCACAGGCAACTGCACAAACGTTTCCCCTTTCCAGCCTTTGATATCTACTCCTTTCCAAACTGATTACTCTTCTCCTGAAACTTTGAAAGCAGCAAGCTCTCAGATATAAGCAGCATTTCATATCTGAGACACTTGGCGCACAATGGGCATTGAACCAGGTTATAAAAAGAAACAAGAGTCCTTACCTCCAGCTCACAAGAGTTCCTCTCGTTGTTGTGTGAAGCACCATCACGTGAGCCTTGGGCTGCAATGAATGCTCGTAGTTGCCCAATTTCCTCCGATAGGCGCCTCTGTAACTCCTGGGGACAAGGAGCGGAAGAGTCAGGCTTCATTTATCTGTTGCTCTTAAACAGGCAGATACTTGGCATCTTACAAAGCCTGTCTTTCCAGGGATCCTCAATGGAAATGGTCAAATCCTAAATGCCTCCAGCTTTAAAATATGCCCCCTGCACAAGAATCCTATGAATTGGCCATCATCATAATCACAGCTGTTGCCAACACCAGTCAGTAGCATGAACCACCACCAGCAGCTCAATAGGAATTTTAGGTCATCGCTGTAAGCCTGACTATCATGGCTACTAATTCGTTTCTGGTCTCCACCCAAAGTGCTGGTTTTGACCTATAAAGCCTTAGGACCCTAAAACCTCAAGGACTGCCCCTCCCCACATGAATGAGCCCAGATCCTGTGGATAGTCATCAGAGGCCCTTTTCCGTGTGTCTCATCTAAGGGAAGGGCAGAGAATGGCCACAAAAAATTGTGCCTTTTTGGTGGTCTTCCCACCAATATTTGTGGAACACTCTCCCCAGGGAAACTTGCCTAGTACTATCATTGTCAGTTTTTAGGTGCCAGACTAAGGGGTTGGTTAGTTATTTTTGTATAGAGAAATTATTTAATGTTTGATGTTTTATTGTGTCTTTATATTTTATTTGAAGCAAAAAAAATTTATCATCATCATCCCAGGCCTTTGGGAATGAAGTTAGCTTCTACTGCAGCACTCATATTTTTGTGTGGTGACGGTCTTCCTCGTGTTGCTGGATGCCCATTTTAGGACTTTTTTCTTTTGGCTTTTAATTAATTGATTTTATCTGTTTATATTTTATATTGTGCAGTTGCTTTGATACCTTTTCATATAAAGCAATTAATAAATGCAATTAATGAAAATACAGTAATGAAATTAATGGAAATCACCATCGTTATTATAATTTATCATTTATACCCCACCCATCTGGCTGGGTTTTCCCAACCACTCTGGGCAGCTTCCAACAAAATATTTAAAATACAGTAAAACATCAGACATTAATAAAATTCCCTAAACAGGACTGTCTTCAGATGTCTTCTAAAAGTCAGATAGTTGTTTATTTCCTTGACATCTGGTGGGAGGGCGTTCCACAGGGCGGGTGCCACTACTGAGAAGGCCCTCTGCCTGGTTCCCTGTAACTTCGCTTCTCGGGGTGAAGGTAAATAATGATGAAGATGAAGAAGATATTCTCTTCCACACCAACTTTCTTCTTCCCAATTCCCACCCTTGGATCAGGTGTGGGAAACCTTCGGCCTTTCCAATGTTGCTGAGCAATAATTCCCATCATCCCCAGCAACTGCTAGGTCTGATGGAAGTTGTAGTTCAGCAACATCTGGCGGTCCAAAGGTCCTCCACTCCTGTCTACGCAGAAAGCCACTCGCCTGGTTTTGCCGCAGCAACTCCTTTCCCTCCTGTTGGCAGTGCTGCAGCATAAGCTCCTGCTCTTCTGCCTTCTGCACAAGGCCCCCAATCTCCAGGCACTTCTGGGAATACTGCTCTGAAAGCACCTGCAGCTCCCTCTTCAGGGACTCGACGTCAGACCTGCAGCAGAGGTAAAAAAAAAATGCTGTTGCCAAGAGCTGTCATCCCATCCCAGGGCTCTTCTACAAACACGGCTGACTTCCCCGTCTCTGATGGTCTCTTCTGCCATCACTGGTATCCCAGGGTTCCCCTTGTGGGCTGCACAAGCTGCCCCTTGACCAGAGAACAAAGGTGCTAGATGACAGGTGGGATTGGTCATGACTCTGCACAAATGACCATTGATTACAACATCATTGTAATCCAGTGAAAATGGATAGCATCTATTATACAACAGCACTTTGGCTTAAGATAGCGGCATGCTCAGAAACACTAAAAGCTGGACAGAGACAGTATTCAGGGCAGTTTCCTAACCTAATCTGATTTCCAGTGTATCTTGGGATAAGAGAGTGTCCCAAACCGAGCCGTATGTGTTGCTTTAGGAGAAGGGCTCTTATCGACTTCCCTGAATCACTTTTTTGCTTAGTGGGGATATGGTAGTTAAAAGAAAAGACACCGACAGTTTTAGGTGGTAGTTTTGTATCCCAAGCCAAATTCAAATGTGCCTCAAGGTGGGAAAATGTCCCAAAATAAAACCATTTGTGGTGTGTCAGATGAAGGGTTCTAATCTGTTTTTCCTGGATTGGTTTTTCTTGGAAAAACCACATGGGACTTAAAAAAACCAAAAAACAACCCATTACATTAATATTATCAAAAAAGCACCCCAATAGTAAACATCAAAAGTCTTCATGACTATTTTCTTCTTCAGGTGTCTTTCATTTACATAACCAAAATGCTAAATTGTTAAGTGTCTGAAACTTTGCGACAGTGTTTACTACCATGGAGGTGACAATTATTGCTGGAGATTTATTTCTATGTAAATTCTGAAATGTAAAGTGACCCCAGGCTGGATTTCCACCCACATTTATGCCGAAGAGCTGCAAGTTGGGCAAAAGATCCCAGCACTGGACTAGATGACCCTCCCTTTCAACTCTACAATTCTATGATTCTGTGATTAGTTATCAGGATCCCACAATCCACCCCCCATCCCTCCTTTTCATCAGACCCAACGATGTTGCAAGCTGCACTTGGGAATAGACAACCCTTCCCTCCTCTCTAAACTAAGGGACACTATTCCAAGTTCAGAATGGATGCCGAAGAGCCATTGCAGTTACTTACTGATGCTGCCGCCGGAGTGTGTCGGTGTCTAAACCACCCTTCTGGAAGCTGCGGGTCCTGCCCAGTTCTTTATTCAGCTCTTCCCTGTGTGCCTTCTTCAGTGCTTCAATTGCTAGAGGGAAAGGAAATTGGAAAAATGGGCAAAAGAAAACAAGCCGGGGAAGACACGCGAGATGTGCTGAAGTAGAAACTACAATGCATTTTAATGCTTCCTAGCTAAATGGGAGAAGCCAAGCCTTCTTGGGGAAGGGACAGGGCTCAGTGGGGACACAGCACAAGCTTTAAATTCAATCTCTGCCATCTCGCCAGTTTAAACAACAGTAGCAACTGAGCAGGCAGCAGGCAACAAGGAAGATCCTTTGTGCAAGAACCTGGAGAGATTCTGCCAGTCAAAATAGACAACAGTGGGTTAGATAGACCAATGGTCTGTCTCAGTAGAAGTATGCCTCATATGTACACAAAACACCCATTATCCTATTCCATGTGTCAGAGAAGATGCTTGAAGATGTCTGTACAATATGCATAAACGCACATACACATATGTATATAGACATGGCATGTGCCCTGGTGATATCAAATTATGTCCCACCTTTCTAAGGAGCTTTAAAAGACGGAAAAGACAGTCATCCCCCAGCCTGCATTCTACTATGCTGTGCAGTAGGTTAGATTGAGGGTGGTTGGCTGGCCCAAACTCATCCAATGGGCTTCATATCCAAGCAGGGATTTAGAACTGGATTTCCCCAATGCTAGGGCAGGAAATGGAAGGACAGATCCTGAAGCTGAGACTCCAATACTTTGGCCACTTCATGAGAAGAGAAGACTCCCTGGAAAAGACCCTGATGTTGGGAAAGATGGAGGGCGCAAGGAGAAGGGGACGTCAGAGGACGAGATGGTTGGACAGTGTTCTCGAAGCTACCAGCATGAGTTTGACCAAACTGCGGGAGGCAGTGGAAGACAGGAGTGCCTGGCGTGCTCTTGTCCATGGGGTCACGAAGAGTCGGACACTACGAAACGACTAAACAACAACAACAACAACAAGGGTCCGTCTGCACTACACATTTAAAGCAGTATCATGCCACTTGAAACAGTCACGGTTTCTCCCAAAGAATCCTGGGAGCTGTAGTCTGTTAAAGCTGCCAGGAATTGTTAGGAGACCGAAGGGACCGCTCTAATGACCATATCTTAGCTAGGCCAAGGTGCACATCCAGCAACCCAAGAACACACAGTAGCTCCTACCTGCCGCTGTAGCAGCTGCCTCCTCAGACAGAAGCCGCTCCTTCTCTTGCCGCAACCGCTCCATCTCCTGCTGGTGATGCCGCTGCAGTTCCGTCATAACCTGTTGATGGGAAGTCTCCATCTCTGCTAAACTGCGCTCACATGCCTCCTGCCAGGGAGATCAGGAGTTGGGGGGGGGCGGGGGCGAGAGGAGAGGAGGAGAGAATGAAATGCTGCAGGCAGCCTGACTGCGAGACTTAAGTGGGGGAAAATCTAGGGTGAACAAAGGCTGAGCTTGGCAAACCAAGCCATGGACCCCGATTCAAGAGACATTTCAGGTGCTTAAAAGACAGCTGGCTCAGTGGCTATGTATACCCAACTTTTTCCTATAAGTAGCAGCAGCAGCAGCTGTAGTCATCATGATGTCATCCTACAGTTCTCCCCATTGTTCAGGGATGGGGAACTTGCAGCCCTGCAAATGATGTCATGCTCCATGTCCCTTCAGCCCAAGCCATCATGGCCAAGGATCAGGGATGATGGGAGTTATAGTTCAGTGGCATCTGGAGGGCAATAAGGTTCTCCACTCCGGCCAGAGCTAGTTGCATGTTTTGAAAACACACACACACACACACACACACACACACACACGGTGAAATGGAAATATTCAGAAGTGCCTTTCCCTCTCATGCTTATATCTTGGGTTGCCACATGGGGGCATCCGAAGAGCAAATGATCGCAAAAGAATGGTAAAGACCCCCCACCACAGACACTCTATACTAGATGGAGTTGTATGACCGTTTGTTTATAAAAACCACATCGCAAATGGAAAGAAATGTATTAAAAACACAAAAGCGGGGCAAAACTGAGCCTTTATAGGGCTTACGGTTCATTACATGAAGACTGCAAACCAGTTCTCAATATTTCTTCCCACGGCTTTAATTTATGTACCAACAATTTTTAAAATGTAGTGTGCAAATATAAGTATTTTACACTTGTTTCTAGAGTTTGATTTGCACGACACAGAACACAGCAGATGGCTGCAATCATATGGCAACTCGCTTCAGGGGCCAAGAGTGCAATAAATACTTTCAGTGTTAGCTAAACTTGCCGCTCTTCCCTCCAGACCTACGCTTTGCTTATTTTTGGTGCATAAATAGACCAACAAAGGTGACGCATAAGGACAGGCCAGGATCAGGCTCTCTTCTGATCTTTCCTAAAGCAGACTGCCCTGGCCATGCATTAGGCAGGGAGGTCTTTGCATACAACAGTTATAAATAATTAGCATTGATTACAGATGGGTCTGATTGTGGTTGCTATGGCAGCAATAAGCTATATTAAGTGCAAGCAAATGAGGTTGACTCCGCACCCCCCCCCAGTCCTTGCTTCCCCGCCCTTATGGCATGAGCTTGGTGGGGAGGAGAGAAAATGAAAAGCTGGCAGATTCAGATCACCACACTAGGCTATTTTGTTACCTGAGAGATGTAGCCTCGGGGTGCGTGCCCATCTCGGTGAGGTTTTGCTTCACTGTGGGCACGCAAGGACTCCAGCTGTGACCTCAGAACCTGGACCTGTGTAGGAAAAAAAATGAGGTCTAACCATACTGAAGGATTTCTTCAAATCAACATGCTGCACTAACCTCTGTCTGCCCTTATCCAGCCCCCACCTGCCTGCCATCTTGCCAGTTTAAGGGGTGGGCACTGCCTGGCAGCTTTGCCCTTCTCCTTAGTCTCCACAGTGCTCCTTGCAGGACCTAACAGGGAGGAGGAGGGAGGATAAAGCTGGAATCAGTGGGCTCTGCCTGTCATTGGCTTTGGCGCCCCCTACTGCCTGTCTCCTTGCCTGCCACCCTACCAATCTCAAGGGACACCAGCCACCACTGCTCTTTGCAACAAGGCAATATACACTCAGAACAGAGAGAGGCCGAGGCACCCAGAGCAGGGTTAGAAATTAGCTTTTTGCGACTGGCGAGGGTCCAACTGCAACTGTGTGGAGATCTCTGGATGCTGGGTTGGCAACTGACATCTGGCTGGTCTCTCCAGCTTTCCTAAGCAGGCAAACAGAAGAGCTAATTTACTGCATTTAAATCCCACCTTTTTCTCCAAGGAATACATGGTTCACCCTGTTCCTCAGTTAATCCCTACAACAGGCATGTCCAAAGTCCACTTTGGGGGCCTAATCCGGCCCGCCGGTTGGTTTAATCCGGCCCCTGGGGCAGTTTATATCCTAAAAAAAGCTCAAAAACTTCGGTCGGCCCTCACACATGTTCACTTCATCAAATCTGGCCCTCTTTGAGAAAAGTCTGGACACCCCTGTTAAGAGGCTGTGAGTTGCCCAAGGTCACCTAGTTAGCTTCATAACTGAGTGGGGAATTGAACCCTGATCTCCCAGGTCTTATTAAACACTACACTACCCTGGCTTCCTAGAGTACTTCTGCTATGGAGCAGCTATATAAAATAAGTAGGAAAATTAACATGGGGAAAAGCCACATGTCATTTAGAGAAGGATCTGAAATATTTTCCCGGAGCTTGAATTTGTTTTATTCTGGATTGTTTTATTTGATGTTTTAATGTGTTGTAAACCATTTTGAGATTACCCGCCCTTTAAAATATAAAGCGATATAGAAATGAAATTAATAATAATACCAGCAGTAATTTTAAAAAAATCTCATTTTATGAGACCACTGTAAGCAGATTAAAACATTAGCAGGATTTTAATCTCACTTGTAATGTAACAAACACTATGGATAGATACAAAATATAGATTATGAAATAATATGCAGTTGAAAATGTTGACAATAGGACCCACGGAGGGGATGGGGAGTAAGTCTACAGGAAACGAGGCAGAGGGCCTTCTCGGTAGTGGCGCCCGCCCTGTGGAACACCCTCCCATCAGATGTCAAAGAGATAAACAACCACCTGACATTTAGAAGACATCTGAAGGCAGCCCTGCTTAGGGAAGTTTTTAAATATGTGACATTTTAATGTATTTTCAATCTTTGCTGGAAGCCGCCCAGAGTAGCTGGGGAAACCCAGCCAGATGGGCGGGGTACAAATAATAAATTATTATTATTATTATTATTATTATTATTATTATTATTATTCAGAGAAATCTCTTTATAGGGATATGCATTTGGTATTGTTATAAATTTATATTCGTAGAATCAAATAAATCAATTAAAATAAATAAATAAATAAAATCTCATTGCAAAAAAAAGAAAAAGGCACCAAGACAAACCAAGGTTTAAGGTGCCATTGGGCGATTAGCTTACATACCTGAATTTCTAAGACTGACACAAAATATGAAACAAGCCTGCAAAAAAAAGGAAACAGCACTCTCTTCTTGAAAATGATTAAGGCCACGCCATGACTAACCGTACCTCTTTCTCCAGCGCCTCGTTTGCACCCTCGTGGGCTCCTTTGCCCTGGTTCAGCAGTGCCATCAGGGGCACCCGCTTGGATTCCTTCAGGGGCAAGCGCTCCAGCTCCTGCCACTTCTTCTCTATCTCTTCGCTCAGCCGAGTCCTCTGGGCTTCGGAGAGGGGGCCCCCCGGAGCCTCGTGGCCTCCTGCTTTAGGGCAGACGTCCCCTGCCAGGCCATCTGTCTGCAGGACCCCAGTGGCCGGAGACTCAAACCACTTCCGCCTTTCCTCGGAGCGGAGAGCCAGGTCCCTCTCCAGCTCCTCGCGCTTGGCCACGCCCTCCGTGGCTCTCGCGCTCCCTCTTGTCCATTGCGGAGATCCGTGGCCCGCGGGCCCCTGCTGCAAGGGCGACAGCTCCACGTAGTCAAAAGCGTGGCGCGGCCCATCTGCTCTCCTGCTGCTGCCGCTCCTGGTTACCGCCTCAGACCCTGTGCTTGGCCGCTGCTCCTCTGTCCTGACGGAGCTCTTGGGGGATCCATAGCTGCGGAAGGAATTCTCCTTATTGCTGTCAGATAGCCTAGAATCAGGAGGAGAGGTGAGAATGGCACAGGCAAGCATCGCGAAAGCGGGCCAAACAAAATTCTCCCCAATCCTGTTATGTAGTCATGCCCAGACCAGGGAACAGCCCAAGTGCAGTTAGCCCTGCTACATCATGCGATGACACAAAAGGATTTATTTTTGTGGCTGCAGGATCAGGCCAAAGACCCATTGAGCCCAGCATCCTGTCTAGGCCTATTGCACAGCTGTCAACTTTTCCCTTTTCTTGCGAGGAATCCTATTCGGAATAAGGGAATTTCCCTTAAAAAAGGGAAAAGGTGGCAGATATGGCCTATTGATATATCGCCCAGGACAAGTATGAGAGGCAGACCATGACAGAGGCTTCACCTGGCAGTATATTGGCAGCTGTTATAACTTGTTCCTCCCTCGGCTACTTTAAACTGCTCTGTGGAAGCATGGACAGCTACGTGCTTCTCAGCGGAGCAATTGAAAGAAGCCTCTGGCTTGTGCGAGCCAGAGGTAGGGCGAGAGCAGTTTAATGCTCAGCTGGGGGGTGGGGGGAGGGAGTCTACGTGGCCCCCAGCTCAGCAGCGCCAGTTCCCTCCATGCCAAGTGCTCGGGATGGAGGGAATCTCTCCGCCCCCCAGCCCTGGTTATAAGTTGCATCGTCCCCGGCCCCACGAGGCGCTGAAGTGAAACTGCCTTAGCTCCCTCGAACAGCAGCAGTTTCAACCTGACGCCTTAAGGGCCGGGGTCAATGCAGCTTGTTGTGTCAACATTGCAGTGTATCGCCAGATCGCGATGTCTGACGGGTGATAACATCGTGATGTTGAAAACCCGGCATTGCCCATCCCTAATCCTGTTCTTACAGAGGCCTGCCAGATTGCACAGGCTTGGCATGGAGGAAATCCCAGGTTCAAGCGCCTGAATCTCCAATCAGGACTGCGAGAGACCTCTGCCTGATACCCTGGCGAGCGACTGATGGTTATTGTAGCTTCCTAACTCTGTAAAAACTCTCTGCCAGACTCTTTAGCATCACAGTTCTACCACGTTTGTTCTGAACGCGGCCTTCAGAACTCCCCACCCAAAGGATATGAGTATTAACCTACCATCAGAACTACCAAAAGAGAACTTGTGCGTGTTTCTTTGCTTGTTTGGCTAAGAGGTCATTACTGCCCACCAGCCCCTAAGCAGCGGCTAATGATTTGCTGCAACAAGCAACTTTAATCGCAGGAGTAATATCAGATAGCTTATCTGTGACACAGGATAACACACTGAGCGACTGCAATGGCCAAAGGAACAAAACTAGATTTATTGAAACAAGTGTTCTTGGCTAGTTCTCATGTATTTTTGGAGAGAGAGAAAAATGATGAGCATTTGTTTCTTGCCTAATGCCAAGCCAGTGCTCTGATCCGTTTCCTGCCAGTGTGGCAGGAGGAGGAGAGGACCCATTTGAGCACCACGCACCAACCCCCTCAATCATCCCCAGTAAGCCACAGTTTGTTTAACTTTGGCTTACTGTTTCATACAAATCAGACCAATTAATAAATCAGGAAAATGGATCAAAATTGCTGTGCTGTCAGAGACAAGGGGGGGAAATATCTGAAGGTGCCTACTTTGTGACATCCGGCACACTGGCAGGGCGTATACTTTTCCTCAGAGCTTCTATCCAGTTCCGCCGGATTCCCGATGTCATCGCAGACAACGTAAAGACACCATCTTTAGTCTGAAAGGGAAAAACCGGACATAGAACATGTACTCTCCTTCAAATACAGCAAAGAGATCTGAAGATGCAATGCAAGGCTTCATTGCCACTGAACCCTTCAAGCATATCTGGCAAACATATCTATTTCCACAGAGCCTAAAAATGTGGGGCTTGGCTAAACAGGGCCTCATATATGCTCATCCCAATAGCAACTGCCAAGCCCCCCCCCCCAAGCTCCCCTTCCCTCCCCCACCACATTATTATTATTTTCAACTGAGTTGTTTTGGATTTAGGAGGGTTGCCTAATTTTTTGGCCTGGTGCCATTGGTGATTCATGCATTTTGCCTGTTTGGAGGCCCTGAGCACGACCAGTTTTTCTTCCGTGAAATGGGTATTTAATGGTACCCACAATTGTTTTCTTATATTTCCAAAATCTAAATAGGAGAGCCTTTTGAATTAAGTGAGACTTGAGTCCAAGAATCTTTGGCCCAAGACTCTTTGGTCTCACTTTCTACATATAAATTACAGACACTTAATAAGACGATGGTCCCTGACTCTGCTCCACCTTCTCCTTTCTGGCTGCAGGTGTTCCTGTTCCATGAGATTGAATGCATCCATTAGAAAAGAGAGCTCACTGAAGCTGGCAGCAGACAGCCCTCTCCAAACATCCCCAGGGGCACTTGCCACCTGGAAGTGTGTCCATGGGCTGTGGTACCTCTTCCTTATCTCGAGGAGCAACGTTATCAATCAAGAATTGGGCCAATAAGAATAGAAGAAGCCCCTTGCCACTCAACCACCCAACATATGCGCCCTGGTGTTAGAATGAAGAACTTGTACACTATATAATCAAGGACTGAAGTGAACTGCAGGCAGAAATATCTACCCCACCTCCGCACTTCAAACAACATGGTTATTGCAGCAGTATCTAATAATCTAAAATACGCATAGGCCAGATGGCCTTTTTGCTCCATCCAGACTCTATGGGTTCTAAGCACTCACGTGTATCTGGAAGCCATAGTTCCGCTGCACTGCATATTCTGTCACGTCGGTGCAAGAGCGAAGGTCAATCTCTCCATCCAGTTCATCGGCCTAAATGACCACCAGACCATCAGCTTAAACAAGGAACCTCACTTAATAGCATCACCACCACCACCAACAAAAAGCATGCATGTACATGTACACACACACACACACACACACACACACACACTGCACTTGTCTATCACATCCTATCTACTTTCCTCCAATATTTTCCCCATACCCCACAGACCTGACATTATTACAATTCTAGTTTACTAATCCTCTTCAGTTCCCCTTCATGGATCACTGCCTTGCCGTGGCGAAGGGGCTTGAATAACTCAGAGAAGCTATGAGCTATGCCATGCAGGGCCACCCAAGATGGACAGGTCATAGTGGAGAGTTTTGACCAAACGTGATCCACCTGGAGCAGGAACTGGCAAGCCACTCCAGTATCCCTGCCAAGAAAACTCCATGGACAAAGACAAATGGCATATAAAAGTTATGACGCTGGAAGATGAGCCCCTCGGGTCGGAAGGCGTCCAACATGCTACTGAGGAAGAGCGGAGGACAAGTACAAGTAGATCCAGAGCTGATGAAGCGGCTGGGCCAAAGCCGAAAGGACGCTCAGTTGCAGATATGCCTGGAAGTGAAAGGAAAGTCCAATGCTGTAAAGCAAAATATTGAATAGGAACCTGGAATGTAAGAACCATGAACCTTGGTAAGTTGGATGTGGTCAAAAATGAGATGGCAAGAATAAATATTGACATCCTGGGCATCAGTGAACTAAAATGGACGGGAATGGGCGAATTCAGTTTGGATGACCATCATATCTACTACTGTGGGCAAGAATCCCGTAAAAGAAATGGAGTGGCCCTCATAGTCAACAAAAGAGTGGCGAAAGCTGTACTGGGATGCAATCTCAAAAATGATAGAATGATCTCGATACGAATCCAAGGCAGACCTTTTAACATCACAGTAATCCAAGTTTATGCACCAACCACTGGTGCTGAAGAAACTGAAATTGACCAATTCTATGAAGACTTACAACACCTTATAGAAATGACACCAAAGAAGGATGTTCTTCTCATTATAGGGGATTGGAATGCTAAAGTAGGGAGTCAAGAGATAAAAGGAACAACTGGCAAGTTTGGCCTTGGAGTTCAAAATGAAGCAGGGCAAAGGCTAATAGAGTTCTGCCAAGAGAACAAGCTGGTCATCACAAACACTCTTTTCCAACAACACAAGAGACGACTCTACACATGGACATCACCAGATGGGCAGCATCGAAATCAGATTGATTATATTCTCTGCAGCCAAAGATGGAGAAGCTCTATACAGTCAGCAAAAACAAGACCTGGAGCTGACTGTGGCTCAGATCATCAGCTTCTTATAGCAAAATTCAAGCTTAAACTGAAGAAAGTAGGAAAAACCACTGGGCCGGTAAGATACAATCTAAGTCAAATCCCTTATGAATACACAGTGGAAGTGAGGAACAGGTTTAAGGATTTAGATTTGGTGGACAGAGTGCCTGAAGAACTATGGATGGAGGCTCGTAACATTATACAGGAGGCAGCAACTAAAACCATCCCAATGAAAAGGAAATGCAAGAAAGCAAAGTGGCTGTCCAACGAGGCCTTACAAATAGCGGGGAAGAGAAGGCAAGCAAAGTGCAAGGGAGATAGTGAAAGATACAGGAAATTGAAAGCAGATTTCCAAAGAATAGCAAGGAGAGACAAGAAGGCCTTCTTAAACGAGCAATGCAAAGAAATAGAGGAAAACAATAGAATGGGAAAAACCAGAGATCTGTTCAAGAAAATTGGAGATATGAAAGGAACATTTCGTACAAAGATTACCATAATAAAAGACAAAAGTGGAAAGGACCTAACAGAAGCAGAAGACATCAAGAAGAGGTGGCAAGAATACACAGAGAAACTATACCAGAAAAAAAATGGATGGCTCGTACACCCCAGGTAGTGTGGTTGCTGACCTTGAGCCAGACATCCTGGAGAGCGAAGTCAAATGGGCCTTAGAAAGCACTGCTAATAACAAGGCTAGTGGAAGTGATGATATTCCAGCTGAACTATTTAAAATTTTAAACGATGATGCTGTGAAGGTGCTACACTCAATATGCCAGCAAGTTTGGAAAACTCAGCAGTGGCCAGAGGATTGGAGAAGATCAGTCTACATCCCAATCCCAAAGAAGGGCAGTGCCAAAGAATGCTCCAACTACCGCACAATTGCACTCATTTCACACGCTAGCAAGGTTATGCTTAAAATTCTTCAAGGCAGGCTTAAGCAGTATGTGGGCCGAGAACTCCCAGAAGTGCAAGCTAGATTTCAAAGGGGCAGAGGAACCAGAGACCAAATTGCAAACATGCGCTGGATTATGGAGAAAGCTAGAGAGTTCCAGAAAGACATCTACTTCTGCTTCATTGACTATGCAAAAGCCTTTGACTGTGTCGACCACAGCAAACTATGGCAAGTTCTTAAATAAATGGGAGTGCCTGATCACCTCATCTGTCTCCTGAGAAATCTCTATGTGGGACAAGAAGCTACAGTTAGAACTGGATATGGAACAACTGATTGGTTCAAAATTGGGAAAGGAGTACGACAAGGCTGTATATTGTCTCCCTGCTTATTTAACTTATATGCAGAAATCATCATGCGAAAGGCTGGGCTGGATGAATCCCAAGCTGGAATTAAGATCGCTAGAAGAAATATCAACAACCTCAGATATGCAGATGACACAACCTTGGTGGCAGAAAGTGAGGAGGAATTAAAGAACCTTTTAATGAGGGTGAAAGAGGAGAGCGCAAAATATGGTCTGAAGCTCAACATCAAAAAAACGAAGCTCATGGCCACTGGTCCCATCACCTCCTGGCAAATAGAAGGGGAAGAAATGGAGGTAATGAGAGATTTTACTTTCTTGGGCTCCATGATTACTGCAGATGGTGACAGCAGTCATGAAATTAAAAGACGCCTGCTCCTTGGGAGAAAGGCGATGGCAAACTTAGACAGTATCTTAAAAAGCACAGACATCACCTTGCCAACAAAGGTCTGTATAGTTAAAGCCATGGTTTTCCCAGTAGTGATGTATGGAAGTGAGAGCTGGACCATCAAGAAGGCTGATCGCCGAAGAATTGATGCTTTTGAATTATGGTGCTGAAGGAGACTCTTGAGAGTCCCATGGACTGCAAGAAGATCAAACGTATCCATTCTTAAGGAAATCAGCCCTGAGTGCTCACTGGAAGGACAGATCCTGAAGCTGAGGCTCCAATACTTTGGCCACCTCATGAGAAGAGAAGACTCCTTGGAAAAGACCCTGATGTTGGGAAAGATGGAGGGCACAAGGAGAAGGGGACGACAGAGGACGAGATGGCTGGACAGTGTTCTCGAAGCTACCAGCATGAGTTTGACCAAACTACGGGAGGCAGTGGAAGACAGGAGTGCCTGGCGTGCTCTGGTTTATGGGGTCACGAAGAGTCGGACACGACTAAACGACTAAAAAACAACACCGAGGGCTGTATACAAATTGGATAAATAATAATATTAATGCCTCCCTGTTTATTTAACTTATATGCAGAATTCATCATGCGAAAGGCTGGGCTGGATGAATCCTATACCAGAATTAGGATTGCCGGAAGAAATATCAACCACCTCAGATATGCAGATGACACAACCTTGATGGCAGAAAGTGAGGAGGAATTAAAGAACCTTTTAATGAGGGTGAAGGAGGAGAGCACAAAATGTGGTCTGAAGCTCAGCATAAAAAAAACTAAGATCATGGCCACTGGTCCCATTAGCTCCTGGCAAATAGAAGGGGATGAAATTGAGGCAGTGAGAGATGCTACTTTCTTGGGCTCCATGATCACTGCAGATGGTGACAGCAGTCACGAAATTAAAAGACGCCTGCTTCTTGGGAGAAAAGCAATGACAAACCTAGACAGCATCTTAAAAAGCAGAGACATCACCTTGCCGACAAAGGTCCGTATAGTTAAAGCCATGGTTTTCCCAGTAGTGATGTATGGAAGTGAGAGCTGGACCATAAAAAAGGCTGATCGCCGAAGAATTGATGCTTTTGAATTATGGTGCTGGAGGAGACTCTTGAGAGTCCCATGGACTGCAAGAAGATCAAACCTCTCCATTCTGAAGGAAATCAGCCCTGAGTGCTCACTGGAAGGACAGATCCTGAAGCTGAGGCTCCAATACTTTGGCCACCTCATGAGAAGAGAAGACTCCTTGGAAAAGACCCTGATGTTGGGAAAGATTGAGGGTACAAGGAGAAGGGGACGACAGAGGACAAGATGGTTGGACAGTGTTCTCAAAACTACCAGCATGAGTTTGACCAAACTGCGGGAGGCAGTGGAAGACAGGAGTGCCTGGCGTGCTCTGGTCCATGGAGTCACGAAGAGTCGGACACGACTAAACGACTAAACAACAACAACAATCTTCCTCAGTTAACAGAAAATAGGATACAGGATTCACAGTTTCCACTCTGCCCTTACAAGCTATGTCCCATGCACACTTTTGCTTGCCCCCCCCCCCCCCGCCACAAATAATAATGTCCAACAAGCAGAAACTGTAACAAAGTGTTGCAGTGTGATGTTTCAGGATTCCAGCCATTCCCACTCTCACCCCTCCAGTTTTCTATTTTTAGACCAACAGTCAGCATTGGGGTGAGCACTGAGCATGCTCAGTCCTCCTTGAGCTGGTTTGGGTTCCACCCCCTCCAAGATTCTTGCACTTTTGCAAAACTGATTTCCCCCAAGCCTACCAATGCCTCCCCTGTGTACATCTGCACCATACATTTACAGCAGAACCCCCTCACTTTAAACAGCCATGTCTTCCTGCAAACCATCCTGGGAACTGAAGATAGTTAAGGGTGCTGAGAATTGTTAGGAGACCCCATTTCCCCCTTAGAGGGCTACAATTCTCCAAGTTCCCAAGGAAGGGGGATTCATCGTTAAGCCACTCTATTAATACCGGGCAGCACCTTCACTGTACTCTTTCTGGCTGCTGCAAAAAACATTTTTGTTTAAGAAAACCTATCCAGACAATGTAAAATATGTGTTTCAATCAGGTTTTTAGCTGATCGGTGATTCTGATTACATTTTGAATGTTTTAAATCACTGCTTTTAATAGTTTCTTACTTGTAGTATTATAAACTGCTTGGAGGTTTTATTACAATAAAGTGGAATCTAAATCTTGTGAAACAAATTTAGGGCATCCTCCCATCAGATGTCAAGGACTTAAACAACTACAGTTGTACCTCTGAAGTCGAATGGAATCCCTTCTGGAAGTCTATTCGACTTTCAAAACATTCAGAAACCAAGGTGCGGCTTCCGATTGGCTGCAGGAAGCTCCTGCAGCCAATCAGAAGCCGTGTTGGACGTTCGGGTTCCAAAGAATGTTCGCAAACCGCAACTCTTACTTCCAGGTTTGCGGCGTTCAGGAACCAAAATGTTTGACTCGCAAGGCTTTCGGGATCTAAGGTACGACTGTACCTGACTTTTAGAAGACATCTGGAGGCAGCCCTGTTTAGGGAGGTTTTTAAGGATTGATGTTTTTAGATATGTTGTAAGCCGCCCAGAGTGGCTTATGTTGTAAGCCGCCCAGATGGGTGGGGTATTATTATTTATTATTATTATTATTATTATTACTATTATACAAACACATGGTGCAGCCAGGACTTGTGTTGTGTGGTGCTGTGTGGGCTACACAAGGAACAGCACTCACAACCTGAAAATTGGAAACAAGAGGTAATAATGGCATGCTGTGCTTTTAACAAAGAACACCCGTAAATTTCTCTCCATCGCTGTGCAAGTCCCGTTCCCCCCCCTTGCAGAAGAGGTCATGGAGGCCAGGAAACTTTTCTTACCTCCTCAGCATTGGAGTCCCTGTAATACCTCAGGCTCGAGTCTGTCAACACAAACCAATGCTTCGTCCACTGCAGACAGAACCATTAAAAAGGGGAAGGAAAAGGGGGAGGGCAAGACAAGAGGGGAGAGCTAAATTAAAACGTCGACGGAAGTGCACAGCGTTCATTAACCTTTCAAACTTGCACTCAATAAAAAAAGAAGAAGATGCCAAACTCAACTTTGACCACTCCATCTGCTCAGGAGACACCTCCCTTCCAGCGTTTATTCAATGAGATGTAGGGCAGAGATTGACAGGAAACGTGCAACAGGGGTTGTGGAATACACAAAGCATGCTAGGTAAAAGTAGCAGTAAGAATGCCTAGTCTTGGGGTTCCCAGGTTCTCAGCTGTGCATCCATTTCATTCCAAAAAGGAATTCTGCAAGGTTGCTCCAGAGAGGTTCGTTTTCTGTACATTTATTGGCTTGTTTTTAAAATCCAGAGAGATTTTCACGCACCAGGCACAAGAAAAGTTTCCGAGAAACAGCACATTCAACCATGAAGGGAAGTCAAAAGCAACAGTCATCCCTGCTGCTTGTTGGGGAGGAGGGAGAAGAGGAATACACTTATTTCTTTGGACCTACCTCTCCTGGCTCCTCCAATATGGACATCCATCCCTTCTTGAAATTGAGAAGATCCGGCTGGAAAGAGGGAGGGGAAAACACACAGAGACATTTATGAAATGGCATGAGATTGAAGACAAACGTAGACGTCTGCAAGAAATCTGTATGTCTGAGATCTAGCGATACCTGAACAAAAAAATGAAGATCTTCTTTTTATTCTAGCAGGCGTTATCACTGAATTCTGATTTTATAGTCTGTATATGATGAAAATAATGGGCTGAGTTTCTGTATACCATGCATACGCAATTGTAATTAAGATGGATTAAATGGTTGAAATAAATATCTGGAAAACTGGAGCGTAGAAAGATGACACTTGTGGCAATTAGAAGAATCAAGTTCTACGCTTACTTGTAACGAGCAGAGGAGGTGTCTGGCTAGTCTCTGGTTGTGCAAAAATGAAAATGATACATTTCCCCAACCTGCTGGCCTGCAGAAGGTTTGGAGTAGAATTCTCTGGTCCCTGACTATTGAGCATGCTGGCTGGGGCTGATGCGAGGCCAAAACATCTGCAGATCAAGGAAGGCAGGATCAGACAGACCCTTAAGCTGATTCAGGAAGTTTTTTAAAAAAGAGAGGCACCCCAGACTTTTTACTATGCCCCTGGTTAAAGCACTCCAAAAGAGAAAATTCAAGCTAGATCTAATTTGCCTAGCCCCAATAACTATTACAGTTCAGCACTCCAGGGATTTCTGTTCTTTGGAGAGGAGCAATTATCCCCAGCAAACATGGTGCAATGGTTAGAGTGTCTGACTAGGACCTGAGAGATCAGGGTTCAAATCCCCACTCAGCCATGAAGCTCACTGGGTGACCTTGGGCCAGGCACTGTTTTGCAGCCTAATCTACCTAACAGGGTTCTTGTGAAAACCATATATGCCAACTTAAAGCTCACTGGAGGAAAATTGGGATATAAATGCAATAATAAATAATTGCACAATCTTAAGCTTGCCATTAATTGATGCTACTGTGAGATTTTTGTGTGTGTGAAGCATTTTTATTTTAACCGCACTGTATTTTCCTGAAGCCAAAACATAATATATATTTATCTGGTTCTTTGGGTTTTGTTTAAAAAACCCACAATGCTGAGTGTATATACACATACATAAACAGTGAATTAGCCTCCTGATTCAATCAGATAGCACACACCATCTAACAATTTCTTTTGTAAGCAGCACGCCAGGAACAGAGAAACAGGAGACACCAGATTTAAATTACGTATTCCTTAGGGATGCTGCTAAATTATTTCAGTTCAGATTTTGAGTAACACTTATAGCATCACTGTAGTACCGAATCATAGAATCTTAGAGTTGAAAGGGATGCCAGGGGTCATCTAGTCCACCCCCCTTCTATAGGGGAATCTCAACTAAAGCATCCCTGACAGATGGCCATCCAACCTCTGCTTAAAAACCTCCAAGGAAGGAGAGCCCACGACTTCCCGAGGGAGTCTGCTCCACTGCTGAACAGTATAAAAACTCACAGCTGCTCATTTGTGCAAGTAATTCTGGCTGCCCCCCAATGATTTCCTCAGCCATAATGAATATTGTGTCAAGTTGAGAGACATGATTTGAAGAAACGGACAGACCATTTCCTATCATTAGCTTTCCTTCAGAAATTGCATCTTTTCATTATTAACTAGAATCATTACCATGAAGTAGAAAGACTGGGTTCTGTTTTGTTTGTGAAAATGAAAAAAGAATCCAAAGCATCTTTTCATCAGCTTTCGTTTGAACAAGCAAACAAGCGTTCGTTTTGTCATGTCCACACAAGAGAGGAGTAAACATACAATATATTAAAATTACTTGCCCAAGGCTATGGAACAAGTCAGATCTGAGATTAAAAGCACTTTTCTTGAAGCGCAAGGGAGGTTTCTCCGATGAGCAACCTGCCCCCCCCACTTTCCACCATCACCCCATCTGCTGGCAAAGGCCTTGTGCACAGTCAACAGAAACAGGGTGGATGCCATGCGAAATCAAAGCCAAAATGCCACACACTCACTCTCACCAAAGGCTGCTACAGCCGAACCAGTTTTGCCTCCCAGTTCAGAACAGCTGACATAGAACAACATTCATCCCTCTTGCTTCACAAAATCAAACATGGGCATAGCTCCCACCCACACAGCACACACACAATAAAAATCCGGAGAAAACAATTAAATATTTGGACGCACCGCTTACTATAAATATCAAGGGGGAACGGTATCAAAAGCAGCAGGCTAGATACAGCCCCATTCACAAGCAAAATGTACCCCCACTACACACAAACACCTTCCTATCTTGCCTCTCCTCCGATCCTCTTGGATTTTGGTACTTTTCAGAACCGTTTCAACTTTGCTAATGACACTGCCTGCCTTGCAGAGGTTTCATTTACTCTGCTTCCCCATTCTGCCCACATAGCTCCAGATAGATCCGTTCCTAGTGAGGCAGGGAAGATCTGCTTTTCCTCAAAACCCGAGCTTTTCAAATTGGGGGTGCCTCAGGCCCAGTCTTAACACAAGTGAGTAGGTGGAAGTATATCTGGATTCTATAATACTGAGGCTTCAAGATGGGTTTCCATGCTGTAGCGAGACCAGACAGCTGCCTCTCTCCACCCCTGAAATGGGAAAAGCAGAAGGGGACGTATCCATACCAGAGAGTCATCTGCATCAAGATGGCCATTCACAGGAAAGCTGTCCAGCCAACGTGCCACATCCTGCCACATCCTCCACACCTGGGAAGAAGGTAAGAGTGGGAAGCAGCTCAGCAGCTCCTTCCAGGTGGGTGCTCAGAGTTCCCTGCAGTTTTCCTAAGAAAGCATCCGTCAGGATGGCCAGGTGATTTTGCAAACCCAGCTCAGCGAAACTTTCCCTGCTTTCATCTCCCAAGGCTGAGTTCTTGGGTTACACCCAAGGTTATGGCAGGCAGGCTCAAAGCACGGAGGAGTCCTGGCCCGCCCCAAACGGTACAACCGGATTGGACACGGGGCAGGGCCACCTGTTGCTACAACTGCCATTCCCAGCCTATCACTGCCCGGGCTGGGCTGGGGTGTCCGATTGCAGGGACTGAATGTCAACAGGAAGGAGGGGAAAGAAAAGCCACATGGAAACCAGAGCCAGGTGACCCAGGCTCCTTCACTCTGCACCTCCAGGATTGCTAAACACCCCAGGGAGGAGGCAGGGGACGCAAAGTCAACAAATGGGACTGTGCGGTCCTCACGTCCTCCCTGCTTCATGCTCAAACCACCCTTTCTCTGCCGAGGTACAGTCGCACCTCTGCCCATCCGTACAGAAGGATTTAAAGCTCTCAAGCCCAGAAGAATGTTTAACTTTTAAACGGGATCGGACATTGTTTGTTCCACTTTATTGTTTTGCCACTTGTTAAGTTGCCACAGAATGATCTCTACCTTTTAGAAGTCAGGATTATTATTATTAACATTTTAATGTCATTCTGTTATTGTTACGTTATCCTGTGTCTTCTTTTGTTTCTTCCCTCCCCCTTTACTATTTACTTTACTGTAAAAATGTATAATAAAATTTAAAAATAATAAAAGAGTTGTTATTATTTAACAACAACAACAATAATAATGCACCCAAGATGACGACACAAAGTGGAGCATACACCAAATTTGGCAGATCCTTCCTCCTGGAGCAAGTGTAGAAGCAAAACTTGCATTCAATAGTGATATTTTTAATTTTGTCTTGAATGCATACAGTAGCTTTTGTTCAGGTATGCAGGCAGTCTCCAAGAGAGATCTCGTTGCATTGTCTTTTACCCATTTCCAGGCACCCCTTTAAGGCCACATTCAAACCATACATTTAAAGCACGATGATACCACTTTAAACAGTTGTGGCTTCCTCCAAATAATTCTGGGGACTGTAGTTTGTTAAGGGTGCTGAGAGTTGTTAGAAGACCCTTATTTCACCCACAGAGCTACAAATTCCCAGAGTGGTGTAAATCAAACCCTCTTCATAGGGAACTCTGGGAATTGTAGCTTTGGGAGGGGAATAGGGTTCTCAGCACCCTTAATATACAGTTCCCAGAAATATTCAGGGGAAGCAACAACTGTTTAAAGCGGGATCATGGTGCTTTAAATGTATCGCATGAATATGGCCTAAAAGTCTAATGCGGGAGTCAAGCATTTTTAGCAAACTTGAAAAAAAGAATTGTCCTGTCCAACCCAGACATACATACGCCCCAATGGTCTTTTTGTTGCCTCAGATCAACAGAGACGTCACGTTACAAATCAACTCGGAAGTGGAGTGATGAGCGATCTGGTTGAAACCAAAAGGCCTCCCTTGGCCAGCAACGAGGCAAGAATGAGAAAGTAACAGGAAGCCAAGGAACTCATGCTGACAATTGGGATGTGATAAAAAATGACCGCAGTCTAAACATTGCTAGAGCATGAATACCGAAACAATTGCTTGGGCAGCACATTGGGGGAGGGGGGAGTGAAGAGCCACAAGGATCTGAAGAACACTGTCAGAATGTGCTGAGTTAGGAAGCCATTGCCCATTCTGCTTCCCCAAAAGGAAACTAGAAATCACGGCGGAAGGTAGAAAATGGTGCAAACAGCAGCAAGCAACAGCAGTTAGAATCATAGAATTGGAAGGGATCTCAAACAACATCAAGTCCAACCATTTGCCAATGCAGAAAATCTATTGCTACAGCATCTCCAATTAGCAGAGGCCTAAAAATATCGAACCAAGTAAAGCCCACAACTTTCTGAGGCAGTCTGCTTTCCCTGCAAAATGGCTCATACTTTCACGAAGTTCTTCCTGACGTTCTTTCTCGTAATTTAAACCAGCTGGTCCAGGTCCTAGGACTTTGTACGCACCATACATTTCCCGCTCCATCCAAAGAATCCTGGGAACTGTAGTTTAAAGGTACTGGGAACTGTGTGGGGTTAACTACAGTTCCCAGAATTATTTGGGAGAAGTCGTGTATTTTAAATGTATGCAGATTCCATTCAACAACAATTTAAGATGGCTATGCTAAAAAATGTGCAATTAACCATGAGCTTCAATTTTACTCCATCGCCCACCCACCCCTGGGTCACAACAAGCAATGCTAAATTCAAGTAACACTAGCAGCACTGTGCAAGGCAACAACAAATCTAAATCATCTCCAATGACTTCAGATTCGTTAGGATTGCTGTTCTAGCTTCAGTCCCATTTGATCCCAGAATACCACATATGTTGTACAGTACTAAAACATTTGATGCACCAGAAGCATCATTGCATCATTTACCAAACCAGAGAACCATGCTCTTATCCACTTCCTAGTTTCCTCCATCTCATTCCAGATTAACCACCAATGTCTGTGTTGCTAGCTCCCAGAAGAAGAAATACACAAGGAGTTTTGAAAGAAAATCCCTAGGTATTTAGATGGTTACAGAAACATGAAAAATAAACAGCAAGCGATTATAATGGATCACTCGAGCCAGTTACACCCAGGTTTCAAAAGGGGCCAAAGGAATGCAGCATGTGTAATATATTTGCATTTTTGCAGCCAAATGTTGTACTGCGTCTCCATGGCATTTTAAGTCCAAATAGACTGGGCCATCACGCAGATTAGAAGCAAGATAGCACAGAAGTAGTAGCCGCAACAAACATCAAAGTAATGAGATGGAGCACATTTATCTAAGAAAGATGCATGGTGTGTCAAGCATTTTCCCCAGTGGAAAAAGCGCAAGGATAAAATTTAACCCTGTATGATGGCAACACTAAAATGATGGAGAGCTGCAAGCCACATGGGCCAGGCTTCAGCTTGTGGGTCTTCCATATTATACAGTGTGAACCTGTGGCACTGCAGATATTGCTGGACACTGAACTCTCCGTCAAGTTCAACCCAGCCAGCATGGCCAATGGTCAGGGCTGATGGGAGTGGTAGGCTAAGCACATCTGGAGGATCAGCAGGAAATGCCAATTTTAAGATGACCGTTGCATGATTCTGCAGGAAACAGCCAAAGCGATTTAGCAGCACTGCCATGTGTTGTGTTTCGTCTTAGGACACCATGCCATTTGACACAGAAACAAAGCCAAACTGATCGGAGGGATGAATCGGCTGCATTGCATGAAAAGATTAAAGGGAATTAAATATGCTGAGCTGGGCAAAAGCAGGTCTACAGGGGGGAGCATGAGAATAGTGTGCAAAGAATGCAAGCACCAAAAGAAGGAAAGGAATTGCATAGGATGGCCCAAACGGGTAAAGGAGGAACAAGAAAGAATGCTCAGAAGGCTTTTATGGAGATAATTTGGTGCAGTGGTAAGCATGTAACTAGCCTGAATAAAAAGGCAGTCCTTAATTTCCTGAGAGTATGGAAGATATTTAGCCTCCTGAGGGTGAAAGCTGAATTCATGGCTGGTTACATCCCCACCACAGAGTCTATCTGGTCCTGGAACAAACCAGAAGGCCGAGCTGGAAAAGGATGCTGGAGAAAGCCTGTCCCTAGACTGACAAGAGAGAGAAGAGTAGTTGGGTGGGTCATGGTGTTTGGCACATACAGTGGTACCTCGAGTTAAGTACTTAATTCGTTCCGGAGGTCCGTTCTTAACCTGAAACTGTTCTTAACCTGAAGCACCACTTTCGCCTCCTGCTGCCACCGCACCGCCGGAACACGATTTCTGTTCTCATCCTGAAGCAAAGTTCTTAACCTGAGGTACTATTTCTGGGTTAGCAGAGTCTGTAACCTGAAGCGTACGTAACCTGAGGTACCACTGTAATAGCAACTGACCCACGTCTGGTGCAAAAGAGGAGAATTCTGCTGTGAGGAATTAGATTTTAAACCCGGTTCACTTGCAAATCTTACTGGCTGTTCTGGCAAAGTTACTATGTATTGACTCTCTTCAACCTACTTTATAGGGTTATTCCAGCCAAGATCAACCTCTAAACCACCTGAACTGCACATCCCTTTCCCTACACACCAAGAATTGGCATTAAAAACCCCTGTTTATATTGATAACATGGAAAGAGTCCACATCCCAATCAAAATTCTTCAGGATTCAAACTCCATCAAGTCAGTTGACCAGCTCACCCCAGCTGAAGGCCCCCATTAAAGTAAACAGTGCATGGTATCCAGGGCAAGGAAAAACAAATACACACTTTATTAAAAATAGGTTGTGTGACAGATAGGGATGAGATAAGGAGGACACAATATCGGCTACAAGGAAAAAAACCCAAACACAGCATGCTGTTCCTTTGCTTAGGGTCTTTTAACCCATTTCACATCTGGTTTTCACTAATGAAGTTTGACCAGCCATAAGAAAGGTCTTATGCTTAGTGTTGCATTATCTTGCTGTGGAGTCTGGCTCCCGCTTCCACTCTAGATAATCATTTTACGGAGCTCAGAGTCTTATCTAGCAGCGTAGTGGCAAATTCAGAGGTGTGGGGTCCCTTCATGACAGTCACAGCTATGCACCTTCTAAGATTATACAATAATCCTATAATTACGCAATAATAATTAGGGATGCATTCCTGCAAATCTTCATGCACTGCCTTTCAGCTAGATCTGTGCGCATCTATCGTGCAAAGCCAGCTGTGCGGGTTCAAGCATAGGAGGAATTGTAACGAGTTAAGATCTATGCAAACAACTTGCTGCAGAAACCAAAGCAGCGTCAAAATCAGCATTGCCAGTAGCTACTTTGAATTTAAGTAGAAAAGCAGCAAATAATTTTTTAAAATTTAAATAAAAATCAAGTGGTGCAGATAATAGTAGCTAAATACCAGAAACACAATATTCCACAACCAGGATATTAATGGATCCTCATCACTACCACACAGAAGCAGTTAGCATCACTGTACCATGTGCCCAGTTTGCCAACAAACTAGATTTGATGTGGGGCAATTCAGGTGACTGTAGATGTAAAAAAACCCCAAACAACCCACAGAAACAGTTAAGCAAGGGAGGGTGGAATGGAAGGGAAGGGATAAAACGACTTCCTCTGCTTTCTTTAAAAGCTTTGATGTGTCTCTACTTCCTAATTTTTAAATGCAAACCCTTCTGCTGGGTACGCAATTAATCTATGCTTTACAACATTATCCTGATTCACAGCACTAGTAATATGATCTTTCAAGTAGCACAGTCATGTGTTTTTTAAACAGGCATTCAGCTAGTTGCTTACCTGGAGTAAAAAAATCAACCTTAGGTGACAGAGCAGGAACACTTTTGTAAACTCCGTGTTAGGTCTCTCCCGCCTCACCCAATAAAACAGGATATTACCATGTGAAATGACTTTTTTAAAAAAAGGTATGTGCATGCAGGCTAGCTAGTAACTTTCCAAACATACTTGAGGGCAAAAAAAGCTGCCGGCAATCCCTGCTAGAAACCCTTCCCATGGAGCTAGACTGAAAGTGCAGAGTTTTGAAAAACTAAAAAACAAAGTGCGAGACTGGCTTCATTATTATCAGATAATGGAGGCATACAATTTGGACAAGAAAATCGGCTTCCAGGTGGAAAAATCAAAACTAGAAACAGAATTGTTAGAACCCAAAACTAAGATTTTGTCAAAGATGTATAACTTGCTGTTGAAATGGAATACTCAGGATGAAACGGTGAAATCTGCTATGATTAAATGGGCACAAGACGTTGGACACAACATAATGATGGCTGACTGGGAACAGTTGTGGACCACAGGTATGAAGTTTACGGCATGTAATGCCTTAAGAGAGAATATTATGAAAATGATATACAGGTGGTACATAACCCCAGTCAAGCTTGCAAAAATCTACCACTTGCCCGATAACAAATGTTGGAAATGTAAAGAAACTGAAGGTACATTCTTTCACCTTTGGTGGACGTGCCCAAGGATTAAGGTTTTCTGGGAGATGATTTATAATGAATTAAAAAAGGTATTTAAATATACCTTCTTAAAGAAACCAGAGGCCTTCCTCCTGGGCATAGTCGGCCAATCGGTGTTAAAGAAGGACAGAACTTTCTTTATGTATGCTACAACAGCAGCAAGAATACTTATTGCAAAACACTGGAAGACACAAGACCTACCCACACTGGAAGAATGGCAGATGAAAATGATGGACTACATGGAATTGGCGGAAATGACTGGCAGAATCCGAGACCAGGGAGAAGAGTCGGTGGAAGAAGATTGGAAGAAATTTAAAGACTATTTACAGAAATATTGCAAAATTAATGAATGTTAGAATGATGTTGAATTGAAGTTAAGTAGTTTCTAGCTGTAATGGTAAAAGAATATGGAAAAATTGGATTTTCAATAGGTCAAAACTTAATGCTATAATATATTAAGATTAAAGATTAGGATAAAATAAGGAGGGAAAGGAATTGCTGAACTAATAATTTGAACCGGAATACAAAAAAGGGAGGCATGAGGAGGTCCGGGAAACAAGTAAATGAAAGATAAGTGATGAAAAGATGGAATTGTTTTTAATTGGTTTTTTTTTGTATTTTGTATTTTTCTTTTCTCTAATTTTCTTTTTTTTATCAATGTAATCTTTTTTTGAAACTTTAATAAATATCATTTAAAAAAAAAATAGAAACCCTTCCCTAGCCAGAACAACTCCTCACACAGCTATCAAAATAGTCAGGATACTTCCATATGATCTGTCAAGATTAATTGTGGGACACTCAGGTGAAGGAACTCTGATTTCTAATAAAAGTTGAGGACAGAACATTTGCAAATCTCTCCCCTGAATGTGAGTGGGGAGATGAACTGTATGCCTAAATAGTTAAGCAATTTCAAACCTACCTGGGAAGCATAAGTTTGACAGACAACTCAGCCCTATTTGGGCGTTCACTTCCCACGTGTAATCAGAACAGTGCAAGGGAGAACGAGGAAGAGGCCCGCTGCCTCTATCATGGACCCTTTGTGTGGCCATGCTGCCTTCCATGTGTAAGCGCCCCTAGCAGGAAGCCTGCTGTCCACGAGAAGACATGCCACACAGTTTGGAATCCTAATTGTTCAGGGTTCTAGATTGCACAAGGAGCTTCTCAGCAGATGCTTGGCTGGAAATGTGTAGAGGGGTTGGCATTGGGGTGCGGGTTAGCACATTTTCACATATGAGAAGAATGCATGAGCAGCTTATTATCAACAATGGAAAACTGTGAAAATAAAATAAAAGATGAAACTAATAGCCAAGACCCAAGACAAAGGTTTATCTTGATTGGGACTCAGATTGGTTAGGAAAGCAGCCAGGAACATGCATTTAGGCTGGCACAACTCCTGCTTTCCTAAGATATTCCAAGCCAGTAAATGGCCCTAACCTGAAAGCTTTGCTCCTTGGGAACTGCTGGAACAGCCTAGCTCTAGAGAATGTGTGGAGAGCAGACAATTAAAGGAGGTGGTACATCACTACCCAACGCCCCCCTGCGATGCCACATGGGCCATTATAGGCCTCCCCAATCCAGTTTAGGACGGTGGGGAGAGAATGGAGAGGCATGATCTGAGTCGCCTCAGATGGGTCATGCTAAAAGCTACTTTACTCGGGGCTTGTTCAGACATATCACTATACCATGGTTTGGTCTCATCAACCCTGTCCTCATAAGTTTTCTTTTCCCCTGATCTATGGCACTTAGAGGCAGCCAAACTTTGCTTTGCAGCAAGCCGTAGTTTGGTGTTTCACTGGGTAGATGATGGTTTGAATCAGGATCCCAAATACGTTTGGCTTTGCAGCCCATTGCAAACCAGAGTTTGCCCAGCAGGACAAAAGGGCAGAGTATGGCTCAATACAATACATGGATCAGATGTTTCCAATTGCCATGAGCACAAAGAATGAGCCGAATGCTCATTACATTCTCAACATACCCTACATGGGCAAAAGCTACAGCTGACTGGTTCTCCGTGTATTTCTATAAATATTGCTCTAGGTATGTGCCTGTTAAACTTCTGTCTTCTCACCCTTTTTGGTGAAACTCTGAGGATCAGGAGGCACGTCTTTCCAACCAATCCTTACATGAGCACCGATTGCAATCTCCTTTCTGCCCAGATGTGTCCTGGGGTGAGTCTATCTAGTTAACCATGTTCTATGCTTGGAAAAGCAGTGAGAAGGTTAATCAGATAACAAAGCGCCATGAAATGATCTGGAGGAGGAGGCACCCAATAGATGCTGAACTGGGAACAAGACCACGCCGGCAGAGGAAAATGGGTGGCGGTGCCTACTTCAGTCTTGCGTATCTGATGAGATGGAATCCAACCCTCCTAGAGATTAAAAACAGCTCCCTTTCTGCTAGGCTTGGCTATCGACCAAAGACACCCACTCCCTCCCCTCCCCAGCCTCCCCCAACCAAAGGCAGGGGGAATGCAAAACAAACAGGGCAAGCTTGGTTAGGATTTATGCCACTGTTAGGCAAAAGGGTTAAGGGGGGAGGAAGTTATTACAATTCTACCCTTCAGGCCTCAATAAGGGGGAAGAGCATTTTCACATGTCAGTTTCTTCCTCTCCCACTCCATTAGCAATTATGCTTGGTTTGGGTGCCAGAGGGTGTGGAGGGAGAGGAAAAGGAGCGGTGTCTCCAGGAAGGATAGGAAGGGCTGCAGGATGTTGAGAGGCTGTAGGAAGCACAGGCCAAGAGAGCTCACCGCCCGAGCTCAGAGCTGTGGGTCACTGCCTTCCCCTAATATAGATGTGCACGCAGGCATGATGCCTCCGTTCCCCAGGCAGCCATAGCTAATTGCCATCACACACACACATCCACCTCATTTGCACCAGGCATTTTTTCCACACACAAACTACAAGGCCAATGGCTACAGAGGTGGAGAGAGGAAGGGAAAGGAGCCAATGTGCTCATTCATTTTTGCCTCCTCTTGACTTTAGCATTCACGTAGGAGTCTCCTGACAAATCTCCCATTAGACCAAGCCTGGCAGCAAAAGCAGCAGCCTTCCTCATCCTTGGGTCCCCAGATGTTGCTGGATGATAATTTCCATCATCCCCTAATCACTGGAAATTCTGGCTGGAGGCATTGCGGGGTGGAATGTTTATAGCTGCTCAGTAATGTCTGGTTGGTGGACATTGGTCCCCAACAGAGACAGGGAACCTTTGGCTCTCCAGTTGTTGCTGAACCACATCCAGTGTTAGAAATTAGCCAGGCACCAGGTGCGTTTTGCGGCTGGTGCAAGTCCAATTGCAACCACACAGAGATCCTCTGGATGCCAGGTTAGTAACTGGGGAAAGCAAAAGGCCACTTCGAGAAGGACCTGAACTATTTTCCTGGAAGCTTGAATTTGTTTTGTTCTGTATGGTTTTGTCTGATGTTTTAATGTGTTGTAAAGTGCTGTGAGATTTGCTCTTTAAAATATAAAGCAATATAGAAATAATATAATTATTAATAATAAACTCAATTGCAAAAAAAGCACCTAGACATTCCATTGTGGCAACTGTAACCCAAGTTTAAGGTGCCGTTTGGCAATCAGATTATATATATCCGAGTTTCTAACACGGACCACAACTCCCATCAGCCCCAGCTGGGATGGCCAAGGGTGATGGGAATTGTAGTTCAGCAACATTTGGAGGGCCAGAGATATTCTCCACACCTGCTCTACAAGAACAGAAAGTGAGCTATGCAGCTGGTAGGCCATTGTGCACCGCTGGTATACATTAAACTGGACAGGGCACATGGAGCGATAGTCCTGCCCCCACAGCCATACACACCCCCAGCGGCAAGCAACTGCTTCCCAACAAGCCCTGGAGAGACCTATAGCCAACATTTGCAAGAAGCAGCCAAGACTTCTTGCTGTCCCACCATTAGCTCTCCCCATCAGGAACACACACGCACACACCACACTTATCTGTCCCAGATGTGATCTACCTCACTCAGGTAGAATAGGAAACTCAATCTCAGGGTTGTGGGTTCAAGCCCCACATTGGGCAAAAGATTCCTGCATTGCAGGTGGTTGGCCAGCCCTAGATGACCCTCATGGTCCCTTCAAACTCTGTGATTCTGTGACACTGTCTGCAATGAGCCGTGGAGATGGGGACTGGACCCTTAAAAAACCTCTGTAGGAGGAGAAGCAGGGAGGAAGAGATAGGAGAGTTAGAGGAGAACAGGAAGGCCAAAAGGTGAGGCAGCCCCAGAGCTTTCTAAATCCTTTGGCTGCTTTGTAATGTTTTCTGACATTGCAAAAGAAAGCAAAACGACACAGGCCAAAACAAGGGAAATAATCGGGGCTTTTCCAAAAACAGCATAATGATCATGTCCAAAACAGAGAGTGAATCCATTCCATGATTGCAGCACACCCACCCACTCCCAGGAGGCCAGGGTGGGGGAGGGAAGGGGCTGGAGGAAGGACTGCAGTTGTGCAAACTGGCTCCTGGAGCACCTCCGAAGGCCAGGACGGGAAGCAGCTTCCCATAGGCAACGATCCCTCCTCGGACAGGGAAACATTTCCCTAACCCGGCCGCAGAGACAGCAGTTCTTCCTGGTTACATACACGCCTGCTCTCCAGAGGCGATTTTAGGGGTGGGAACAGAGTCCATCGAGGAAGATCGCTTGCTTCCTAACCCCGCTTTTTGGAATGGAGAGAATATATAATATTAAAATAAAAATGGAGACCTATCCCGTTAACACAGAACTCTTTCCGCAGTAGCCCTGTTTTGAACTCAGAACTGGCACGCGCCTATCCAAGCGGAAGGTGATCTTAAAAAAATAAAAATGTATCGTGCTCTCTCTCTAGTCTCTAACGGCCCTGGAACACGGCAACACTTCGTACTCCACGCCCGTGTTCGAACGTGTGAATCCTGCCAGCCTCGGCACAACAGCAGCGTTGAGGAAACTCTGGGCCTATAAAGGGGCACGTTAGCCCCGGGGGTGTGATGGAGGTCTAGCCCGGAAACCTTTACGAACGGGAGGGTAGGCGGAAAAAAGGGGCGTCAGACTGGCACGGAATCCAGCACCCCTCTTCTGCCGCAAGAGGAAGCCCCCCCCCGCCCCGCGCCAAGCAGGAATCCGGATCTTGTGGCCGAGGAGTAGCTGCCTACCTGTCCTTGCCCTCCAGCCCCTTAACAGAAACAACTGCACGAATACGGTGGAAGGAAACCAAGCCAGAAAGTGGCAACTCACCGTCATGCTGCCGGCTGCGCTCAAAGCGGCTAGAGAAATTCGCTGGTCACTTTTCAAAACCCAGCAAAGAAAAGTCGAAATCACCTCCAAGCAGTAGCGGCGGCAGCCTCGATGTCCATTTCCCCACCCTCCCCCTTTCTCTCCCTCTGCTCTCCGCGCTCCCAACCTCTTCTATCCGCCCAGAATAAACTTTTTTTCCTCTCTTTCTCTTTCTTTAAAACTTCCTGGGAGGACCCTTCCTAGCCAATGGGAGGAGATCGAATTTGCAACTTTTGCAGAGCGCAAGTCGCGGGCAGCCAATGAGCAGGCGAAGAGGAGGAGGCGGGGGCGGAGCCCGGCTGCCCGAATGCAAAGAGAGAGAGGGGGGGGAAGCGCCAATGAGGAAGCGGAGGGGCAAGGCTTCAGCCATAATAATGAAAAAAAGAGAGATACAGGCTAAATGTTAAGAGAGGCGCCCGTGAGTCCCCTTTGCCTTGCCAGAGGACAGGGAGAGCGTGCCAGGCAGCGCTGCCAAGGGTCAGTGGCAAGCCGTGGCCGGGGGGGGGGGAGTGCTGTCTGGTTGCAGGCCGGCTGGACAAAGCTACCCCACCATTTATGCAAAGCCACAATATTTAGCACCCCACCCTGGTTATAATTCGAGCAAAGCTGCAGAGGACAAGATCTGAGCCTTAATGTTCTGCTAGTTTCTTCGTCTTGCTTCTGTGCCTTCTCCCAACGCTGGGAATTGGGGGTTGGGGACCGGCATCTGGTTGCAATTTACAGAAAGGAAAGGAGCCCGTTTGACCTACTGCGGAGGCCTTACACCTCTGCATTCCTTGCTTCCGAATGTTAAACTTGTGTAAAGACGCCCCAGCATCGCAGTAAGCAGCAATGGGGCTGAGGGGGCAACATAAAGATGGGGAATTGAGAGGAGGTGATGTTTAACTGGATTTCACGATGGTTTAACTGGCAGCTTTTTCCTTGCACAAGCGGCAGTCTGATGATCCTAGTGCCCCCAAACTATAAAGCAAACAAGCGCCTTGGCTGTATTTTAACACCAGGTTAAAATCAGTGGGGCTTACTTCTGAGCAAACAGACAAGCTGCAAGGTCACCTCTAAACTGCCAATATTTTTGCAGGAGGATCATAGCAAATACCTGGAAATTTAGGTTAATACTCTGTCTTCCTAGTATAAAAAATCCACTTTAAAAAAAGAAACACTTTTACTGTCAGGAAAGTGACTGAAATGAACTGAAAAATGTGGGATGAACTAATTATTAATGGGGAAATGTATGAACACAGTGCAAGCAAATCACAGTGAATGCTCAATAGACAGGTCATCTGAGTGTGGTTACTCATAAATATTCAGTCCGAATAAAAATGTTCAGCTTTCCCTTACACTAACAATTACACACATATTGGGCTCAGAAATCAGAATGATACTGAATGGTAACAGCTCACATAGGAATTTTGTTTCCATGAAATTCCTAAAATTAAAATTAATGCCACTTAAAACAATCAAGGTTCAAGTTCCTTTGCTGGCAATTCACACACGCACACCTCAACATACAAAGACATTAAAGGTCGAAAAGGACCCCCATGAAGTCCACAAAAAGCAGTAACCAAAAATGAAACAAATATTAACGGTACATAGAAGCTCCCTTGCCTATTCCAAACACTAGAAAAGTGTCTACCTCTACTGCACAGATGCACACAAAGGCACACAACAATTTGGCCCATAAAAACGCACATTCAAAAAGCTTAAGTGCATGCACATAGATACACACATGCCTCCCCCTGCTTGAACCATCTTAGGGAAGCCTGCCTCACACCAAGACTCATACCACTGAGAGAATGTTAGGAATGCCATAAAGAATTTGTAAATATAAGGAGTAGGAACTGCACAGAACATACCTTCCAATGTTTCTTCTCTGTTATCCTTATTATTATAGAGAACTGCAATTATGTTAGGCGCTTTGGAATGTTTGGTAGGTTATATCTGCCAGCTGTGTTTATTCCAGCACACAGCACATAGGAGTCTCCTGTGCCTTGCCTACAGCCCTCTGACTATTACAAGATTAGCAAGTCGCCTTTCCTTCTTTCTCCACAGTCCTTTAGGGAAAAACAAACAAACAAACCAGGCTCTCATGCCTGCAGTTCAGCCTGGAGTATATCATGTAAGCAGGTGATTCTCCTTTCCAATCATGCTCAACTGAAATTCAACCTAACAGCTGAACTTCACACTCTCTTAGCTGTGCCGCCCTGCATTTGAAGGAAGGTCCCATTCACCTGTGACAAGCACTAGGGAGTTGCCACCCACCCACCGCCTCATCTGTTATGATTCCTATCACTTCTCTGGTTGCATAAGTGAGTAGCAGCACAATAGCAAGCTATAACTGAACACAGATACCCGGCTCCAGTATTCAGTAATTCAATGCGTTAAACCAGCATTCAGAGATCTCAGGGCCAATTCCTGCTGGAGGTGAATGGCTTCGCATTGCCATCTGCTTCCCTGGAGAACCAGGGCACTGAAGCTTTCAGGGCATGAAGCAGCCCTCTGCCCTTGCAACAAGCTGAAGACAAGCCAGTAGCAAGCTCAGTTTGCCAAAGAAAGACAACAGTTGCATGTGTGTGTGTATCAGCAATGATGGGGAACCTCTCTCAGAAATTTATTTTTCTTGTCCATATTTTATAACATCACTTATAAACTATACAGTGTGTTAAGAAGGCAGTGGGGGTGTTTCTCAAGCTTTGAAAAAGAATATTGGTCCTATTCCAAGGATGACGTAGTGTGTGTTTGAAGGACCCTATCACTGTATGCACCTACCAATACAACAGGGGTGGGGAACCCCCAGCCCTCAGGCAAGATTTGATCCACCCATTTCGCCTGTAAGGCTGTTTCCCCTAAACCACACTCAACTGCCCCACACCAGACAAAATGACATGGCTACAAAAGAACAATCTATCAGAAGCTTAAAATTAGTACCCAATTGTGCATTTGCTAGAGCAAGGCACAATGGATGCGTAGGGGAAGTGCACCTTGCTCCAATAGTACCAAGCAATTGCCATTTAAATTGCAGCTAAAAATGTGGCTTCCACCTCTGTTTTGGCAGTGGCTTCAATGCAAACCATTTGGTGCAACAAAACCCCTTGTGCTGTGGTACCTAAGTGACTAACAAGAAAGTTAGGTGCTGGGCACCTGGGAAGCACTGGGCAGAAGATTTCTGATGGGTGGGCTGGACGACCCAGCTGTCAGACAAAGGACATCAGCTGATTGGCAGGTGGGTTGTCCCACCCACCTGTCAACATTGGTCCCCTATGCCAAAAAGGTTCTTCACCCCTGCAGTACAATCACATATCCAGTAGAGTCAAGGACCTTCTTAGTGGTGGTGCCCCAGTTATGGAACCCTCTCCCTAGAGAAGTTTGCCTGGCACCTACTTTATTGTCCTTTTAGTGCTTTTTTATTTTTCTGAACTTTTTAGATACAATTTGAATATTGACTGTTTTATGTCACTTTTACCATTTTGTGGCTCATATTTACATTTGGTCTCATTCTTTTTGTAGCCCATGCTATAAGAGCAAGACAAAGCACTATAAAACCAACCCCATCTTGCTAAGCATTAAGGATCCCCAAATATTGTTCTTGCAGCCCAATCCGATGTAAAGTTTGGCATCTCTAAAGCCAGTTAAGTAATCCAGCATAGGAGCAAGCTGTCAGCTGTAAGGTCAAGGCCACTCAAGAGCAGAATTAACACATAATCCTATGCTTGTACCCAGAAGTTAGTTCCACTGAATTCTACAGAGCTTCCTCTCAGTTAAGTGTGCATAAGCCTGTAGCTTTAAACAGGTTGTGGAGCAAAAGGAAACAACTGGGAGACAGTTACCTGATTACTTTACATCCTAGTAGTAAAAAACCCCTGCATTTTTAAAGAGTTTCATTTGGATCAAGAAGCCACTGAAATGAAGTCATTTTTTGGCTGATCTTGTTTCAGTAGATTCCGAAAAGATGCAGGAGAAAGACGACTCACATCAACAATGCACACCTCCAGAGAAAGCAAGATAGGCTATCACCTGTACACTATATCCAAGGTGTTGAGCAACTGCCTCTGCCTCCCATCTGTCTGTCTTACTCAGGAGTACATCTGTTGTAGCAAATTATTGCCCTGCTCCTTCTTAAGCTTAAGTTACATAGCTCACCTTGACAGGGGGCTTTCAGACAGGGGGTTTAATATTGCAAACAGGCCATTCAGCTATCCCAAATGGGGCATTGGCAACAGGTTTTGTTTTGTGCCTAATGTAATCTATTTCGCTCAGAAAGGGTAAATTTGGACTTAAATGGGGAAGTGGGGATAGAGGCTGGCATTTTGATGCTGATGCCATTGTGTGAACACCCTTCTAGAAGCATGCATAATTTTTTACTTTTGCATTTTTACAGGCCACCTAGCATAATGCACATGCTTTCAAAGCAATGATCAGGAGCCATTAGCTGGGAGCCTGTATTTGACATCACTCCGTTCCCAGTGTTCAGGGCGTGAGGTGCTGTTTCTTGTGTAGCCAAAACAGCACCACACAGGGAGGTATCAACAGGCATGGGAGAAGGCCAAGGTTTGCAGAAATACAAAAATATTTTGAGAAAAATACCCAGGGGGTGAGAGCCTGCACACCCCAAACAATCCAATGGAGGACCACCAAATTCTTGGATGTTTTAGGGTAGAGAAATGAACAGGGGGAAAAGAAGAAATGGAACAGAATAGCTGAACTCCTGAACAGCAGCAATCTATGCTACCACAGTTTCTTGCAGGCTTTGCTTATGAATTGTATATTTGTGCAGATGTCTCAAATATATCTACAAATATCACCCACCTTGTGATGATGAATATAGCCTGAGCACATGGTGAGAAGTGTTTCTAGCCTGGGCCTTTGCCCAAGGCACTATGGCCTTGGGATACTTCACTCAATTCACCTCTGAATAGGAATTAATTGAACTCTTGGGCTATTTGCTTTACTGCTCTTACAATTAAGGTGTGTTGCATGCTCAGCGGTAGAGAGGCAATGTCTGGAAAAGAGATGAGATGCAGGTGCTAGGCTTGCCCAAGGCGTACAGGTAGACACATATCATTCCATTTCAGCTGCATTTCGAGCAGAGACTTGTTCAGGAGGGTGGGGGGGCAATGTATAAAAGGGACGTGCCGATGCACCAGTTGAGGAATCAGGCAGCAAGCAGTGGGAAGGATCCCTGCCTAACAGCCACTGCCAGACAGAGTAGACAAATGTTGAGCTCATATAAGGCTGCTTCTAATGTTACCTAGATAGGTCTCAAATCTATTTTCCCAGGATATCATTGCTTCCACTCAGTGGCGGAGCTTTGCTGGGGATGCTCTGGCAGGAGGAGCCTCCCAGGCTGCGCCCCCCCCCCCCAGCGGGCGGGCAGTGTTCGCTTCCCCCGGCAGCCACCGGGCATATTTGCACGATCAGCGGTCAGATTTTCGCGACGACAGTTGGCCCAATCGCGAAAATTCGCTAGTTGGGGGTACCAGCGCTGCCACGCCAATCCGCCCAGGGGGGATTTGGTCACATGCCCCCTAGGCATGACACCTAGGGCGGACCGCACCCCCCTTGTGACACCCCTGCTTCCACTGTCCTAGAACTGTGACCAAATATTAACTGAAGAAACCAGGGACTGAACATGAGGACAAGCCTGCCTTCCTACCACCAAACTACAGCCTTACAGAGATAATATCCACTGCTCTATTGATCCTTGCCTGTATTGCCAGCATACATTACGGTGGCCCATTTTGGACATTCATCATGGCTTCTCTGGTTTAATGTCCACATCTCATGGACACAGCTAAATTGAAATCCTTCCATTTCATAAACTATTGACCTTTATGAACAATAGCTTCTTGGACCCCAGAGATGAACATCAAGGCTATGTTCTCCTCCCTTAATGTACTGCCTTCAGAGCTATGATCCTGGCTTGCATTAAACCTTACTTCCCCATTTCAGACACAGAATAGAACCCAGGTTTAAAAGATTAACTAACTAACCAGGGTATTATTTCCTTCGGTTTACATCTGCCCTTCCTTCTGAAAGTGTCCGCAGGGTGCTTAACAATGTCGAATCTGAAAAAAACTATACTTATGGCTAAACTGACAGTTATTAAAACGACAGTGCCTCCGTGTATCTACCCCTTTCCAAAGGACTGGGCAAATAAAATGTTCTGTCTGAACACAGTTGGAAAAGGGAACGGATTTCACCTGAGAGGGAGTTCCTGAGACAGGGTGCCACTATGAAGAAAGCCCCGTCTCGCAGTCACACCCTCCTCACCACCCACAGTGATGTTACTGCGAGAAGAGTTGCTCCCTTATGAGCTGCATGTGAGAGACATATGGAGAAAGGTGCTCCTCCAACTATATAGTTTAAATGTATTTAAGTATATGCAAGTATATTTAGATTAAATCTAATCCCGCTTTAATATCCTGCTTAGCTTTTAGTCCAATGCTTGCAGCCATACGTCACTGCAAATGCAGTAAAATGCCTATTGGCACAGACATAAAACATGAATAAATATATTAAAATCACCCTTAAATCTTCCGGGGGTTACTCTTAAGACTTAGCTTGCTCAAGTTAACACATAACCTTTACAAACCTTTACAAACCACTGACATTCGGTTTGAGATCCTCACTCAGATTTTCTTTGTTGAAATTGCAAACAGTGCAACTTGATAGCATATATACTCATTTTCATCAGATAACAAGATAACAGTTTAACAGTTTCGCTTTCTAGGATAGGCATACGGTGGTCTATCCCCACGCAACTCTTTCCCAAGGACACACAATCTGTTTCTTACAGGGATATGACAATGCCTCCCATCCAAATAAGTGGCTGGCATTTGTTTAACTGTTAATCTGCAAAAGCTTTTCTCAACTGCGGGTAGGTAGTGTAAAATAAACACCTTTAGATTTGATTTATCTTTTTTAAAGTGCAGCGTACCAGTGAGAGGAGCGATTATTATTAATCACTTCCCTATCTCAGGACAGATGGAACGTTCCCATTTAAAGTGGGCTGAACGCCAAGGATGGCCGGCTGCGTGCTCTGTAGGAACTGAGTACAGATTAATTCTGTCCTGGGTGATCTTCCTTCCCCCTAGCTCTCAGGTGTTCATATTAACACATCTTTTGGAATCCTGAGCCAGCCATTTCATGGCATGTGTATCTATCCTGGATCATGCTTTTGTTAACTCTCAATCCCAGTTTAATATCCTGTTTAGTTGCCAACATTAAACACATTAAACCCAAGTTTTCCTTTTGGAGCAAAATGGGGAACACTGGTTTGCAACACCAAAGATGTTGCACAAGAGGAGCATGCATTAGGGGGGAGGTGTGCATGGAAATGAAGATATTCATGAAAATAAGATACAAATGCATCATGTTAGGGGGAAACGCTTTCAAAAATATGTACATTGGGTCAAAACTGCATATAAATATGTGTCTACTAGGAGAAAATTACACCAAAATGCTGATGAATTTTCATGCTGTTTTTACCATATTGTTAGCAGCCTCAAGTGTCCTTGGACCAAAAGGTGGGACAGAAACTGATTAAAGACCAGATAAACACTCCATTCCTTGTGCAACTTGATTTGTTGTATGCCATTATGAGGAAACCTTCGTGATCCCAGTTTTGAATATTAGGCGCAACAAATTTAGTCTCCGTTGCTCCAGATGACAAAGAACAAGCAATCCTGACTAAAGGATGGGAGAAGTATAAGAGTTGGTGGGCTCCCCTTTTCAAGCAGTATTTAACATTTGAAGGCGGCTGATATATGAGCATACTGATGCCAGGGAGATGCTGGGGATTGAACCTGTGACCTTCTGAATGCTAAGCAGATGCTCTACCACTGTGCTATATGGTCACCTTCTTACCTGATACAAGAGCTTCTCTTTGTTGCTGCGGTCACTCTCCGGCCGACTTTCTGGCCTCCTTCCCCGATTCGTATGTTCATCCTCTACCTGTTCCATTGGATTCCCTTGATTTCTCCAGTGACCCTCCAATTGCTGCTGCTGCTGCCCAGGCTTTGCCAAATGAGGACATTCTCCGTGGCTCATCCAGTCTCTCTCCAAGAGCTGCATTGGATGCACGTGGCACAAGGACCCTTCATGGCTCTTTGGGCTAGCCTCCGGCCTCGCGGGGCAAGAGGGGTCTCCTGGGCCAGCCCTCTTCAGCTCAGCCACTGGCAGGCTGGCGAGGCACAGGGATGTGCTGCTATCTTCCCAGTTGTCCTGTCTCCTGGGATCAAAAGGGTTGACCGGCTCTTCTTCGCCCGGCCAATCAGTGTCTAGACTCGTCCGTAGGGTCCTGCTGCAGGGCTCCCTTGGGCTTTTCCAACTGTCTTCTGCGTGCTGCTTGCTCACAGTGCAACACCTTGCCTGCTGTGGATATGCGCGGCTACTCTCTGCCAGCCGCCCAGGACTGGGAGACCGCCTGACCTCCCCAGAGCTATGCCGGCCACTTTCTCTGCAGCTCCCCGGGCTCAGGGAGCGCCTGGTCTCTCTCTGGCTACCCCCAGGACTAAATAGACCCCCAACCTCCCCACGGTTTTTCAAACCAATCCCTGCATCTCTCCCTGGGCCGAGAGACCGCCTGGCCTCTCCTTGAGCCCCACGGCCATCTTCCCTGGGCCTCGGGGGACTCAGGGTCTGCCCTCGGCCTGCCATGGCCCTCCCCGGGCTGAAATCGCACACAGCTCCCCGGTAGTCTCTCGGCTCCTTCCTCGGGTGCTCGCCCGTGTCAAAGGGGAGCAAAGGCTTGCCCCGCGCTTTCCGGTCACTCTCCTTGTACCTCTCCAGCTGCCTCGCTTGACCCTTGTCCAAGCTCCTTCTGGAGTGGGCTGTGCTCACAGCGCCCAGGCAGCTTTTCCACTTGGTCTCCGTGCTTTTCCCAGAGCTGTGCGAGAGCTGCGGTTGGCTTTTCCTCCCATCACCCGTTGGCTTCCCGTGACTCGTGGGGCTGCGGAGAGGTGCCCTGTCCCTGTCGCCTTTCGGATGGGGCACAGGGTCCGCCCATTTCCGCCGCTCTGCTGGCTGCTGCGGGACCACCAAGTGTGGAGACACGGCCCTGCTCCTGCTGTCTCTCTCCAGGCGCTGAGGGGAGCTCCCAGAGCGACCGGGCTCCCCTTGGCTCCTGCTGCTTCGCTCAGGGCGCTGCTCTGGTCTCCCTAGGCGCTGGGGGCCTCCTCTGCTCCTGCTGGGCTGCTCTGGCTCCCAGGGAAGTTTTTTGCTAACCTGAAAAAGAAGAAGGAAATAAGTAGCCTTGTGATAGCAAAAGGCTAACCCTCTGGTTGTATGTTGGGAATTAAAATTGCCTTGGACCACATCCATCTTTTTCTCCAGCTCAGTAACTGTCTCCCCTGACTGACAGTGTAGGAAGCAGACTAAATTAAATCAGCTGCTGCTGTTTCAACTGTGTCCAAAACGCATCACTTCTTTTGGGAATTATAGGGACAGAACTACCTAAACTGTATAGAAACTTATTCATGTATGCTACTACAGCGGCAAGAATGTTACTCGCCCCAAAATGGGAAAAAATAGATGTCTCAGCAAAGGAAGAATGGATACAAAAACTTATGGAATATGCAGAAATGGCAGAACTTACCGGAAGAATAAGAAATCAAGATAACAAACTTTTTTATATATAAAAGAATGGAAATGGTTTATTGAATATTTACAGATAAATTTTGAACAGATAAGAATGTTGGCAGGATTATTGTAATAAGAGTATATATTTAAAGTAGATGAATAAACGAGCAAATTAAGTTAATTTGGATTTGCAGAAGATATTTAAAATAAATTTAAGGAACCGCAGAAAGAGGGGGAAGGAAGTCAAGTTCTGAAATGTCAAAATGATTGTAATATCAGTGAAATGCATAAACCTGAAGTGTGTGTGTGTGTGTGTGTGTGTGTGTGTCTGTGTGTGTCTGTGTGTGTCTGTGTGTGTGTGTGTGTGTATCTGTAATGCATCACTTCATCCCATACCATGAGAGAGTCAGTCTTACTTATGTTCAAGACCCACTGGGCTCAAACGCCACCTCCTTCCTGGGCTACCATGATCTTTCGGCCTAGCACCACGCAGCATTAGACCTACCTTTATTTCAATGCCTGAAGTAACAGAAGTTACCAAGTAACAGAGCCATTTGCATCCAGGCAGTGCTTGGAAAATAAAGCCCAATGTGATCATCGACTGCAGAAAAGTATCACCAATTGCCCAGTGCACAGATGGGGAACCTGATCTGGACAGTGGTCCCCCACAGGCCGAAAGTGAGAGGTGGGCAGGACCACTCACCTGTCAATCACCTGACGTCAGAACATCATCAATGATTGCTGGGACTTCAAAGCACTATGTAGGGTTTCCAAAGAGCTCTAACAAAGTGCTTCAAAGCGCTGCTGATCAGCAGGCTTGAAGTCACCACCTACTAGCTGAAGGGTGGTAATGCCAAGCCTGCGTTCTGCAGGGACTGGCTGCGTGACTGAGCTCCCCATCCTCAGGCCCCTCACACCAGATGTCACATGAAACTTCAGATGCGGGGCAGGTGGGAGTGGTTTGGGGAAAACATCCTTGTGGGCCAAATTGGGACTCGCACTGGCCTGCGGGATGGAGCTTATTACCAGTACTCGGGAAGCCTCATAGAAGATCAAAGTGCTCCTTCCTGTTTCCATCCATCCATCAGCTGTTCCCAATGGTTCTCAATGGGGCTAGGAAGGCATCAAAGTTGGGAGCTGCCATCTCAAGGTGTGCATGCATGTGTGCAACCTGGGTATGTGAAAAAGGAAACTCAGCCCTTGGGCTGGGAAAGGTTTTCTACCCCTGCTGTATATGTTAGGGAAATTAAGCAAGATTGGTCATTTATGTTCCATTTTTGGCATTAATTTGTTGTGTAAGCAGCCATGCAAGCCACTTTAAGACCAGCTTCCTGGAGATGCCCCCAAAGTTCAGGATTCTTGGCCTTCTTTGGATCCAAACAGCTGCCAGAGGTTAACGCTACATAGCTATGCTGCCACCTCTATCATTACTGACCACAAGTTGCTTTAGGCATCTTTTGAAGACCTGCCTTCTTACCCACAAGCTTTCCCCAGTTGTTAAAACTGTCTTCTGGATGTTACAAGGTTTGACTGCATTTCTGTACTTTTTAAAATTGCTGTCCTTGGTAGTTTGTACCGATGCTTTTATTGCATTTTTTTTGGTAATATTTGTGGTCTTTTGGTTTGCTCTAAACCACTTGGGGTATTTTATACAATAAGCCACATATGATCTTAAATAAACATCACTCAGCCCCTTCTTTACAGCCTCAGAAATTTCACTAGCCGTTGGCAACACAAGCCTTCTTCGTAGCAGCAGAGGCTAGGAATTAGGGTGTTTGTTTACTTGCCATAAAGAGAGCCAATTCAGTGAGGATGCTGGACTTGACACTCAAAGAATTGCAAAACATGCAGAATGTGTTGATAATCCACAAAAAGCAAACATGGCACAGGCCAAACTGGTCAGCATTGGACTAACTTGTCCAACAGGCTGTCCCCAGCTGATGACTTCTGATCCCAGGCATATCACTTGTGCTCTGTACCCCTTCGTCATCTTTCCCATTTTTAAAGGATCACTAGGTAGAAATACAGTCGTTCCTTGGAAGTCAAATGGAATCTGTTCCAAAAGTCTGTTTGACTTCCAAAACATTCGGAAACAAAAGCGTGGCTTCTGAAGCTCCTGCAGCCAATCGGAAGCCGCAGAAGCCGCGCCGGATGTTCGGCTTCCAAAAATCATTCAAAAACCGGAAAACTCACTTCCGGGTTTCGATCGTTCAGGAGCCAATTTGTTCGGGAGCCAAGGTGTTTGAGATCCAAGGTATGACTGTACAAACTGAACGGCTGCGCTACTTCCCATTTATGTATAGTGCTAGTATTTTAAAAGACTATGCGTACATGTGCATGCGTAGCACCACAAAGGGGGAGGGGAACCCCACAGAAACTGGGACTGTGGCACTGGCAGACACAAATAGCAAAAAGTGGCAGGGAAGTACAAGCAGTCTGCAGCAATTTTGGTCACCCAGCTGTGACCCTTTGGCAAACGCAAGGAGTGGCCAGATTTCCTTCCAATGCAGATACGGCAGAGCTGGGTGGGGAACATCTGAACAGCGGCGTGGTGATCCCTTCCTCATTCTAAGGATGCAAGAAAGGCTCGAGGCAGAAGCTTCGAAGCTCAGCCATTCTGATTTTCGGCTTGGCTGGCAATGCATGTCAAAAATGGTCCACAAACACACAGAGACACATACTAGTGGTGCTAGGAGGGAGCAGAACCAGTTCAAGCGGCTTTGAGTAGAGATGGAGAACCGGCAACCTTCCAGAAATGGCTGGACCTCAGCTTCCCATCAGCTCTGGCCAACATGAGCCCATGGTCAGTGATGATGTCTCCCAGTGGTGCAATGGGTCAGTGTGTCTGGCTGTTAGCTAGAAGGTTGGTGGTTTGAGCCTACCCAGGGACGGCTGTGGGTAGGATTCCTGCACTAGATGACCCTTGAGGTCCCTTCCAACTCTATAATTCTGTGATCTCTGATGCGGGAGGGTGGAGCCCAAAAACATCTGGCTGACCCCCAGATTCCCCAATACTGGCTTTGAGGATCTGGTGCGGCCAGAGGCTGCCAGTTGAGGGAAAGGGAAGCTGGTTAATTGTGTGCCAGGAGGGGGCAGCAAAGGAGGCGCAATGCAACAAGGTAGTCCACTCTCAAACCAGTGCACCTTCTGAGGTGGTGCAGTCTTCTGTTAAGACGGTACCCTGGGCGGACCTGAACAGCCTCATTCTCTTGAGCAGGCATCCCCAACCTGCAGCCCTCCAGATGTTTCAGCCTACAACTCCCATGATCCTTAGCTAACAGGACCAGTGGTCAGGGATGATGGGAATTGTAGTCCAAAACATCTGGAGGGCCGAGGGTTGGGGATGCCTGCTCTTGAGTAAAGATTGGAAAGCAAGAGCTTTGCCCTTTGAGGAGGACTGTTGTAAATACATGGAGACAAAATGAGGAAAACAAAGGCCAAGAGAGAATACAGTTTCAGCAGGTCCCATTTTACTCCCCCTCAGCACCCCACTGCCTTTCCTCACTGTGGATTAGCCACTCACATCTCTGCGCAGACTGGGGCTTGATTGCCTCCTGACTAATCGCCCTTCCTTTGCCAGCTTCAGGGTCTTACTATCCAGTCGATCCAAGAGTCCCTCTTCCAGGGCTTGGAATGCCCCCAGCGTCTCCGACTTCCTAAACATCAGAAAAGGGGGAACGGTTGCAGTGGGGAGAACAGATAGTTACGAGGTGCTGAATTAACAGCTGGCCTTCAAAAAATCACCTCCAAACACATGACAAGGGACTTTGGGCCCCAGTTATTGGATCTTGGAGGGCGGCGTTACCTTCCCCACACTGGCATTGTTGAGGCTTAGCTGGGTAAAAAAAAAAAAAAAGTAAAGGTAAAGGACCCCTGGACGGTTAAGTCCAGTCAAAGGCACAGCACTCATCTCACAGGCCAAGGGAGCCTCCGTTTGTCCACATACAGCTTTCCATGTCACGTGGTCAGCATGACTAAAACGCTTCTGGTGCAACGGAACACTGTGATGGAAACCAGAGTGCACGGAAATGCCATTTAGCTTCCCAACACAGTGGTACCTATTTATCTACTTGCACTAGCATGCTTTCGAACTGCTAGGCTGGCAGGAGCTGGGACAGAGGAACAGGAACTCGCCCCATTGCTGGGTATGTCAGGGTGGCAGCCAGGTCAGAGATGTGTAGGTGCCCTTCTGAAAAAACTGGATTGGTTCTGCTGGCACACTGACTCTGCCTTACCCCTACTGCCAGGGCAGTGGTGCTTGTTTAAAGAGACCAGCTCCACACAAAAAGACAAGGCGCAAATCTCCCAGGGCTGCCCCATTTCCTCACCTGCGCTCGTGGCCAAAGATCCGTTCCACCTCCACCCGGCCAGGACTTCTGGTGCGGCTGCGCTCTTTTTCGAAAGCTTGCCGGTGGTCCAGCCGCTTCACCTTGGGCAGGTCGGCCAGCATGCTGTACTCCTGCTTCATCAGGCCGTGGCGACCCTCGCTGCTGCCGCTCGTGCGCCAGCTCTGGTCCGAGTCAGCGGAGCTGATGGAGGAAGCAGGCCACCTGCCAGGGCCAGAGGCATCGCCACGGGCAGGCAAAGCCCCACGGCCCGCACGGGGAGGGGAAGGGGCCCGGCTCGGCTCGGACTTGCGTCGCTCCAGAGAGAAATAGCCGCTCTCGGCTTGATGCTTCCTCCTGCCGTCCCCCTGGTCCTGGCTCACGGCTCTGGAAACTGGGAGGGGGAGAAAGATCTTGCAGCAATTCCTCCCATGCTCAAAGTGTGTGCACAGGCAGGAAAACAGCACAAACCAGCAGTGAACTTGATGTGCCAAATGGAAATGGGTATTAGCTCAGGACACCCAGTTGCCTCTCCAAACAGAAGAGACTTATTTTCGGCCAGAAGTGGGCAGCACAGGAGCCATAGAAAGGGAAGCTGTGGGACTCCAATAATCATCAGCTCCAGCCAGCATGGTTGATGGTCAGGGTTGATGCGAGCTGTTGTTGGCATCCGTCTGTCTCAAGAGACAATGGCGTGCGCCCCCGGGGGTGAAATCAAACTACTGTATTAGCAGCACGGAAGTGATCTTTCTGGGGCACAAGCCTGGGCAGTGTGTATGGAGGTCCAGAGCTGCCCAGATTACAAGACACCCTCTCGACGGCTTCACTGATGTGGTCCAAGGGAAAGCAAGGCAATACGATGGCACCAGCTTGGCTGCAGAAGTTGCCAGAAGGAGGCGTACAAGGCGCCATCCAACTGCCTTAGGGACTCCACCCTGGATTTGTGTAGGGTTTACTCTTTAGCCTTTTCTTTTCCCAATATATCCTGCAAGGTAGTGGAGGTGTAGGATCAGAGTTTTCTCTCTCCTACATGGGCTACCTTCCCAGGTAATTCCTTCTACAGCACGTGCAGAAACCACCTTCTTGTCTGTTGAACCCACTATTGGTCTCGTCCACACAATCCTCCGGAGCCTATCCTCACATGCAGGGGAAGCCCCTAATTCACCGAGGCTTTGAAACCCATCGGCTACTCTCACCTGTTTTAGCCGGTCAGTCAAAGCCGTTTCCTGGGGCGTGGTCACTGTCGTATGCTGACAGCATCTAGGAGCCATAGGTGAGAGCCGAGTGCAGGGTGGGGACGAAAAGAGGACAAACTGCCCCAGAAGGAGCATGACATGTCCCCCATCAGAGCTAATATCCATCCCCTAACCAAGAGGACTGCAGGTTCTCCATCCCTGTCCTGTTGCATAATGAAATGGCTGGTCCCCTAAGCTCGCCCCTTTTGGAATATCCAGACGGCCATGTCCTCAACCACACTAGGGGTACGTGTGCATTATAAAGATGATGACATCTACATTTATTATAAGCACTTCACCAGCAGGTCCCAGGTCAGGTGATAACTATTATAAACTACACCCTTCTATTAGGTTATTGTACTGTGGGCAGAATCCAGTTTCTGGCATTTCCAGATTCACTTTTCAATGTAAAAGCTCCCCATGGTTAATAGCCCTCCTGGTCAAGGAACAAAGGGAGGGATCCAAGTAGCACGTCTCATCAGACAAGGATTTCTGATTGTGCAATGGGACTTTTGCTCTTCTCCCGACTGCATGCCAAATCTGCCCCAAAAGGCTGGGGGAACCCCATAACAGATTTAGGGGGTATGGGGAGGTGGGTGGGGCGGGAAGTCCCATCAAACAAGTGGAAATCCTTGCAGGGACAGGACGCTTGATTCAGCACATTTTGCCCTTTGCCATCTCAGAACCCCGCTAAAAGTTGCTTGAGATCCTAATCAGTGGGAGAACTGATTATGCAAATGTATTCCTGTTTATTAAATCCAGGCACAGGATTTGGGTTCCTAGTGCAATGCTGCAGTTACAGTTCTTTCCTTTGGGATGGTGTGTTCCCACCCTCGGAAGAAACAATATCTACGGAAAGATCTGTGCTGGCAGGAGGTGGGGAGAGGTCAGGAGACTGAGGAGGGGGGTGACACATACCTGCTTTTGGGCAATTCCAGGACTCTGTTCTCCCAGAGGATGCTGGGTCCGCCCATCTGGATCTATCAGCATGCAGTTTTTCGGGTCGTGCCTCTTGCTTCTGGCCTGCATAGTACATCGTGCTGTCTTTGTCAGGCTCCAAAATGCTCTCAAGCAGCCTGGTCATTTCCCAGTCCTATGTAAAGGGGAGGCAGGGAACACACAGAAAAAGAGAGGCTGTTTCCTACACTGCCCTGCTGCCTCTGCCTGTCAGCAGGAAAGCCTTGTGTGTCAGAGATACCAAACATCAGGTCCCCAGTAGAAGGGCCCCAGATACTTTAAGTTGGGAACGGGGGGCTCTTTTTTCAAACTGAGGGCCACATTCCCACCTAGGCAAACATCTGGGGGCCATATGCCACTGGTAGGCAGGCCATGAAGCAAGTAGTAGGCAAAGCAACCCATGCAAATTTCACCTTTGTACAGTAGGCTAGTTTTGACCCTCCATTCAGGCATGCAGGGTGCCATATCAGAGCCCAAGGGCACATTCCAGCTGAGCCAAAACACTCAAGGAAGGTGTGAAGTGGGGCCAGTGAGGGGGGTAGCCTGCAGAAAGCTCTGAGGGCCAGATTTGGGGCCAAGAGGGCCACATTTGGCATACAGTCTGAGCACTGGTGCCAACTCTATAGGGCCAAAGTGTTTTTGCCACCCCTCTTCCCCGTATCTGTGGGGTGGGAGCCAGGCCCTCTCAATGTTGAGGAGGCAAAGGAGGCCAAGTGCGCTGTGGCTTCAGTGGCCGGCTCCTCCTGAGAGCGAAAGAGAAGAAGCTGCTGGCCACTGAAGCAGCGCCACACTGGGCTCCGCACTTGGCCTCCTCCTGATGATGCGACAATGCATGCGCAATATGCACTGGCTCTCTTGATCTTGGGCGCAAGTCTGAATCTGAGGTTCCCCAAGTTACTGTACATATAGAGCACGTGGCTTCCCCCAAAGTGTCTCAGAAACTGTAGTTTACCCCTCACAAAGCTACAGTTCCCTTAAACTACAGTTCCCAGGACTTTTATTTTAGGGAATCGGAGAACTGCAGAGTTGGAAAGGACCATAAGGATCACATAGTTCAACCCCCTGCAATGCAGGAATCATTTGCCCAATGTGGAGCTCGAACCCATGGCGCTGAGGTTAAGAGTCTCGTGCTCTACCAACTGAGCTATCCGGGAGGCAGCCCTGTGCTTGAAATGCATGGTGTGAAGGTGACCTTAAACTTCAAGGCAATGTATAAGGATCTGCTCTGCCTCCCTTTGCTTGGTGAGCAGCCATGCAGTGGTGCCTCAGCAGGGATCTAAAGAGGCTCGGAAATAAGGAATATTACAAAGGGAACATGAGGCTGCCAAGTGAGGTGTACACATACACACACTTCCATCTCACCTCGAGCGTGGCATGGGCATCTGTGTCAACAACATCCGCTTCTGCATCAAGGACGGTGCTGGTGCTGGGACAGGTACTAACTTCTGTGGGTTCTTCCTCAGCTCTGCAGCTCAGCTGGGTGTACTCCAAGCTTTCCTGCCAGCTGTAGGGGGGCAAAAACACACACAAATGGTCGACAACCTCCCAGCAGGTGAGGGCTAAAGCCAAGCGCTGGGCCCATGGCAGAAAGTTGCTCAAGATGGCCGAGCACTGCCAGTGTAAAGGCACCCAACGCTTAGAGCAAAGGAGGGCCTCAGCAGCGGCCTTATTGTCGCACCAGCAGACAATTTGAACCTGGGGCTTCCTCAGAAATTGCTGGACCACCTTTCCCCACATTCCTTACCACCTGCCAACGCTGGTTGGGGCTGATGGGAGTTGGAGTCCGACAACACAGCTCCTATGCTCTAAAAAGTTTGTGCTAGCTGCGCATGCACTACCAAGCCAGGTTCAAGGTTCCTCTACTAATCTACAAGGCCCTTAACCATCTGGGCCTAGGATACCTCCCTAATCACTCATATTCCTGCCCAGTCACCAACAGGAATCACTGTGAGGAGGGGGTGTCTCCCACACACCCCGGCACAATCAGAAAACTTACGTCTCATCTTTGTCCTCAGAGCCCACACAGACATAGAGTTCACACTGGGGCACTAAAATGCACAAGGGGTCGCAGGGACTGGTCACGTTGTCACCGTCGAGGCAATTGGGAGTTTTCGCCGCGTGTTCCTTCAATTCCTGTCAGAAAGAAATGGGAGTCAGTGGGAGATATTTCAGGGGCACCACGGTGCTCCCTCTGCACTCTTCAGGGCACAGAAAATGTCTTCCTTGCACAGCAGAGAGCAATAAAGAAAGTTGCCACATTCCACACACAGACACCCCCAGTTGCCTTCTCAGTCTGCTTGATGAAGAGTTCTGTGTAAGCTTTAAAGACTGCAGTGTCCTTTACATAAAAAAGCCCTTTGAGACACTGTGTACCGCTTCTATAGGAAAGTAATAGGTGGATCCTCTTTTTGTTTTTATCCTCCCCTTATTTAGGCAACAGAACTCTTTTTTTTAAGAATCTGATCCTTGGTTCTTGGGAATTTCACTCTAACCCAAGCCCATTGTGCAATTTCCCAAGATAAACAGAAAGATCAAATTCGAATACAGCACAGCCTTCTTGACAGTGGCTCCTCAACTGTGGCACTCCCTCCTGGCATATTTGGATGGGTTCATCTATTAGCCCTTTTAAAACAGCGGCTTGTGCTGGATTTATGTATAAGCTAAACAAGCTATAATTTAGGGCCCCATTCTCTTGGGGGTCCCCCCAAAAAATTAAAGAAAAAAAACTGGATGTACATTTCCAAAACATAAGATTAAAAACAAATAAAATAAAACTTACATACAGCAACAGTGTTTTGTGTTGTGTAGGCTCCTGTGATGTAAGTAACGGGCCCCGCCTGCTAGCCTGCTCCCTAAAATATCACTAGTTTGCTCATTTCTATATATAGGGTGCCTACATTCTGCATGGACTGGTTGCATTGCAACATGTGCAAATGGCTTTACAGTAGATACCCGTTACGTCCATCAATTACCATATATTCAACACAAAAAACAGCGACAATTTGTTTTTGACAAAGGGCAGCTGGACATATAAAGGGCCCCATTACCTTCAGTAGCTTAGGGCCTCATCAAACCTAAATCCAGCCCTGACAGCGACAATTTCTGTTTAATCTTTTGGACTATAGTTTCTGGGATCCAGAGTTTGAAAAGAGGTCTGGGGAACCACATGACCAAGAGCCAGATATCTCCCTCTGCCTTTTGTACATCCCAGCCACACAAAGGTACAAGTTGCATTCAACATTCAGTGCTATGCCCACTTTTGTCTCTGCCCCCCCCCCACAACCCCCAGACGTTTGTCCACAAAGTTTGGACTAAAAAACAAAAGGCACCCCCCCCAAAAAAATCCCTAGCTGAAAAGGCTATTTTGCTTCACATTGTTGCAAAAATTTATTATTGTATTTTGTAATCATTGGCTTGGGTCCTAAGTGAGAACAAGGGAGTTCACAGAAGGAAGGGTCTGTCTCCTCCAAACTCCAGCAGACTCCTGTACCCGGCACCACAAGGTTTTCTTGAGAAAATCAGGAAGAACTTCCTGACCAATGATATATGGGGTGCAGGGAGCAGCTGCAGAAAAGCATTGATGGGGTGGGGAAGCACATCCTGCCTCTTTCACAGCAGAACCTGGAACTCCTAACACTGAAAAGCTAACACACAAGTTAAGACTGGCAAGAGGAATATAACTTTAGGACCACTTTTGCCGGAGACTGCAGGAACTTTATTGTCTTTACAGGAACACCAGAAAGTTGAAGACCAGTCCCTAGGGTTTAAACCAACATATGGATTTTATGACAACCAAATTTCACATAGATATACAGACACACGCAAACATATATATTCCTATTTATAGAAATGTCTGCTATTATTGTGTGGGAATTGCTTTTATCACAACAGTGAAGGTTTCTGCAGAGCGAATAGTTGCAGCTTTTTGGTTTTGCTGATTGTGGTTATGTAAGACAACTATAAAATGACAATAAAAAGTTAATTCCCCCCTCTTTTAAAACTTTTAACAGCATCTGGCTCCATTGCAAAGCACATCTGGTGAGAACCCAGCCCAGCCACCCAAATTTTCCACAGCAATCTATACATATAAATTAGCACTGGCTTTTTTTTTTTGTAAATTTGGACCACAGGCCTGTGCTCTGAGTCCTTTAAGTGCCTAGCAACACCTTGCGGGTGGGGGGTGGGAGAGAGAGAGAATCAACCCAGATTAGTCTTGGATCTTAAATTAACTTTAATTTAAGGAAGGAAAACTCCATCACTTCCTTCCAGTACAGCTCCCCATGCCCCATTGTTCTGGAGGGGGTCCTCATCCTCCAGAGAGCCTTTTTTTGAGGGGGTCACAGATGCTTTCAGGGAAGGGAGGGATGGGCAAACTTTGCTTTTGTGAACTTGCTTAAGGCAACTTATGAGATCCAGGCCTTTGGTTTGCAGCTATAATTCGCTCTGAGGACAGTGGTTCAAAGAGCAAGTTACGGGTTCCTAAAGAGAGAGAAAACTTTCTCAGACTCTAGCATGCTTAGCGACTGAAAGTCTGAAAGTCATTTGTTAAGATGAAGTATTCTTTGTGTTAAGGCTCAACCAGGGCCTGGACCAAAAAGCTTGCAAACCAAAAATATAAATAGCATACGCCAAACGCCGTTCTCCCAATTGATCAACCATGGCAATCAATAGCCGGCAAAGGGCACGCCGCCTCCTGCGCTACATTAACTGGAAGGTGTAGACTGGATGAGCAACGCTTGCCTTGCGCTGTCACAAACGTAAACAGAGCACTCCTCTCTTGACAACCATCCTCTCATGGAGCCCTGCTCTAAAAAGGTGCCTGCAGCATCTCCAAAGCCAAGGAGCCTGCCTTGTTTCTTTAGGCATGGCACCGGGTCACCTAGATGTCACAGGCTAATGGGGCAGAGATATAGAAAATCTTCCTGCCCTGTGCAGGAGGTTGAGCTAGATCACCACCCAATCCTATGGTTCAGGAAGTCTCCACTCCATCCCTCCTACTCAGCCCCACAAGCAAGGCAGGGAAGCGCCCCGGAAGCACAGGAGGGCTCAGCAACATAAGAAGCACTCCTTATTCCTTGACCTCCAGTGCTTGGGAGAGGGGATTTCACAAGGCTCCAGAAGCAAAGACAAACAGCAGGTCCTTCCCTGCTCAGATCCAGTTCCATTTCAAGCGCGCCTGTCCCTTTAAGAGCTTCCTCGCTGCCCTAGCCAGCTGGAGAGTCATCCCACCCACCCCGCCTTCACCCCAGCCCAGTTACCTTAGCAGGTTATGATCTCCAAAAGGGAGGGTCCCTAGCAGGCTGGTTGTCAGCACCACTTCCCCTCCATTGTCCTGATCAAGTTGGGGGGGGGGAGTTGAGTAGGGATGGCTCTGAGCAGATCGCAGGCGAGCCAGGAGGAAATTCTAGAGGGCCGGGACTGGGGAGAGAGGGAACCTCATTACTATTTCATAATCCGAGGCTGATCCAGCGCAGCAAACAATGAACAACACGAAACCCTTTGTTAACAGGACACCAGCTGGCACCCCATAGGGAGGGATGGAGTTTACACCTGGCCAGCCAGCGAATGGGCCAGCAGCTGACAGGTGACTCAGGCTGCCTGGCCTTTTAATCCAGGGCCGCAGTTAAAGACCAACACTTGCTAAACAGTCCCTTGTCAGGTTGGCATCTCTATCCCAGAGCAGGGACAGGGAAGGTGCAGAGCTCCACATCCTGCTGGATTACCCCCCTGTCATTCCTAACCCCTGGTCATGCTGTCTAGGGCTGGTGGGAGCTGGAGTTCAGAAACATCTGCAGAACCACAGGCTCCCCACCCCGATCCTGGAAGGAACTTCTAAACTCTGGGCAGTAGAAGCAAAAGCATGACTTGCCAAAGTGAAGTGAGATTCACAGGTTGCAGTTATTTCTAAAGTGGAGTGGAGGAATTCTCTCTCTCCCCATTATCCACACCTGTGAAATGTCGTTCTGCGGGGAGATTCAGGAGCTTTTAGAATGGAGTCTATGAATTTCTTGCTGAAACCAAGACAGGAACGCAGGTTTCAAGCCAGATCAATGTTTATAGTGTAGAAGTAGCTTCGGTACTTTCCTGAGCGGAGGAAAGGGGTATAACTTTGACCACGACCAGTTCAGGCTTCCTCTTAAAACTGTAAGGAAGATTAAAAAGTGGGGGCTTGACACTCCACTGTTAGAAATATCACACCTGATCCACTTTTCCTAGGTGTGGACTCCTAGTGTGGCAATTTAGCACAGAAGAGCCAGTGTTAGACCTGAGAAAGTCGATCATCTAAAGCACTGCAGGTGACCCCTAAATTTGTAGCAGCTTCTCCTCTGCTCATTTTGAGCATAAACAATTGGTGAGTGTTAATGCTGTGGCATCCATACTCCTTTATTCGTTGCAAGAGATCAGTTCCTGAATTTATTTGTTTTTAAATGCTGGAATGCCTATCTACTAGGCAAGGTCAAATGTAGGCAGGAGATGCATGATCTATAGTTTCTTCAACCAATGAGCATTGCATTTTTTGTGCCCATGGGAAAGCATGGCCAGATTCAACCGCCGGCATCTTCAGGTGCAGCTGGGAAAGGGCTGCCAGTCAGTAAATAGATAATACTGAGCTGAAGGGAACAATAGTCTGACTCAAATTAAAGGTAAATCAGACGAGCCATCCTGACCGAGCCATCCTGACCGCTGCATTTCAGGCTTGCAAGCTCCTTGAAGAACAGCCTCTTAAAGCACCAAGCCCATTGATAAGTGTGTTTATCAAACAATACTGGGGAAGTTTTTCCTGCTGAACTACTCCCTGCCCCACAGTTGTTAAAAATACAGAGCCCATCTCCATTAAAACAAGGAGACCACTAACTACACTGCCCAGCAGCCATTGAGACTTCATTTGCAGCCTTTTACACCTCTTGTTGGAACCCTTAGTATCTCATTAACACATAATCTAGCAGCCTCTGTGGTCTCATTCAAAGTCCACATTCACAAACAGCACTCAAATGCCTTTCCTTTCTTGCTGCTTGTCAGCAGGGGAAGCCCCTGCTTCCCTCCAATAGCTGCTCAGATTACAGAGCCAGTTCCCGACACTGCCCCCCTCCCCCCAAAAGTTGCTCTAAGATATGAAAATGGATGAGCTGGGCAAAGGCCAGATCCATTTCCTGCTCTGTGGCAGGGATGCTCAGCCTTTTGACACTGCGACAGCCGCAGAAAAAGGACATTTCAGCAGGTGGAGCTCGTCACATCGCAACAGGGCAAGGGGAAGAAAAAGCGGAATTTACCAACATTCCCTCTTCTACCCAGCTCTTAAAGGTGTAAGAACCCCAATGTTGGAAGTTTGGTGCTCCTCACTTTCTGGGTCCAGCCTTGATTACAGCCTGCAGATACATTAAAGCCAAAGGAATTACAATGAGGATGTGGGAAGGGCTATAGCTCAGTGGCAGAGCGTCTGATTTGCATGTAGAAGGTTGCAGGTTCAATCCCTGGCCTCTCCAAGACCCCTGTCTGAAGAGCTGCTGCCAGAAAGGGCAGACAGTCCTCAGCTAGATGGAGCAACCCATCTCAACTCTGCATGAGCTGGCTATCTATGTTGAGAGAAACTGATGTGATGAATCTGGGAAGAGAGACCAAGCGTGAGCATAGGCAGCAATTCCAAACAATGGAGGGGGGGGGCTGATCCATTGAGGAGGCAGAGTTCCATCCCCAGGCTGCCCTTAGAACAGGGGTAGGCAACCTAAGGCCCGTGGGCCAAATGCGGCCCAATCGCCTTCTAAATCTGGCCCGCGTACGGTTCGGGACTCAGTGTGTTTTAACATGAGTAGAATGTGTCCTTTTATTTAAAATGCATCTCTGGGTTATTTGTGGGGCATAGGAATTTGTTCATATATTTTTTTCCAAAATATAGTCCAGCCCACCACATGGTCTGAGGGACGGTGGATGAAAGGACCGGAATTGGAAGAGAGGATGGCAAGCAGAGGCTGGAAGGCAGCAGTTTACTCCAAGACAACCTGTGAGTCCGTGACTGAGATATTAACCCAGTTCTCCAGATCACAGTCAAAACATTAAACCACTAAACCACATGGGCAATCGTCATGAAAGAGCTAACATCTAAGGAAAATATTATGAACACCCAAGCTGTAGCGATGGTCATACTCAGTGATCTCTGTGTGTTGCTGCAAATTTAAAGGCACCAGCCTCTCTCATGATCCTGCACATGCCTCAGTCCTTGGCTACCGAATCATTTCACAGTTATGCTTCAGTCCCATTCACTCAGCTCTGACGATAACTCACGCCACACCATTTTCTTATTTTCCCAGCCTTTAAAAAAAACTTACCCCTCCCTATGATGCACATGCCATGCTGCTCTGGCAATTGTCATGCTCTGTCACCTGTCAAATTGCCAACTTTGGGGAAGGTTTAAAGTTATTTATTAAAGACATCTATCGACTGCTTTTCAGGCCTCATTGTCCTCACTGGGCAATTTTACAAAAAAAAAAAGAAAAAAAGGAAAGAGAAAAGATTAAGGCATGCAGCATAACCACCACAATTACGTGCGCCAAAGAGCCTACTAAGTTAGAAACAGCAGCAAGAAACATTTCAAAGCACAGCACATTGAAACTAACTGAACACAGACTGGAATGAAAATGTCTCTGACGTTCTCTTCAAGACAGCAGTTATGGGTCCCATTCCTATTTCCCAAGGAAAGATATTCTAAACAGGTGGAGCCACAACCAAAAAGGCCCTGTTCATGGTAGGAGAAGGCCTACTCTCAAGGGCAGAGCATCTGCTTTACATGTACAAGGTCCCAGGTTCAATTCCTGGCATCTCCAGGTAGGGCTTTTGGGGTGGGCTACTGCTTTGATGCAGTATAAGGCAGCTTCCTATGATGCCCAACAAGTCAATGGGTCAGTGCATCTGGCTGTTAACAAAAAAAAAGTTGGTGCTTTGAGGCCACCCAGGGATGGTTGTGGATAGGATTTCTGCATTGCAGGGGGCTGGGCGAGATCACCTTTGGGATCTCTCCCAACTCTACAATTCTATGATTCTTTATCAACAGACGGCAAAGCAGTGCATCTTATACAGATCATAAATCTTGGAAAGCCTTATACAACTGATCGTTTAGGAATATTGCCTCTTAACATTACTTCGCCATGGAATGTTCTGCTTCCTACATTTCCTTGGGAACAGCCCCCCCCCAAAAAAACATGCAATAGAGGATACTCTCCCCCTCTGCCCACAATAACCAAGGTCAAATATAAGCTCACCTGGTTACCACGCTTGTGAGCAGTGAGAGTTCGAAAGCAGTTCTGGCACCGGGTCTTGGCAAATACATTGGCCTCGAATTTCTCACACAGAGTGCTCTCTGACATTTCTGACATGGTCCATGCAGGGAAGGGAAGATTCCCCCAGGCATGCAGTTTTAGGGAACTAGCTTCAGGGTAGGGGTGGGGAAACAGCTGCAACGAAAGGATCATAAGACATAAGACACAATACATCAGTACACCCCCCCCCCCCCAGTTTCCTCCAGCCTTATCAAAGAGAACATGTTCTGTATAGCCTGGTGCTCATTGGCACCAACCAGCAGGAAGTATCTCGTGCTCCAAGAACATCAGAGGAGAAGGAGGAATCTTCAAAGAGCATCAAAGTCTGCAGGCCAAAAACAGACCCGTCCCATATGTGGGGCAGTGTGGTGTAATAGTTAGTGATAAGAAGTGGGGAGACAGCAGCTCAGATCCCTGCTCAAACCATGAAGCTCACGCAGACAGTCATTATCATTCAGCCTCACCTACTTCACAGGGCTGTCGTGAGGATAAGACTATTGGGTCATGTAGCTCAGCTGGTTACAGTGAGGTGCTGACAACGCCAAGGTTGCAGGTTCGATCCCCATATGGGACAGTTGCATATTCCTGCATTGCAGGGGGTTGGACTAGATGATCCTCAGGATCCCTTCCAACTCTACAATTATGGAAGCCTCATTTTAAAATTATACAGGACAAGTCAGACATGCAATAAAACTGTGGAGTGCTCTTGTTCAGCATACTCCATTCCAGAGGAAGCCAATACCCTCTACAGAGGTTACCCATCAGCTCTAACTGGCCATATTGACCAAGAGATGTTGAACTCCACAACATCTGGAGAGCACAACATCAGTTATGTCTGCCCTGTTCCATTCCTCTCCCCACCCTACTTTTCGATTTTACACACACATCTAGCAAACAGTTACGTCAGCATTCTAGGGCCATTGAGCTTGCTGAATTTTCATTGGGCTTTTTCTTGGGGGGGTGGGGTTCAATTTTTTTTTGTATTTTTGCAAGCTTCATGGTTTTTCTGAGCCAGCAGCTACTGCTCTCTTATGTTGGGGCGGTGACATTTTAGCTATACTAGCAAGGGTACTCATAGTCTGAACATTAGCATGAGAAAGAATAGCATTTAGCATGCAGTAAGATTATCACATTCACCCCTTCACCAGGTGGGTTAGGTAAGCAACTTTAATTTGACAGACACTGGAAACGGAAAGGGCCAAGTTCATGCAGAAGGGACAACTTGGGGGAGGGAGAAGAGGAGAAACAGAAACACATGCTTGGTCACCAGATTAATTTTAACAGTGAGGCATCAATCAATGGGTGTTTCCATAAGCATTATGTCTGGATTAATAACCATTGGCACCTACCCTTGCTTTTAATCTATTCGTGCTCATGAGGACATAAGGAAAGATGAATAAAATGAGGTTACTTGAACCAAGCATGAAACAAAATTGCCTTTGCAATTTCGCAACTTTAAAATAAATGTAGGCCTAATTTGTTTCCCACCACCAACAGGATATTTCTTCAGAGTTTCGACACATACTATTTCTGTGTGCTGGATTTTATGAGCCACCACAATAATTTTATTTCTTTGAAAGAGGTTGCTGTGCTCTTCTTTTAAGAAATAATCCATCCATATCAAACACCACTGTGGGAAGCAAAAGGCTGTGAAGAACAGACCAAACCACCATACAATTATCACGTGCACACATCACAAAGCATCATATCTAGTCTGGCTAATCAATCAAAAGACCATTTTAGTATTAATCAGAACTACCATAGTATTTTTGGTTAAAGCCAGTTAAAATGAATTTATCCTACTGCAGAAGACAAACTCTCACAATTAACACATGCTCTCCAAAGCTTCTTCACTTCTCAGCCTTGCAGGACTTCAAATTTCTTTTTTTGGCCCCCATTTGCAACGCCTCTGCAGCAATAAAACCAGGTTTTATCATATCACCTGGGGAAGCCACAAACACCTGACAATCCACTTTCTGCCTTTAAACGAGAGTGGGGCGGGGGCGCGTTAGGTAGTTTCACGTGTGTTTATCAAAATTCGGAAGATACCACTAAAATACTTCCGTGTTGCTTCCCCCAATTAAGTTTATCAATATGCTCGCAACTTATCAATAAAACATACCGACAGAAAACAGCAGAAACGCGCGCACCCTTCAAAATGCAATCCTAGATATATACACACGCGACTACAGCTGGAGCCCTTCCGCCGCTGTCTTCTCTCGCTCTCTCTTTTTTTTAACAATGAATACAAACGGGGAGGTGGTCCGAGAATACAAGCACCGGCCCCTTTCCCATTGGCTGAACGAATCACCTTCATTTGAATACTACGTTTTAAGTGGCTGTTTGTGAGAGGGGGGGTGGGCTAATTCGGTAGCGAATCAAAACCGCCGGAATGCTGATCAGTGCTTGGAACTTTCGGAGTCGAAACTTTTGTTTTGTTGCGTTGTTTTATACATAATTAGCTCGGCGCCTCTTCATGTTTTGCGAGCCACGTTGCAGCGGCGCTGGGGATGTGATCGATTTCTTCCTCCCTCCCTCCCTCCCTTATGCAGCGTGAGCTCGCTTGGCCTTCGTGCCAAACCAGCGTCTCGCTGATGCTCCGAGTATTTTAAGTAATGGGAAAAGAAACGTGGAATCTACGCAAACGCAGCCACATGTGTTTTTGAGTCCCTGCGGAGTTCTCTGCCTCTGCTTTCGCCGTCACGGAAGCCTCTGCCTCGCTCTCTCGGCTTAGCACTCTTCAAAGTGTCGGCGCAATGTGTTTTGCAGGTTGTTCAGGGAGCAGCAGCAAATGACGCCGCCTCTCCAGCCCCGCCCCGCCCCCCAACAAGGTGCATCTTAGTACCTTGGGGCAGTTAATTTATTTTGGCACCTTAAGCAGAAAAACAAAAATCCCATAAACACCTCTTCGCTTACCTGGCAGTAAAAACAAACGTCAAATTAAATAGCTAAACCATTTGCTGACCTTTCCCTGACACTCAAAATCAGCTCCCTTAGGCAACCGCCTCACTGCTTAATAATGGAAGGGCCAGCCATGATTATTCGTCTCCCCTGATCGCCTCCTTCCATCTTGCTCAGGCATCTAGTTCATGATCATCATCATGATCATCATTGCAAGAATGCTGTCCTCATTCATTTTACATATTACTGTCTGGGGAGCTTATTTTAAAACAGCAGTCCTAAAAATGCCACAAGGCTCTGCATTGTGTTTGCTGCTGTTGAGAGCACTATGATTGGAACACAGGAAGTAGTGTTATGCCTGGTGGTCAAACCACTGGTTCACCTAAGCTCAAGTATTGCCACGGGGACTTGAGGTCCTCCTGATGTAGCCAGATTACAACTCTCATCATCCCAGACCATTGACCACGCTGGCTGGATCTGATGGGATTTGGAGTCCAACTGTATCTGGAGGGCCACAGGTTTCCCATCCCAGTTCTAGCCTGACTGACAGCAGGTACAGGGGTTCAGATAATATTATTTCCCAGCCTTATCTGAAAATGCTGGATCTACCAACTGAGAACATTCATATGCAAAGCATGTGAACTTCCCCTGCCTCTATGAGTTACCTGTGCATTGGTGTAGTTTTGACTCTGGACTAGGGTTTGTAAAACTCTGTATCCTGAAGAAGCTTATTGGGGATTTATTAAGAAGATGATCATCAGTATGGAGGACTAGATTTCCTTAATGGCTGCTGGCCAACTGCAGCTGATGTTCCCTTCAAATGTGCAGCAGCAAGGGTGGCTGTGGTCCAAGGTGTCCTCTGAGTTCAAGACGGGTGACAGTAAGGCCCAACAGGCCCGGCTTACCATGCACCATTCAAACTGAGTATGCACACAAGAACACACATCAGAATTTGGCGCAGCTTTGGTTTTGCAGCAGACAGTCCAATCCGGAAATGAATCCCCGGAAGGTAAAGTTTCAAAGCCGCTGTCATTATCTACAGACCAAGTAAGCTCTACAGCATAGAACTGAGACTATAAGGTTATATCCAAGGATAGTCATGCTGAGAACAGACCCACTGAAGTTCTATGCACAGCCAGGCTCAAAGGCTAACCTGTTCCTGTCCAGACCTGCAAAAACTTCCATTACCTGTGCCACACACCTATGCAGTAAAAGGCTGGGTGCAAACCAACTCAAACTACATCTGTCTCCCTTTGTTCCATTCATTTTCATTTCTCCTTGTTGCACCCGGTTGTTGTTTTGGCCTAGTGCAGTCTAATGCCAGCTTCACTTGTGGAAATGGTGCACCTGTCATTTCTAAACACACCCTTCGAGGGGAAAAAGGGGTCAACAGAAGGCCCAGATTAGCCTTTCAAAATAGCAGATTACTAGCCCAATCAGAGCAGATGAGTAGAACAAACTGGGGCCTGCACCTGTGTGAGAGACTAAACAAAGTCACATTTGCAAAGGGAGGCCAGCACTTCCAGCCGCAGCCCCACATTCCTGCTCTCTCCAAGCTACCCTCTAAGGATGCTCCGAGGTATTTCTCACTGGCTTTCAAGCTGCAGCATTGGGCACCACATGCTAGAAGCAGTTTCTGAGATCTTGGTCACAGGCAGAAGATGTGAGTGTGGGTACCCTCAGTCCTGGGGACCAAATCCTGCCCTCTGGTCCTTTCTGTCTGGCCGTTGCAACTCTTCCAAAACCACATCTGCTTTCACATATCCCCAAGTTTTGTTTGGTTTTGGGGTTTTTTTGCCTGATTGGAATGTGACCTTCAACTCTTATAAACCCCTCTTGCTTGTCTGGATGGAGGATAGAGAAGGGTGTGTGAGTGTGCACAGAATATAGCCTACTGTACAGAAGTAATGATAACAACAATAGCTTTCATTGCTTGGCCCCTTTCTGCCTCTGGCCTCACCCACCACTGGCACGTGGCTTCCTGGAGGTTGCCCAGAAAGGAATGGAATCTTCTTATTGAAAAAAAATCTCCACAATTCTATCACATAGATAATGTGTTTGGTATGGACCAGGGTGCCTGTGAGATGGTGTTGAACTTCAAGCATGATCAGGGATGATAGGAGTTATGGTCCAACGACCTCTGGTGAGTACCCTGTTGGCTACTCTGAGTGTGGACTATCTGCATAAGAGTTGGAATATGAGCTCCTGGCATCCCCTTCCCAGGACGGAGAACCTGTAGTCACCCTTTAGGTGTTATTGGACTCCAAGTCCCATCATCATCCCCACTCAGAATGAGCAGTCAATGACCAGGGAGAATGGAAGTTGTATAGAATCATAGAACTGTAGAGTTGGAAGGGACCTCAAAGGTCATTGAGTCCAACTCCCTGCAATGCAGGAATCTCACCTAAAGCATCCATGACAGATGGCCATCCAACCTCTGCTTAAAAACCTCCAAGGAAGGAGAATTCGCCACCTTCCGAGGGAGACCGTTGTAGCAATACCCAAAGGGACAAGCTTTCATGAATACTTGCATGGGCTGCATCCACTGAAATTAGACCTTTTCAATTTTCATAAAAACTGGGGTCCCCGCAACCATGTCTGGAGCCTCCCTTCTCTGTCGCTCAGTCTACCTGCCCCCCAAGGTGGGACGACAGCCTCATGGAAGCTTTGGCT